AGTGTATATCATGATACAGTGTATTTATATATATATATATATATATATATATATATTTATATATATATATATATATATATATATATATATATATATATATATATATTTCAAATAAAACCATTTTGGATGCTTTAAGTAAACCTGTTTTGTAGATTAACATTGACATTATTCTGGATGTCCCTTCACATTTAATAAGAACTGTATTTTAAAACTGAAGTAAAACTAAAAGGTTCTTCTGGCGACATATTAAAAACATGCATTATTCGCGTGTAATAGTTTAAAAAGCTGAGTATTGGCTTTGTGTGGAATAGAGATTAGACTTTGCTTCAATTTCATTACATGAAATTAATCATGTAGTCCATACTAGAGTTAGTAAACTACTGTTTTTCTTAAATACATTAACTATTATCTGAATACAGATACAGATAAGAGATAATTAGAGATTTAAATATTGCATTACATACACAGATAAAAATGAAAACCCTAAATGCAGATACTAACCTGTTTTGTTGTTGTGTTTGTACTTACAGTGAAAACTCCAGAGGACTCCACTGAGCGCTATGACATGGTCCTGTAGCTTGTCAGCACACAAAAAATTTCAAAATCGGAGCCGTATGCAAGACTTAATGTTGATTGAAACACAATAGTCAGCCAGGCCTCGATTTCAGAATTAGCCAAAGCAAACCTTCAGGCAACATTCAAATGAAAGGGCGACATTAAAAGGTTTGCTGATGAGTGTAGGGCATTTTGTGAAAAGCAGCCCCCCGCAAGTTTAATTGCAAAGAAAAAAGATGAGGGGCCGCTATAAGATATATCTTATAATCATATGAATAAAAACGAAAACACTTTGGAAAGGAAGATTTATATTATAAGCAAAATACAGGTGACAGGGATAAGAGGGCTGAATGTTCTGGAATGCTGTGAACGTGGGGGATCTTGTGAAAACAATATGCTTATGTAAGACATTAATTCCTGATATATTCATACATTGAAGAAAGCCTTAATTACCTTCATCTTCACACATTAGTTCATGTTGAATAACTTAACCTCACAGTTATTAACATACGTCTTATTCATTTCTTCCTGCTTAATGGTTCATTACTTTCTGATGAGTTCATCCTTAGTAAATGCCTTAATTAGTCAGTTCATGTACCCTTATTATAAAGTGTTACTGATATATTTAACAATATTTGATAGAAAACTTTAATCATATATGGATGGCATGTATTGCTCATATATACTAGCTTGATGTTGTAGAAGGTTTTTCATTTCACTTTTTTTGCTTTAAAAAAATCTTTGTTTGTATCAGACATGTATCAGACATGTATCAGACGGACAGTATATATGTGATCCATATATTATGCATATAAGTGTTCACCCACCTATCAGACATATATGTATGGTCCATATAGGATGTGAACATCTAATATAAATATACATACATATACATACATATATGCACATATATTCTGAAATATATGCCTGACCCTTTGTGCTATGTGTGCATAAATGACCAGGTATCAGATTTCAGTTTTGGGAGTCATCATGAAGGCCGAATTTGTCCATCAGAATAAAGAGTGTGAGGAAGTGTCAGTCGGTCTGAAGGACACCAGGAGAACCCAACCCAAACATCTCCCAACTCCATCAAATAGACATCTCCTGTTCTTCTGCCTTTTTATTCTGTTCATCTTCTCAGTTTATCTTTATCTTCTGTTCTTCACCACAAATATAGAACAAACACATATTTAATAAAAGAATAAAATAATTGGTGTTACCACCAGGACACTGGACTCCTCAGCTCATAATCTAATATTCCTGTCTGCACTGTTTACTGCCCACTGCACTGCTAACTGCCCACTGCACTGTTAACAGCACTGCTTACATCATCCACGACTGCTGCTGCATTACACACACACATTTTTATACTTTTTTATTATATGACTAATGCTCTTACTGCTGAGCTGACCTGTTTTCTCGTCCAACACATTTCATTCATGCAGTGGAAAAATGTGTGTACAACAAAATATATCAGGTTTGGAGCCATGTTGTTAACCACAGGGGCTGTGATAGCAGTAATGTTTCAAAAATTCCATTCATTTTCTCATAGAGAAATCTGGCTCTAATTTGGGCCTGAAGGCGACCACAGAATGATAAATAAAGATTTCTGATAAATAATAATAATCTTTTTGTGGTTCTGTCTGAAATAAAAACAATGTTGAGGCCAAAAATGAAGTCTTATTTTTAATGCCTGTTTTCTTTGAAAGAAAGGATGAGCTTAACCACACTAACCCATTTATACCAACCGCCCTGTTCACACTATAACATCTCCACCAGGAGGTGGCGCTGTGGATGCTGTTATATGAGTCTGGGGGTAAAATGGTGCTGTGGAAGCTGTTTTGTGAAAAAGTAAAAGCCATTATTCTGCGATTCACTTCCTGCTGAAAGACTTGAGGTTTCCTGGAGATCTCAGTACTGAATCTAATGAGTTTTACACTGATATGTCGTTACCTCTATCAGTGGAGATGATCTTAAACCACTGTCAATTCAACAAGCTCATTAGCTGAATAGATCAGAATGAAGGATATGTAAAAAATCACCAAGGTCGAGTGGTTTAGTGTGAAAACTCTGTTCTAGAGAAACTACAGAGTCAGAATTGTTCACAGTGGTGGTGAGAGGAACCAGACGTCCACCTCTAAAAGCTCCCTCACAGGAAGTTCTTACATAAATTGGGTATGAAGTCGATTAATGGCTTATGGTTCCCATCACCACCACTATCAAGAGTCTCTACAATCAAGTATTTCACACCAAACCACTCTGAATGACCACTCTGAATGACCGCTCTGAATGACCGCTCTGAATCAACTATTAAAAATGACTGAATTTGCCTTTAAGTAAATAAAGAAATCGTGCTTCATGCTTTAACATTGAGAAAAAGGTTTCAGATAATTAAGATATATAAGTGTGTCTGAGGCATAACTTCCACATACAGTACTGTGCGAAAGTCTTAGCCCCTCTGAGAAAATGATCTGTAAAGCTATTTATCTGGGCAGTAAGTATTTAACTGTTCAAAAACAATAAACTCTGAATAAATACAAATGAACAGTCTATGATGATTTTGTGTCTGTGACATCTTAACTATTACCAGATCTCTCCTGGAGGAAGTCAAGGGATTACAGTTACCATCCAATACCTGGCTTATCCCATCAGTACTTCTGAAGTGCAGTGAGAAGTCAGGAACCAAACCTGTGTACTTTTATCTGTATTTTCTAACCTGACAACACATTCTGACTATGGTATCTGTTTTTTTCTATGTATTCTAATATTTTATAGTGGGCAAAACACACTTAGATATACAGTTTTAAATAGTTTTTGGCTGCTGAAGTTTGTCTGATGTGGCTCCAGGCAAGTGATTGTTCAAGCAGACAGATTTTATTGAACTGTACGTAGTGGAGGGTACAACAAAACTGGCTACAGATCAGTTCAAAAGAGTTACAGGACTCAGTAAAAATGGATTTTAGCAGGTAAAAGTGAGAGTATCTACAAAAATAGCAATAAATCAACACAGATTTACTCTTTAAGTACTAAACTGCAATGGAACTTCAGTCCATCCAGCATCGATTAGCATAGAAGTTGAAGCCTGTTAGGTAAATAATAGTACGTCCAGTACACCAATTAGTGCATCCAGCATCAGCACAGGAACTGAATTGTGACCAATCAGAAAGCAGTACAGATGCTGTTACCAACCTAACAGAACAAAATTAAACCTAAAAACAGAATTCTGAACTAAATGGTAATGGATATCAGTAAAAAGCAGATTATACAGTTGAAAACTTTAAGATATTTGAGTGTGAATATGTAAAGGCTTTGATGATGTATGAGATATTTGATTGATTTTAATACTGAATGCTGTAAAGAAAAAATGACTGAATCATTAAAATCATCTAAAATTGAGTTGATCCTCTTGCTCCTGTTGTCCTGCTCTGTAGTTCATTTCTGTAAAGACAAACACAAAAACAACAGTCATTCAGGGGTGAAGGATTTACTGCCATTCATACAGTATCAGCTCTAAACTGACCTGTAGACTCATAATCCACTGCAGAGAAGATGACCTTCATTACCAGGACCTTTTTAGATAAGAAAGCACCTCACTGACCCGGCTTATAACTCACTCACTCATTCATGTGTAACAAGACTGTTCACAAGGGGGAGCTACTGGCACTCTAGTAACTTCTGTGTACATCCAGACCAGCAGGATGTCCTATGGGGTGCTACACAGACCTTATAACACTAACATTTCACATGTAAACAAGTGTAAACAAGTGACTTTCACTGAGATGTTCAGGTCAGCACACACACTATAGATTAATATAAAACACAGCTATGATAAAATGTGAGAGTTTATGAGGGTCATTAACAGATTATGCTTGTAAACTGTAAACTACATCTAGTTACGTTGGTAGGTAAGGCAGTATGCTTTAGCCTGGTTCCAGCAGCTGCTCAGTCTGGGCTACAGGCTTTGTAGTTGAAATTAAAGTTGCATTGTGTATCTACAATGAGGATGAGAAGGTTGACTGTTAGCAAACTGAGGGCAAAATTTTATGTAACATTAAGAAATCAGCCGGTACATTAGACTGTATTATGTCTGTTAACCTTTGGAGATTAGTTTGTTGAACGCTGTACTGACTGTGTTTGTGAACAGGCTGGTTGTGATGGAGTTCAACTGGTTTTGTGTTGTTGAACTTCAGATTAATGAGCTTGATGCTGATAATATGTGCTGTCTAGCTGTTTTGTCATGTTGTTTTGTCATGTTTGATGCCAATGAACTGTAAATGAGCTGGATGTGCGGCTGAACGTGGTTAAAGTCTCTCAATGAAGCGTCAAACAGCGTCCACTAGGTGTGTAATATAGCACCATCTCAGTGTGTCTCTTCATAAAGACTGATATCTGCTCTGTGCAGCTGAAGATTCGCACGTTTCCTTACCTCAATCTTTCACCATCATTCACAGGGAAAAGAGGAGAAGAACGGGCGCAACTACAGTGAAGATTTTTCCAAATAATCTTCCATCTGAGCTAAACAAACTTTCATCTGAGCTTTCCTCTCTTCCACCTGAAGCACAGAGTGTTAAATTTATGTCAGTGTCCTGTTAATACTTCACAAATCAAATACTTCTGGAAAAAAAATGTATTTCTGAACAAATTTTCCCCTTCAGCATTGGATTTCTCTTACCATGAAGGACCTTGGGAGCAGATACCTGCAGCACCATCTCCTTCTCCAGACTGCTGTGCTTAATGATGCAGGTGTAGTTGTGTTTGTTCAGCTCCTCAGGTGAGACAGTCAGAATGCTCCTCTTCTGGAAGGTTCCATCCTGGTTGAGTAGCGTCTCTCTGAGCTCCACCTCCTCATGCAGATCCTCTCCATTCTTCTGCCAGGAGATCATCACTGCTTTGGGGAAGAAACCTGTAGCATGACACACCACTGGAGAAGAAGAATCCCTCTGGAACAGAGACGCCTCAGGAGGGACTGGAGAGAGAGACATTGAGTTGTATTGTAAAATTCTGACAAAAGGCTGAATGGAAACTTTGACATTTTACTGAAAGGACACTGAAATTGCTGATGCACAGGATGTTTAGGCTGGTGCTGTTATCACACCATGGAGAACAGAGCTACTGCAGCAGGAACACGTCAGCAGGTCAGTGTAAAAATATAACACTGATTACACTGAGGCTGCGTGTCCAAGCTTAAGACACCGGGACTAATACAGCAACTGCCTAGATTCACCCTAGCAACCACCTGGAACACAATAACAACCCCCTAGAAACAACCTAGCAACCACTGGAGACACCATAGCAAACATCTAACAACTACCTAACAGCCATCAGAGATACTATTGCAACTAGTCTGCAGTATCTTGCAAACAACCTGGAACACCGTTATCAACCAACTTACAACAGCCTAGCAACTGCCTAGTAATGCTACAGCAACCATCAGAAATACCATAGCAACAATGTAGCAATGTCCTTGCTCCCACTAAGGATACCCAGCACCCACTAGAGACACCATTATCTTATAGATCTAATCTCACCAGAAACATCTCCTGAAAAAACAATAACTTTGTATTTGGCCATGTTGATTGGATATTTAATTAATAAGGGGTGCTCTCACTTTTGCACAGCTCTGAAGGACACATAAATAAGCCATTTGCTAAAAAAGGTATCAGTTAAGGCTAAGTGAGTTAAAAGGTATAGTTAAGTGATTCATATGCAGCATTTTAAAGTAATGATAGGGGATAATAGGGGATAATAACCCTATTACACATTATAAAATTATTATTTCAGAACACTGTAGCAGTTCAGAGCCACATTACTATTGTTAAAGTGAGGACAATGGGTGTGTTGCCCTGAGGCAACATCATTATTCATGTACTAAAACTTAAGTGATTTTACTGTAGCATTAATTAATTAAGTTATATTGGGTTTGCTAACTTTAATGTACTCATATCTGATTGTCAATTATGTTAAATCTGTTGATTGTCAATTATGTTAAATGTGGAAATTATGTTAATTAATAATATTAATAATAATTAACAAATGGGCAGCAGGTTTTCAGTGAGTGCACATTACCTTTCCTCTCCAGAGTGGATCTGCCGTAATGCACATACTTCTGTAACCACTCAGCGCAGATGTTCTCCAGATAGTTCTTCACCTGAGCAGCCCAGGCTTCTCTGTCCCACCTCTGTTTGGTAATAACAGCTTTCTGATTGGCTGCAGTCCAGGTGAGAGTGTTCAGATCCAGACTGATGAAGTCTTCTCCATCATAACTGTACTGCATGTATCCTCTCTTGGTTCCATCATCATGCAGTTCACAGCCGTACATCCACTGCACTGTGTGAACTCCTGCAGAGACACAAACACTTCATTCATATTAATGCACAATCCAGGAAATAAAACTATGTGAGGACTGCAGTCTGACCATCTCAAACAGGGGGTAAATTTCCTTTACTTAACAACACATAGAACAACTGTATACAGATTAACAGTGACAGTACAGTGCATGAAGAGTAAGGCTGGCACTTGGATTTTACTTTCATATTTTGGGGGGTTGAGTGTTTTGCTCGAGGACCCAACAGTGACAACTAAGTGTATCTCTACCCAGAACCCACAACCCTGTGATCAATTGCACAGGGCTCTAACTACATCACAGGGCTCTAGCCACCACTGCCCTGTCAGAGCAAAACCATGTTTTTGTTGTTTTCTATTTGTTGTTGCACAGATAGTAAACTGTAATATAAGCCTTTGGGAAAAAAAAACATTAATTAAAAAATTAACTCTTCATAAAAATAAAAACAAACTTTAACATTCTCTTAGTTGGCTACATCACTTGGTAGTGGTTACATCTATTCCACTGTTCATACATATTCATGCAATTTCTCATAACACAAAAGCAATTCATATGATATTGGTGTTCAATCAGGAATGTTACACCCAACGGATGTGAATAACATCTTTTGATGGATGAAAAATCATGCAAGTTTTTATGCTTTTCTGTGGGGAATTGTCCAGTGTCATCCACACAATGAAATATGCTGGAAAAATAAGGTTAAAATGCCCACCAAGAAATATGTTGACTAAGTAAAAGCATTTTACAACTTTATTTTTAATCCTTTTATTGGCAAGAAATATGCATTAATTCATTGAAAAGTGAGGACAATGGGTGTGTTGCCCTGAGGCAACATCGTGCAATAATCATTAGTATTTTCCACGTATAAACTGTATGTTAAAATATTATCCTTTTATTTGTATTGCGTATGTGCTGTTTCAGTGCTGACAGCTCTGAGTGTGTTCACCTGCAGTCTGGTTGAAGCGCTGCATTGCCGTAGCCACGTTAACTTTGAAGGTCTCCTGATGACTCTGACTAATCTGGGTCTCTCTGTTCCAGTAATCTGGATCATCAGCATTAACCTTCTCCATCCACCCTGTCTTGGGGATCATCTTCCTGATGTTACTGTCGTAGTACCCAATCTGCTCTCCATCCACCAGACCCACCACAGAGAACTCTGGGAAGTTTATTCCTGGAGTCACTGCAGTGTAGATGTACTGCAGAGAGTGGGAGCCTGTGAGGATGAAAAAACAATGTATGAACAATTTATAAATTAAACTAATTAAATTGAATTAATTTAAAAGTGAATTGTTATTTTTTTCTAGATATTTTATCATTTATCATCGCTTTACTTTGAGAAAAAAAGAGTTTATATACATTTGAACTGTTTAACTTTAATGGTTTCCTTTTAAACTGTAAAGATGTGAACCAAAACAACACAATGTTATATTTTAATACTTTTTCATATTTCATATTTAGATCCCAACATTTTTCAGTGTATTGCAGGCAATAAATTCTATTTTTTATAAAATTATTATTAGAAAATGCAGTTAAGTTGGTCTGTGAAAATATTGGAAATCTTTACTTTGCCTTTTTGTCAGTTAAATAAAGAGAAGTAACAAATCACAGATTCTTGATTTTATCACATTTTACAAAATGTCCCAACTTAAGTAAACAATTTATTTATTTTTTTATAATCCCAGTCTTGTGGTCTCACCCCTCACCCAGCCAATCTCTAGAGGACTACATTATTTATTATTTATTATTTTAATAATTATGCATTCGATTAGGAATTGTTTACATAACTGAACTGAACTCACCTGCTGATGCCAGATGAACACTGAGTGCTAGAAAAAGGAGTGACTCCATGATTCACTGTATCTTAATGCAGATTAATCAGCTCAGACAGAGTTTCACAGCTCTCTGCTTTAACCAGCCGGTTGTTAGAGTGCGGGAGATTTACAGGAAGAGGGTCACTTCCGTCCCCCTTATTCATACAGTACTAAATATCTGAACTGGTAACTGGATTAGTCTTCCTGTAAACTCTTGTCCAGAGACCGGCCTACAGTCTCCAGACAAACTCATAATGATCCTAACAGTCTAGTGCTCAAATACACCATGTTGTAGCATCTCACTCTGAATCATTAACACTTCCAGTGTAACTGGGTCCAATAAACGGTTTTACATGTTTAATTAACATTGGGCTTTTAAAAGGAATTCCTGCTTTCAATATACATAATTCAGAGAACCAGTGAACCTACACGTCTTCTGAGTTTAATATGGAACGCTGATGATGGTAAAATAGTGATTAATGTGAAAAACAAAGTGTTCTGTGAGGGAGCTTTTAGAGGTGGACGTCTGGTTCCTATCACCACCACTGTGAACAATTCTGACTCTGTAAGTTTCTCTAGAACAGAGCGTTTCACATCAAACCACTCTGAATGACTCTGTTTACATCTTAACCATTTAATTATAGAAATGTTGAAAAATTGGGGAATTTCCTTGTACAAACAGTCTCACAGTTGCACAGCATATAATGAGGAAATGAGAAAATGTGGTTAAATCTGCAGCTCTTTGCCCAGTTTGCAACCTCAAACCACAGACAAGACTGTGAGGGAAACAGGAACAAGGCCAAAACATACATATGTACAACTGAAGATGGTGTTTTAACCTCATGTCATTGTATGAGAAGGTTTTACTTTCCATTTCATTTTACTTTCCATTTCATTTTACTATTACATATAACAGTAAACAAACTTTAAGAAAAAAAATAGAGAACGTCTAGTGAGTTTTATTTTTATTTCTTTGTTAGTTGTCATTTTTACATTCATCACCGCAGTAATACAGCAATTTTAAGCATAGTTTAAAGAGACATTGTTAGTAAAAGTATTCAAATTGAAATGTTATGTCAGTTTGCTGGTGCTACTGTAAAAATGACAGTAAAATTGTATAATAAATAATATAATTATGAAGGCAGCTGATTTGTCAGTATCTGTCAGCTGATTCAGTAAGTTTGTTGTGTAAGTAAGTAAGTAGGCTGATCAAAGCATTTACATACTAAAATACAGATTAGATTGATTAGACACAGATTAGATACAGATTAGATTATATACACCCACCAGACTCAAAACACAAAAAGAAATAGAATGAAGCCATTTCTGTCATTTATTATCAGAAAATTACATGTTGTGAGGCAAAATAGTCCCCAAAGATACCACTATTTTCCAATCATCAATATTCCACATAATACTCAGAAGACACATCTAGGTTCACTGGTGGTTTTGGATAGTAAATAAAGTGTTGTAGTCATGGCGACCCCTGGTTCCTATCACCACCACTGTAAAGAAATCTGAACCATTTCACACCAAACCACTCTGAATCACTCTGATTACAGCTCACATACTGAATTATGTAGAAAAATCAGTGGAATTCAGCTTTTAAATTTAGATCTATAAAGGTTACTAATCTGATAATCAACTTCTGACTGCAGTAAAAGTGAATCAGATTGGTAATAAATGCAGCATGGCTTATCTTGTCTTCTTACCTGCTTGATTTCAAACTGATTTTCAGATTCATGTATGGGTTTTTAAAACTCCTGATGGGGTAAATTATTCCAAAGATGAAACACAAAAATATGAAATATGATATTTAACAACAGCGTCTCAAAATCTGAGAGCCTATATTTGTTTTATGAGTACAGTGCTGTCATGAGAATCGTGACCACTGAAAGTCCCTGTAAGGGGATTTGTGGTTAAAAACTGAGCAAAGAGCTGCAGGTTTAACCTCGTTTTCTCCTCACGGCCTCATTACAATAAAAGACAAAGTCACGGCTAACTGAACGTCTACATCATCACACGCTTCCCTCAAAGCCTCTGCAGGTGTTCAGTGTCTCTAATAGACTTCATTATGTGCTTTCTGACTCATTTCTGACTGATTTCTAGAAACATCAACTATATAACTGTACATTAGCATCACTAAAAGCAGTAGCAGCTGATATATGGCAGTATTTGGGTTTCTACTATCTGAGATATACTTTATTGAAGTATAAAGTATTGGGACACCCCTCCTATTATTTCAGGTGTTTCAGCCACACCCATTGTTAACAGATGGATGAAAAGTATGTAGCCTCGCAGTCTCGATAGACAAACACTGGCAGTAGAGGGTCGTACTGATGAGCTCAGTGCCTTTAAACATGACACCGTTATAGAACGCCACCTCTGCAACAAGTTAGCTTGTGAAGTTTCTGTTCTGCTAGATCTGCCCCTGACAACTGTAAGTGCTATTAATGTGAAATGAAAGTGTCTAGGAGCAACAACAGCTGCACACAAGCTGAGCAGCTGCACACAAGCCTAAGATCAAAGTGCACAATGCCAAGCGTCAGATGGAGTGGTGTAAATCACGCCACCACTGGACTCTGGAGCAGTGGAAACGTATTCTGTGGAGTGACGAATCAGCTTCTCTATCTGTCAGTCTGATGGACGAGTCTGGATTTTAAAGTTTGGTGGAGGAGGGATGATGATATGGGGTTGTTTTTCAGGGGTTGGTCTAGAACCCTTAGTTCCAGTGAAGGGAAATCTTAATGCTTCAGCACCAAGACATTTTGGATAATTCTATACTTCCATCTTTGTGGGAACAGTTTGAGGAAGAACCTTTTCTGTTCCAGCATGACTGAGCGTCAGTGTACAAAGCAGCTCCATAAAGGCCTGACTGGGTGAGTTTGGTGTGGAAGAACTTGACTGGCCCTCACAGAGTCCTGACCTTAACCCCATCTAACACCTTTGGGATGAACAAAAACAGAGATTGTGAGCCAGGCCCTCTCGACCAACATCAGTGTCCTCACAAATGCTCTTCCGGATGAATGGACAAAAATTCCCACAGACACTCTCCAACATCTGTAGAAAGCTTCTCAGAAGAGTGGAAGCTGTTATAGATCCAAAGGGGGACCAACTCCATATTAATGCCTATGGATTTAGAACAGGATGTCATAAAAGCTCCTGTAGGTGTGATGTGTAGGTGTCCCAATACTTTTGTCCATATAGTGTATATTAGCAAATATGGATTTCCCTTACATTAAATTTATATTAGTCACGTATGTGACATACTGTATATGCCAACTTATTTGAAGTTGGCCACTTTCAAATATGGGACACATATATCAACATATATAAACATGTGTACCACACATATTTAATTATACATGATAGTAAACATTTAATCTTACACAGAGGATATATATTACTCTCATATGCTACCTTCATGTTTAATATACGTTCCGATGCTGATGCTTCATGTATGTTGCTGGTGTATTTCCTATTGATTCTTTGCTTTTAAAAATGCTTTACATTTTTGAAAATCCCATTCATTTTTCTCAAAGACAAATCTAGCTCAGTCCTACAGTTTCTAATCTGGCATAACAGCAACCACAGAATAATAAACAATGATCTTTTTGAGGTTCTGTTGTTCTTGAGTCCACAGAAGTCCAAAATAATCAGCTTCCAGTCATTTGTTAACAGCAAGTAAAACAATGTTGAGGCCAAAAATGAAGCCCTATTTTTAATGCCTGTTTTCTTTGAAAGAGCAGACGAGCTTAACCACACTAACCCATTTATCCCAGAGCGCCATCTCCTGGAGACCTCAGTACTGAATCCAATGAGTTATTACACTGAGATTTCTGGGTTTCAGCATAATTAAACAGTTGAGATGTAAACAGAGTCATTCAGAGTGGTTTGGTGTCAGAACACACACACTATAGATTAATATAAAACACAGCTATGATAAAATATTAGAATGGAGGAACTGCCTAAATAACAGTGGATGGAGGCAAAAGGTTGTGATGTGAAGAACATTCCCTTCATCAGCCAGATTGTGGATGACCACAGCTATAAGGGCAGTAAAAATAATAGAACCACTGTCCACTGAACTGTGATGTGATTTGAGGTCCAGGCAGATAGAATGTTTGACATATTAAATTCATAGGAACTTATAATGGATCATTTTAGTACATACCACTTAGTCATCTGTCACAGACTCAACATAAGTACTAAACATCAAAACAGCATCATTTCAAAATACAGTAAACCCAATGCAGTATTGATATCATGAATAATCAGTGGAAGAAATCATTCATGACTTTATTCACAGACATTATTTAAAGTATTTATAATACAATAACACAATTTCACACTTAAAGATTGTTTTCTCATGAAAAACATGCTGGAAAACAAGCAAAAGCATTAAAAAGAACTGAACCTTCATCTTTATTGTCCTCTTCTCTGCCTCTTTTCTGTAAAGACAAATGTAAAAACAACAGTAGGATTATAAAATTCATGCTGACACTAATCAATGTAATCAAAATAGACTGTCAGTGATTATTTATATACATAAAATAATATTCAATTCTACTGTTTAATCACTCTTCCTGGATCGGGGCCTTGTCGTGGCGGAAGGGCTTGTGTGGTCTAGGGATCTTCAGAGCTAAGTCGTCGGGAGCAACATGCTCCTGGTAGGGTCTCCCAGGGCGAACAGGTCTGGAGTGAAGACCCAGACTAACTCGATCCAAAAACCTCCATGAAAAACGGACGCAAAACATCGTGTACCCTGCCCGGGAGAGGGTCACCGGGACCTACCCCTGGAGCCAGGCCTGGGGGTAGCGTCCCTCGGCGAGCGCCTGGTGGCCGGGCAGCCCACGTAACCCGGCCGGGCTCAGCCCGAAGAGGCAACGTGGGGGGACCATGTGGGCCCACCACCCGCAAGGTCCAGCATGGGGGAGTGGTGCAGTGCCGTACAGGCAGTGGGAGATTGCAGGACCATATGTTCTGGACACTCGGGTGAAGAGAGGTGCTGAGCTGTCAACTGATCACCATCTGGTGGTGAGTTGGATCAGATGGCAGGGAAGACTGAGGGTTAGACCTGGTAGGCCCAAGCGAATAGTGAGGGTGTGCTGGGAACGACTGTCGGAGGCCCCTGTTCGGAATGATTTTAACTCCCACCTCCGGGAGAGCTTTTCTCATGTCCCGGAGGAGGTAGGGGACATAGAGTCTGAATGGACCCTGTTCAAAACCGCCATTGTGGAAGCTGCCAGGCGCAGCTGTGGCCAAAAGCTTGTCGGTGCCTGTCATGGCGGTAACCCAAGAACCCCCTGGTGGACACCGGTGGTGAGGGAGGCCGTCAAGCTGAAGAAAGAGGCCTTTAGGGACTGGATGGCCCGAAGGACTCCCGATTCAGCAGATAGGTACCGACATGCAAAAAAGGTGGCAGCTGCAACAGTGGCAGAAGCAAAATCCAGGGCGTGGGAGGAGTTTGGTGAGGCCATGGAAAAAGACTTTCGGTCGGCCTCGAGGAGGTTCTGGACAACTGTCCGGCGACTCAGGAGTGGTCGGGGTGATTGCGCCCAGGCTGTATTCAGCAGGGGTGGAGAAACTCTGACTTCAAATGAGGATATTGTCGGTCGGTGGAAAGAGCACTTTGAGGAACTCCTTAATCCGGGTGACATGCCTCCCTCACGGGAGTCAGGGCCAGAGGCCTCTGGCGTGTCAAGCTCCATTTCCTTGGTGGAGGTCACTGAGGTAGTTGGCAAGCTCTTCAGTGGCAAGGCACCGGGGGTGGATGAGATTCGTCCAGAGATGCTTAAGGCTCTGGATATTGTGGGGCTGTCGTGGCTGACACGCCTCTGCAATAGTGCATGGACCTCGGGAACAGTACCCTTGGACTGGCAGACCGGGGTGGTGGTCCCTATTTTCAAGAAAGGGGACCGGAGGGTGTGTGCCAACTATCGGGGTATCACACTGCTCAGCCTCCCTGGGAAAGTCTATGCCAAGGTGCTGGAAAGGAGACTTCGGCCGATAGTTGAACCTCAGATTGAGGAGGAACAATGCAGATTCCGTCCTGGCCGTGGAACAATGGACCAGCTTTTCACCCTCTCACGGATTGTTGAGGGGGCATGGGAGTTTGCCAACCCAGTCTACATGTGTTTTGTGGATTTGGAGAAGGCTTACGACCGTGTTCCCCGAGATATCTTGTGGGAGGTCCTCCGGGAGTATGGGGTGCCGGGGTTACTACTCCGGGCCATTCAATCTCTGTACGCCCGGAGTGAGAGCTGTGTTCGTATACTCGGCATTAAGTCGGACTCTTTCAGTGTTAGCGTTGGACTCCGCCAGGGTTGTGCCCTGTCTCCACTCCTGTTTGTGATATTCATGGACAGGGTGTCAAGGCGTAGCCGGGGTCAGGAGGGCATTATGTGTGGAGGCCGGAGGGTGGCGTCTCTGCTATTTGCAGATGATGTTGTTCTTTTGGCTGGATCACATGGATGCCTCCATTGCAGCTGAGTGTGAAGCGGTTGGTATGCGGATCAGCACCTCCAAGTCTGAGTCCATGGTCTTAGCCCGGAAAAGGATGGTATGCCCACTCCAGGTAGGGGGAAAGGACTTGCCCCAGGTGGAGGAGTTTAAGTATCTCGGGGTCTTGTTCACGAGTGATGGGAAGAAGGATCGTGAGATCGACCGCAGGCTGGGACAAGCGGCAGCAGTAATGCGGTCGCTGTACCGGACTGTAGTGGTGAAGAGTGACCGATCGGTCTACATCCCGACCCTCACCTATGGTCATGAGCTGTGGGTAATGACCGAAAGAATGAGATCGCGAATACAAGCGGCAGAAATGAGCTTTCTTCGCAGGGTGGCGGGCTACACTCTATTTGATAGGGTGAGGAGCTCGGCCATCCCGGAGGAGCTCGGAGTAGAGCCGCTACTCCTCAGCATTGAGAGGAGCCAGCTGAGGTGGTTCGGGCATCTGATCCGGATGCCCCCGGGACGCCTCCCGGTGGGGGTGTACCAGGCACGGCCTACCGGAATAAGACCCCGGGGTCGTCCTAGGACCCGCTGGAGGGATTATATCTCCAAGTTGGCCTGGGAGCGGCTTGGGGTCCCCGGGAATGAGCTGGAGGAAGTTGCGGGGGACAGGGTCACCTGGGATTCTCTGCTCTCCCAACTGCTCCCGCGACCCTATCTGGACTAAGCGGTTAACGATGATGATGATGATGATGATGTTTAATCACTTAAACTCATATTATTATTACAGAGTTTAGTAAATTAAGTTGAATTCACTTCTGTAATGATCAAACATTGAGTTATTATTAAAAAAGCAGCAGTATAATAAATTCCCCACTGTCTCTACTGTGCGTAAAATTTACCACATCATCTATACAGCTTAAGTCTGCCAGTGTTTACATGAATTATGAAAACACTACTGTAATGAAAGACAATGCCTTGTTTTTTGTATGTAAAGCAGGAGGCTTTGGAAACCGCTTGCAGTCTAAAGTTTCTCCAGCAGAGAGCGCCATTAGCACACAAATTACCATGAACCTACCCCAGAAGGAGCTCAATAACCCACCTGTTTACAGTAAAGTTTATTATAATGGCAGGTGAAGCAGTTTTTAAAAGATGTTGGGTTAATCAACATTATATTAATTGATATGTGGTTTTGTTAAAAATGTTCATTAAAACAGTTCATTTTTAAAAAGCATGTACACAAAATAGAATAGAAAGTAGGTCAAGGCTGCAGCAAACCTTGTTGTCATGGGGGCAATATAATCAATAATCACTTTTTTTAACTAGAAAATATCATGCTAATTATTTGTAGATATCGCCCAGGAGTATTGCTTACCAATGCAATTTTCGTACATGAATCTAATGTCAAAATATGGACTTAATGATAAGGCGACTGATTACATAACTTCTCTTGAGTTATCCCAACTTCTTAGTTGAGTCAAAACTTTAATTTCTCAGTTAAGTAAATAATACAGAATTAGCTTTTTTACACAGTGTCTCCAACAGCTGGAACTCTTTCCATCTCACAGTTTCACCAGGCATTTTCTCCTCTTGGGCTTCCATATATGGACAGCTGAGACACCATTGGGGTCCAAACTCACAACCTGCTTATACTGAAGTGACTACATAGACCCTTGTACCACATTTCATTTCATTGCTTGTCAAAGTTCAAATAAATTTCTCCCCAGGTGGAACCCCAGTGATGCCACAGCCGAGAATGAAATGGTCATGTAAAACCTGTATTTTGTGTTTACTTATGTTGTCTTTGTCTTATATTACATTTTGGTTGAAGAGGTGAAACAATTTCATTTGACATTTTTGTAAAAGCAGTAAAAATCCTACACTTTTTCACAGTACTGTATGTTTACACTCTCAGTATGTCACTCCATACAGACTGATATCTGCTCTGGTTTCCTTACCACACTCTTTCATCATCATCCACAGTGCAAAGACCAGAAGAACAGCCGCGAATACAATGATGATGATTCCAAGTATGCTCACATCTGAGCTTCCACCTGAAAGAGTGTCACATCTGTGTCAGTGTCCTGTTTCTACTTCACCAATCAAATCATTCTGTAAATTCAGATTTTTAAAGATTTTTATCTCTCAGAATCAGATTCTCCCACCTGACAGGTCTCTGCGATCAGATATCTGTAGCACCATCTCCTTCTCCAGGCCGCTGTGCTGAATGATGCAGCTGTACTGATTCCTGTTCAGTTCCACAGGTGAGACAGTCAGAACGCTCCTCTTCTGGAAGGTTCCATCCTGGTTGAGTAGCGTCTCTCTGAGCTCTACGTCCTCATACAGATCCTCTCCATTCTTCTGCCAGGAGATCATCACTGCTTTGGGGAAGAAACCTGTAGCATGACACACCACTGGAGAAAAAGAGTCCTTCTGGAACAGAGACACCTCAGGAGGGACTGGAGAGAGACATGTTGCATTGTAATATTCTGACAAAAGGTTGAATGGAAACTTTTTTTTTTTTACTGAAATGACAGAAAATGCTGATGTGCAACATGTTTACTCTACCAGGCTGGTGCTGTTACCACACCATTATTAACAGGGCTGCAGTGTGAGGAACACACTGGGAGACCATGTGAGTAATCAGCAGCTCAGTGTAAAAATACTTACACTGTTTCCACTGAGACTTTTAATAGACCATTCTCACACTTCCACATCCGTTAATGCAGAAGCTTCAATAGCAGCGTTTAATGGCTTCCAGTCACACTGTCACCAGTGGCATTCAGTGTATGAAGGTAAGAGCACTGTACCTTTCCTCTCCAGAGTGGATCTGCCGTAACCCACATACTTCTGTAACCACTCAGTGCAGGTGTTCTCCAGGTAGTTCTTCAACTGAGCAGCCCAGCGTTCTCTGTCCCACTTTATCTTGGTAATAACAGCTTTCTGATTAGCTGCAGTCCAGGTTTCAGTGTTCAGATCCAGACTGATGAAGTCTTCCCCATCATAACCGAACTGCATGTATCCTCTCTTGGTTGCATCCTCATGCAGTTCACAGCCGTACATCCACTGCAATGTGTGAAAACCTGCAGAGACACAAACACTTCATTCATATTGATGCACAATCCAGGAAAGAAAACCATGTGAGGACTGCAGCCTGACCATCTCAGACAGTGGTCATTTCTGGATTAGAACATGGCAGACAGGAAGGCAAACAGATCAAATAACATGAAGCAATGATTTGCCTTTTGAAATCATCTTTTTGGTAGAAGACTACTCTTTGGTAGTACAGTGCATGAACAGTAAGGGTTGACATTTTATTGGAGCACGTAGCCTTGCAGTCTCGATAGACAAACAGTGGCAGTAGAGGGTCGTACTGATGAGCTCAGTGACTTTAAACATGGCATAGGATGGAAAAAATTCCCACAGACACTCTCCAAATCTTGTAGAATGCTTCCCAGAAGAGTGGAAGCTGTTAGAGCTGCAAAGGGGGACCAACTCAATATTAATGCCTATGAATTTAGAATGGGATTCATAAAAGCTCCTGTAGGTGTGATGTGTAGGTGATCAATGTGATCAGTTCTGAAAAAGTGATGAAAATGAAAGTGATAAGGGGGAGTGTGTAGTGTTATCCACACACAGAACTATGCTGGAAAAATAATTTTAAAATGCTCACCAAGAGAGATGTTGACCAAGTAAAAGCATTTTACTGGTTTATTCCCTTCATTATTAACTCTTTTATTGGTGATAGTTATGTATCAACACATTGTAAAGTGAGGAAAATAGGTGTGTTGCTCTGAGGCGACTGCATTTTGCTTTATTAATCATTCTTATTTTCCATGTATTTAACTGTATGTTAAAATGAGCATTATCATTTCATGTATTGCACATGTGCTGTGTCTAAAGCTCTGAGTGTGTTCACGCTCACCTTCACTCTGGTTGAAGCGCTTCATTAGAATGTCCACATTGGCTCTGAAGTTCTGTCCATGCCGTTCACTAATCTGGGTCTCACTCTTCCAGTAATCTTCATCCTCATTGTTCCTCATCCACTCTGTCTTGGGGATCATCTTCCTGATGTCACTGCCATAGTACACAGTCTGCTCTCCATCCACCTGACCCACCACAGAGAACTCTGGGAAGTTTATTCCTGGAGTTACAGCAGTGTAGAAGTACTGCAGAGAGTGTGTAGCTGTCAGGATAAAAAACAGTGAAAATGTATAACCTACATATAAATAAGTTAAACCGTTTGTTTTTTCTATTTTTTTTTTAACACATATTTATCATTATTTCACTTTGAGAAAAAAAGTTTTACTTTAGGCAGAAGAATCTCTTAACCTCAATGCTTTCCTTAGAAAAATATGTGAATCAAAACAACAAAATGTTATTTTTTATGCTGTATTTTGTAAAATAAATCAATTGTAATAAATGATTTTAAAGAAAGATTTGAGTAAAAAAAACTTTAGTTACACAGTATTTATTTACACATTGTTTGTTTATCAAAAAGGAAAACATTACTTTCTAATTTTTAATAATTAAAAAAAAAAAAAAAAAAACTTTTTTTTTAGGTTTGGTCCCATTATGTCATGTTTCATGAGAATAACCCAGCAGTAAAAGAGTTACAGTCAAAGCCCACTTCAAATTCACATACATATATTTATATTCAAAGTCTGTTTACTTTGTACTGTACTTTGTAGTATATATTCATGAAAAAAGAGAGGTTTGAAAATATGAAATTAAGAGGGTAAAAAACACCACATTTGCATTAGCAAAGACAAAATATGGTTTGCAAATTACAAATTACAATACACACAAAATGTTTGAGCCTCAGGTTTTTAATCAACACTTCTATTAACTCTGCTGTGGTCAGTTAGCATCGGGGTCAGGGTCAGCCGCAACCCCCTTTAAACATTTACATACATAAAATCACTAGTTATTGTATTCTTATGAGCAGATAAAGAGTCACCATAAACGTTTGATGGAAACGTTTGACATAAATGTCTAATGTATAATCTACTGTTTATATAACTAAACTGAACTCACCTGCTGGTGCCAGATGAACACTAAGCATAAGAAAAAGGAGAGACTTCATGATTTTCTGTATCTTAATGCAGATTATTCAGCTCAGACAGAGTTTCACAACTCTCTGCTTCAACCAGCCGTCATTAGAGTGTGGTAGATTTACAGGAAGAGGGTCACTTCCGTCCCCATTATTCATACCATACTAAATATCTGAACCTAGCCGGCAATTAGGTAGGTAAACAACGAGTTTGGCCTAATGGCTGTTCAGCAGCCTGATGGCCCGGGGGAAGAAGCTGTCTCTGAACCGGCTGGTTCTGGACTTTATGCTTCTGTACCTCCTCCCGCTCGGCAGCTGTGAGAACAGACAGTGGCTTGGGTGGGTGGAGTCCTTCAGAATCCTCCTGGTCTTCCTCAGGCAGCGGCTGGTGTATAAATCCAGGAGGTTTGGGAGCTGGACCCCGGTGACGTGCTGGGCTGTCCGCACCACCCTCTGCAGAGCTTTCCACTCAAGTATAGGAACTGACACACAGGGAATAGAGTTTTAATAGACTCATTCAACACATCTAAAACTCTCCCTATTGCACAGAACTCCCTATCATTGTGCTTTTATCCAGTATTACACAGTAAAAGAGTTCTGACCTCAGTGCTCTGAACCATCTGTTTGAAAGCGTTATTTAAAGTTTTCTTTGGGGACTATTTTGCTTGCATGTACCCCTCTGCCATTAAAAAAGTTTAAGCCAACACTTCTTAAAACTGTCACAAAACAATGTGTCAGGTGTCTTTATAACCATTTCATGTAGTAACTTTCTGTGAGCTTTTAGAGGTGGACGTCTGGTTCCTATCACCACCACTGTGAGCGATTCTGACTGTAAGTTTCTCTAGAACAGAGCATTTCACACCAAACCACTCTGAACGACTCTGTTTACATCTTAACCACTTAATTATGTTGAAATGCTAAAAAATTGGTGGAATTGTCCTTTACATATGGGCTTGTTCATTCATCTGGTCCTTCTAATAAAATGTTCTGAGGATGAGACACAAAAAGACAAAACATTATTGTCTGAAATGCTAAAAGCAGGTGGTTGATGAGCCACAGTGTTTTTATGAAAGTACAGCGTTTTCATGAGAACCATGACCAGTGAACCCCTCCAAAAGTTTGTGGTTGAAAACTGAGCGAAGAGCTGCAGGTCTAACCACGTTTTCTCCTCACAGCCTCATTACATGCTGCGCAATGAAAGAAAAAGTCACAGCTAACTGTGAGATTAGAGTTCAAAACACCCACTTTACACTGAACTCCTCTTACCTCAAACACAGACAACATGTTTTGGGCCTGTAGTTTGCTTCTTTAGTTTTAGCAATGGAGCTACAAGGCTAATGTAGCTATTATATTAATAGCTATTATACTAATAGAAGCTAATACTCCACTAATTAGCATGGTGCTAACTGCATGTCTAAATCATTACACACTCACCTCAAACTGCGTGTTGTTCAGTGTCTCTAATAGACTTGATTATGTGGTTTCTGACCCTGTATGACTCACTGTAACCTATAAACATGGGCTAAAGTGTGTTAGCATAAAGCTAAAAACAGTAGCAGCCACCTGAGTTTGTCCATTTCACTGTGAGGGAGCTCTGTTGTGCTCCCTGGAAGAATGTAGGAATAAAAGTGAACAAATATGATGTTTCTTATTTATTTTATAGACCTTTTTAAATCATATTTTTGGTATGTATACTGTAATTTGACTATTGTGCTTCCAGACAAGTGATTGTTTAAGTGAGTTTATTGAGCCATACACAGTGGAGTGTACAACAAAACTGACTACAGATCAGTTCAAAAGAGTCAACTCAGTAAAAACTCTCAAATGGAGAAATATATTAACAAGTAAAAGTAAAAGTGGCTACCAAAGTAAAAACAATAAAATCAACTCAGATTTGCTCTTTAGGTACTGAACTGCAGTGGAATGTTTTAGTACATCAAACATCAGCATACCATGTCTTTACAGATGGATGTTATTAAATAGTTAAGATGTAAACAGAGTGGTTCAGAGTGGTTTGGTGTGAAACGCTCTGTTCTAGAGAAACTTACAGAGTCAGAATTGTTCACAGTGGTGGTGATAGGAACCAGATGTCCACCTCTAAAAGCCTCGTGTAGGTCACTGGTGGTTCTGGATAGTAAATAAAATGTCTATATTTGTGTTGTAGTCATGGCGACCCCTGGTTCCTATCACCACCACTGTAAAGACATCTGAACCATTTCACACCAAACCACTCTGAATCTCTCTGTTTACATCTCAAACACTGAACAATGCAGAAGTTTGGAAAAATCAGTGGCTTCAAAATGTAGGTCCACACTGCTTACTAATCTAATAATGAAACAATGACTGCATTAAAAAAGCAACTTTGGAAAAAATACAAAATAAGCAGCTCAAAAAAACTACTTAAGTACTGGGTAATGTCTAGACCTGCAGTGGAACCTCTTGGTACATCCAGCCTCAGCACAGGAACTGAATTCAGAATTCAGAGGTGTGACCAATCACAAAGCAGTACAGATGCTGTTATTAACAGTAGAGAATGAATTTGAACAGAATAAAATAATTATGTTAGTGCCTCTAACTTCATACTCTAAAAAGTGCTTTAACTCAAAGTAAGGTTACCAGGCTGATTTAAAATTTTGAGTTTAATGAACTTCAAATAGTAAATCAACACATTCTTCTTCAATTAAATTACTAATAGAAAAATTTGAAGGCAGCCTGGATGACTAGCTTTCTCAAAGCTGCACTATGTAAGATTTAGGGATTTGGAGACCTCTCTGGTGGAAATGTTTAATGCGGAAGAACATGTTGGTTGTTCTTCAGCCCCCTTCCCCAAGCAGATGAATCTGATGATTGAAAGAGAATTCAGAAAGAGAACTCTTTTTGAAGAATCATCTTCTGAGGATGTGAGTGAATTATCTACTATTGTCAAAACATTTTCATCAGTATAATGATGATTTCGAGATCTAAACATCGAGCTTAGCCTTCTTAGGAAAAAGAACTCACATTCTTTCAATTTTAACCAAATGTAGCTTGAAGATAAAAGACTTTTCACTAAAGTTTTCCCTGAAGTGAAGTAGGTTTTTTCTGTTGGGTTTTTTTTTTTGTTTTTTGTTTGTGGGTGACCCCTTTGCCAAGAAAACATTTGAAAACTGACTCCAGACTTCTGATGGACAAAAACAAAGAGCCTAGCGTGAGCAGAGACATCACCAGAATGTTATAGGCTTTGCTGCCAATTTTGTCCTCAACAAGCTTAAAAAGGCCAAAGTGGGTCGAGGCAGAGTCGTGGAGGTTGTTGACCTCCTGTTGGATGTGTTTGGTTAGATTGGCCAAGGCTTTGGAGTTGTCAGGGATAAAGGTGCAGCACTCTTGACCAATCAGAGCACAGGTACCACCCTTTGCGGCGAGAATGAAGTCTAAAGCCATGCAGTTTTGTAGCGCCACCTTTCGAACAGCGATGATTTCTGCGCTCAGATCCTCCAAGTCATCAGAGTTATGCTTATTCTCTCTTCCTCTCTCTCTTTTCCTTTCTCTCTTCCTCTCTCTCTCTCTCTCTCTCTCTCTCTCTCTCTCTCTCTCCTTCTCCGCCTTGGTGTGTGTCTTTAACTGTGAGAGGCTGTGTAGCTGTGAAATGCTGTAATAATGTCAATAGTGTACTATTTATATTGGTCCATTCATCAAGATGTTGCTACACAATGTAAAGGACACCTGCTGTTTTTTTTTAACCTTTAATGAACAGTTGATGTGACCATTTTCTTGGTAAATAAGATGTTAGCAACCTCTAAACCAGTGATGTTCAACTCAACCCCTAAAAGGGATATTGAAAAATCTCAACAAATCCGAGGGCCAGAGAACGCCTGTGATTTTATTTCATTTTAATGAACATTTTGCTGTGACCCAAACTGGCCATTGTATCCTAAATATACGCACTTATTTTGCAGGCCAGATAGGATTGTGCCACAGGCCTTACTTGGCCTCTCCTCTACTCCATTCATCATTGGTCAGTTTCTGACCACAGGACTGTTGACAGTGACCACAGTGACACTGACATGGTAGCGTGTGTGGTGCTGGTACGAGTGTATCAGACACAGCGGTGTCTCTGCTAGGTTAAGAGTGAACCACCTCTCAATATTCAGCCAAGAGCAGCTCTGTGGTCAGAAACTGACCACTCATGAAGGAGTAGAGGATGGAGAACACAAACTGTACATAAACAGATGAGCTCTCTAACTGAACACCAGCGAGGTGGAACTACAGGACAGGGGTTTCTGATAAACTGGGCAGTGATTTTATCTAAAAATAGTGATTTTGTGAAGTAGTAAGTAATCACACACCTGCACTCATGCTTACATGCTCACATCCGCAGCATCCTTAAACCGAGTGAGCTCCACTGAGTGGACATTTCTACCGAAAAAGGGCAAACTACATTTTATTCAACATTAGGTGCTTTTAAAGCAGCTGGGAAAAACACTTGTAATAAGCAGCTGTTTTTTTTTATTTATGGTCATAATGATCTTTGGGTTTTTCATGGGTTTTTATGAAGATATTATAAAGTAGATATTTCACTTTTTTGGTGTGAGACCAAATTACATTCTGCATTTGACCTAAAATTGGCATTACAATGACAGTTGGCAAAAAACCCCACTATTTTCTCTTTTCCTAAATATAATAATTAGAGTTATAATATAACATAATATAATATATAATTAGCAGAGTTCCTAATTATAGTAGCACATTCATGAGAAAAAGGCCTTAACTGGTATTATGTGTAATATATAGATTATTTGGCCTAATAAACCTCAGTTTAGTCCACTTTTAAAATGTTATTATTTTAATAATTTAATATTAATTATTTTACAATAATATATATCCAAGGTTATTAGTAATATTGTGTAGTTATGTATTAATATTCTGTGCTTATATTACAATAATATAGGCCGATACATCAATACTATAAGTGTACATTACTATAACACAGGCCTATGTTTATATGGCAATACTGCAGGCCTATATATTAATACTATAGATTTATATTACAATTGTATTGGTTTATATTACAGTACTATAGGCCTATATATTGGTACTGTAAGCTTATATTACAGTAATATAGGCTTATATATCAACACTATAGCTTATAGTGTATATAATATAGGCCTAGGTTTGTATTACAGTAATATAGGCCTATATATCAACACTATAAGTTTATAGTGTATATAATATAGGCCTAGGTTTGTATTACATTACAGCAGGCCTATATATTAATTCTATAGGATTATAGTGTATATAATATAGGCCTGAGTTTGTATTACATTACTGCAGGCCTATATATTAATTCTATACGTTTATAGTGTATATAATATAGGCCTAAGTTTGTATTACAGTAATATAGGCCTATATATAAACACTATAAGCTTATAGTGTATATAATATAGGCCTAGGTTTGTATTACATTACTGCAGGCCTATGTATTAATTGTATAGGTTTATAGTGTATATAATATAGGCCTAGGTTTGTATTACAGTAATATAAGCCTATATATAAACACTATAAGTTTATAGTGTATATAATATAGGCCTAAGTTTGTATTACAGTAATATAGGCCTATATATCAACACTATAAGTTTATAGCGTATATAATATAGGCCTAGGTTTGTATTACTTTACTGCAGGCCTATATATTAATTGTATAGGTTTATATTATAACAGTTAAAGGCCTATATATCAATACTATATATATACATATATATATATATATATATATACATATATATATATATATATATATATATATATATATATATATATATATATGTATATATATATATATTCTGTACAAGGCAAGATTTACATAACAATATGAAATGCTTATTCTCGATTCAACCAAAAGGCTTGAGGAAATTTCATGTACAACATTTTTATTGGTTATTTTCGAAAGGTTGATAATCACAGTGTGAGGGATCAATCAAGGTCACAGTACGAGTGAGACAGTAGTTGTCCTGCAGTGCCCCCTTTGGCCGCTGTGTAATAAATAAATAAATAAATACTGAAAACAATAACTTCCCCTTTTGGAGAAAGAATCCTGGATCACCTGCGCACGGAAGCTGGAGATAAACGGGAGAGCTGGAGTGGACAGAGCGAGGTGAGCGCTACAACACAGCCCCCAGTCCAGTCTCTGACCGGCTCAGTGGGTTAGTTCAGCTCGCGGACCTGAAGGAATTAATGACAGTCTTTTTTTTGAGGAAGAAGTCGTCGACGGAAATCCGAGAGCTCCTTAACTTCCTGATGCTTCGATAACAGCTCGGTTTAGGGGGTCGTGGTGATATTTAAGGGTCCCAACCGATCACCAGTCACGGACGCCTTTATCTAAAAGGTTCAGTTTTACCATAAATATCATTTTTATAAGTTTTGTAAAGAGCCAATATTGCGCATGCGCATAGGCCCACGAGTCCACTTCAGAAAATATATAGGAGACATAAACATTGCTCATTCTGCATAAATCAGTATATTTATTCAAAATTCGTTATTAACTACAAATATAGGCCACATATTATTTTATTTTACATGCAAATAAGCAGTGGCTGTATTTAAATGTTCTACAGGGTAAAGACAGAACACACACAAAACACCTAATTTGACCAGTGCTGCCCAAAACGTTTTATAGTTTCATAGTTTTAAATAACCTGAATCATATTTTTTATTAAATTGTAAAAATATTATGCATCTTTGCTTTCTGTCTCACCAGTGTGAGACATTTAGCCTGAACATAACATGCTATCACATTAAATGGCATGACAAACAGTAAATGACATCCTTTAAAGGGGAATTCCACCCACTTTTTTAAAAATGTATATATATTTGAGTGTTTGAGATGTAAGCAGAGTCAGGTACTACAAGTTTATATATCAATACTATAAGCATATGTCAGTCCTATAGATGTATATTATAACACTATAGGCCTGTTTATCAATACTCTAAGCTTTTATTGCAATAATATAGGCCTATATATCTATACTGTAAACTGAAATCACAACAATAATAATGATTCAGTGTGTGAGATGTAAACAGAGAGATTCAGAGTGGTTTGGTGTGAAATGGTTCAGATGTCTTTACAGTGGTGATAGGAACCAGGGGTTCAGTATGATGAGGTTGCTCTTCTAATAAGTATGTGTACTGAGGAGGGAATCTGTTTTTTGCTAAGAGCATTACTGAGAAAAAATATGTAATTAGCAAATTTGATTTAGCACCCATCTCATGGGGTTCAGTGTGGACCTTTCAGTGCTTTTCATTCCTTACTAGACTCTAAATTGCAACCCCAGGTTCCAAAGACAAACACTCTATATTCTGAGTATTAGATAACATGATTGGAACAAAGACTTGTCATCTGAACAAGATGTACAGTTATCAATAACATGCATAGTGATTCCACTTTCCGTGCATGCATGTGATCGGCACTAGATGACGCAGTAGATCAGCCAGTGGCTCAGGATCATCCTGGTCCTCTTCAATTTCATACATTATCTTAGGCCATTCATGCCAGGCCTCACACCACTCACACTGATTTGCCTCAAACATTTCCCTTCAATTTGACTCTTTCCTGCCTGTTGCCCTTTTATAACCAGAAGGACAAGATGAACTGCTGTATTTTACAGGAGGAGCAACAACCTGCATGAATGTGGTAATAGATGCACAGAGGTTTACAGGCTTGCATATGGATTATTCTACCCAATGTATTCAAAGAGTTGAAAACACACTTGGGACATTTATCTGACTTGGACTTTAGATGAAATTCCTTTTGCTTTGAGTGACTTTATACTTAAGTATGCTTATTTTATTCAAATAAATGATGGAACATTCCATCTTGTCACTAAAGCTGGGCACTACACGACTTTTAGCACCACACACTTCACATCAGTTTAAGTCTTTTTTCCATGAGCGCGCTCACACTAGGCAACAAGTAAGGAGAGAGAATAACACACATAACCATTTTGGCTATGAATAAGATCTCAAACTCCCAGATCTCCTCAGATCACATGACACAAACAAAGCTAAACTTACTAGTTAACCTGTTGTGGTTACTGGTGAACCTGTAGAGAAATTTGTATGACTGGGAGTTGACATAAAATTGTAAAGAGAGTGCTTTTATGTCTGGATCCATACATTATAAACATGATAACAGCTCTTATTTGCCGAACGGTGAACGTTACTGAACGTTTTCAGTTGTAAGGGGTTGGGTTTGGGACAAACACCTACCACTAGAAAATACCATATAAATGATGATTTTATATATATTTAGCTTATTACTATCTGTATTAATGCCTTGGGCTTAAATACATCATAACATAGTCCTTAGAAATGTGCAATCTTACATATGAATAAAAGGTCAGATGTAATTAAACATCAAAAAACAAAAAGTTCTTGTCCCTTGAAAAGGAGGAAACGTGTACAATAGGACTACAAGTAAGACTAAAACAATATGATGGATCAGAGCCTCTCAAAAGATCTCTGTGTCCTCAGGCATGAAGAACCTGAAGATTCCTTTGGTCTCCATGTTAGAGCTTCTGCTGATCTCTCTCGGTAAGTCCAGCAAAGCCTCCACAGTTACACACTGAGCCTTTAACATGGCTTAGTCTCTTTGAGCCACTTTGTAAAAGCAAGGTCAAGGATTGCAAACAGCTTAAATGGGAAAACTTGAATATAAGAGGTTTTCTTTTCTTAACTTAAAGGAATAGGTTGGTGGAAACTGTTATCTATAAAAATGAATAAAAGTACAGACAAAATTCTGGCTTCAAGATGGCTGCTACTACTGTTTCAGCTTTGCTTAGTCCATGTTTATAGGTATCAGTGAGTCATACAGTTTTAGAAATCATATAATCAAGTCCATAAGAGATACTGAACACCTCCACACGGAGGCGAGTGTGATGATTTAGGCGTGCAAGTAGCACCATGATAAGTGGTGGGTTATAAACTTCTATTACTTGTTAGCAACATTAGCCTTGTAGCTCCCATGTAAAACTAAAGAAGCAAACATTCATGACATTTGGCAGATGCTCTTATTCAGGTTCTTAGCTGTATTATGCACTATTAATGTTTGATTTAAAGTTTTAATGGGAAATGTATCTCAGTATAACACATGACCTCACCTGTACTGAGAGCCTGTTCTCTGTGACTCCAGTGCTTTCTCCAGCGCTGGTGCTCAGTTTCACGTCTACAAAGGTGAAGCTTCATGAGGCCGCCACTCTACCCTGCTACCAGACATGCACAGGTTTGGTCACATGGGCACATAAGGATGACATTCTGGCTCAGTGTGACCAGACATCGTGCCAGTCAGAGGAAGGATTTCAGATGTCCCATGATGAGTACCTGAAGGGAAATCTGTCGCTGACCATCATAGAAGCTGATTTCAGTAAAAGGAAGTGGTACACATGCGAGTGCGACGGTACAGTCGTATGTGATGTGAGTCTGCGGCTTGAGCGTAAGTGTTCTGACCTGTTCATGATGCAAGTAGAACCACTTATGACTTTAATTTTAAGGTATTTTAAAGCCTATTGTTGTTTTTTCTTCCTAAGCCTTTAGTTACCCGCTCAGTGTTCGTGTTGGAGAATCCCTCACTCTGGATTTGCCCATCCCAGACGACGTGGAGGTGACCGTTAAGAAGACTGATGGTCCAAACACCTTCAGCCTCTGTAAAATTGAGGGACATAAAGCTTGGTGTGAGTCTATGTATGAGAAGAGAGTGTCGGTCAGTTCCAGTCTGCAGCTGACAGAGGTGAAGAATGATGATGGTGGCATTTATATCATACGAGACATCAAGAATGATGAGGTCATTGGGATGTACACGGTCACTGTCAATGGTAGGCCTTGATTTGATTTCACTCTCATAATGCAGACCACTGTCCACTAGGGGCAGGCAATATGATGATCTCATTATTATGATAAGTTGCATTGCAGTACTGACAGTTTAATGAGCATAGTCAGTAAATCAGTGAACCTGTAAACAGGAACTACATAAACCCATAACCATCAGCTACTATGCACAATCTGCAGGGATTGGATTTCAGCCCATTATGACTGAAAATCATCTTATTTTATTAATGTATGTTGCCAGTTGTGCTTAAAAAGTATATATCATGTTATTTTTGCCATATCACCCATCCTTACTGTTCTGTCAGGGATGTTTTTTTGTACTCTTCATACTCAAATAAATAGCCTTTTTAATAGAACTGAAATTTTGTCAAATAGTTTTACCATCTGATTATTTTCCACTATAGGAACAAAGCTAGAGGTCAGTGATGGTCTTCCTGTAGAAGGTAATCCTTTGCAACATTCTCTTATAATTCACTTTTAATGGGGAGGTGCAGCTCTTAGCATGAACACAGCTATAAACCTTTATTACTAAGAACATAAACATACCACCATGCTTGGTAAATTACTGCATTTTATGACATATTTTGTGTTTAAAAGATCTGAAGTTTGCTTCTTTAGTTTTGCACTGGAGGTACAAGGTTAATGTAGCTATCAAGTAATGGTGGTCCCACAATTGAGGTGCCATTTAGCCTGTTTATCATTTTATAACACTAAATCTAATGAAAAATGCATTTAATCATTAAAAATGTGTTCCATCTCAGGAACAATATCTACTTTTTAAAAAAGGTATAAATGAGTGGCTTAAATTTGTAACTGATGACAGTTACAGAGTTGAGTTTTTAGCACTGAATTAGCATGTACACAATATGTCAACTAGCATGCATGCTAATAGCAGGAGGACAGTAAAGAATATTCCATTGATTTAATTAAAATTGTGTTTTTAAATGAGAAATCCAATTTCAATCAGGAATTTGGCTAACAGGGTTGAACCTTTAAAGTAACCTTGACAGTAAATGGCACAATATCATTGAAAATATCATACAAAATGAAAAACAAAACAGAGAACTTATTTGCCATGTTTCTTAGGAAACTAGATTATGGGAACTACTGTTGAACATTTACCAGCAATATTCCTGATTTTTCATAAAAGGTAATGGATGACTGAAGAAAAAGGATGTTACAAGAGATGAAATGTTCAATGGATTAATACAATAAGGCAAAAAAATGATTTTTGTAGTATTTCAATGGTTATATTTCAAAGCAAATAGGAACAAAAATAGTACTGATAGTTTTTATTCATTTTTATTTATCTGAAATGTGTGTATAAGTTGTTGTGAACACTTTGGCTGTGTTTAAGATGTCATACTTTTACTTTACAAAGAAATGGCACCCCAATTGTGCAATCACCCTTGAAGACTTCCACAACACTAATTGGAACTGGGCTAACTGCCTTCCTCAAACTGTGTTGGGGGTGTTCAGTAATCTATAATAGACTTGATTATGTGGTTTCTGACCATGTATGACATATACACATGCATGACACAGGGCCATGTTATCTGTAAACATGGACTAAAGCATGTAACATAGGCTGTGTTTGAAATAGTGTATACTCCATACTGCAACAGTACATACTGTATACTGCGTACTGCAACAGTACATACTGTATACTGCATACTGCATCAGTATATACTGTATACTCCATACTGCAACAGTGCATACTGTATACTGCATACTGCAACAGTACATACTGTATACTGCATACTGTATCAGTACATACTGTATACTGCATACTGCAACAGTACATACTGTATACTGCATACTGTATCAGTACATATTGTATACTGCATATTGCATCAGTACATACTGTATACTGCATACTGCAACAGTACATACGGTATACTGCATACTGCATCAGTATATACTGTATACTGCATACTGCAACAGTATATACTGTACACTACATGCTGCCCTTCATTAATAATATTCTGAAAGTTCATTTTCTTTACAGTTGTAGTTGGTCATATGAGTTAGTTTGACTGAATAATAATCAGTATGACACCTGAGCCTGAAAAGCTGATGCTGCATGGAGTGTTCAGCTGAGGCCAACTTAAGTAAAGTAAGACTAAAGTTACTGTTTAAACCACATGACCTAGGCAGTTATCTTTGTTACACAGACAAAGTCAGCAAACCCGCCTTAAAACAAGCATGGAAAGCTGGGCGTGGCTTCAGTAGCATTTGGACAAATTTCTTTCATTTTCCCACCAAAGGCTAAATCCAGAGCTTTTAAAATATCCAGGTCACACAGAGGGGAACCTTCAGGGCCTGCTAAGCCTTTAAAGGAGGCCTAAAGATTTCTGAGACCTAAAAATACTGTCTGTAACGTCTACAAATTTTCCATCCCACCTTAAACATTTCAAGAGTTACATTCCGGTGCCTAAATGTGCCAGAATGAAACTTGAATGAGAATTCAATTCTCAGAAGCTAGGATAATCAGTGAGGTGGGTTTTTACTTGAATTCTGGCATTTTTGGCCTAAATTGAAGAGCTAGCTCTAACATAAACGGTTCACCACTGAGGTTACGTCCTCCTGAAGTGGCTGCATTGACAGCTCTGCCTGAGTGCGTGAACATTTGCCCAAAGTAGCACATCATCTGGGTCTCTTTGGAGAAATTGATGTTGGTCATACTGCACACTACTTAATGCTTTTGGTCACAGTCAGTATGTGAGCAGTATATAGTAGAGTATCTCCAACACAGCTATGGTCACCTTGAAGCCTGAACTTTGTCTGTACTTTAGTCCGTGTTAATAGATAACAGTGAGTCATACAGTGTCAGAAACCACATAATAAAGTCTATTATCTGTGCACCTGAATACTGTTTTTGCATTGAGAGTAAAGTTTTGTCTGCTGATTTTAGGAACGCCGCCAGGTCAGGGTGGCTCTGTTGCGACGCCACTGGCAGCAGTATTTGGGGCGTTGCTGGCGGTTGCTATTCTGGTGATCGTAGTGCTGTTTGTAAAGAATCAGAGGCTGCGGAAATGCCTGAGACGCATGGAAAACGTACCAGTAAGCATGCAGCAAGTACAGCAGCAAGAACAACAGGAAGAAGAGGTGGAGGATGAGCCTGAAGCTATTGTGCACAGTCCTGTGATGGAGACAGAAGATGGGCAGGCCATTATAGAGCAGATGAAGGTTCAGCAGGATGAAGCAGATCCTCTGCTGGAGACAGATTCTCCTGTGAATCCCCCTTCAGTCACGGAGGAGCCGCCGCTCTCTGTTCCTGTTTCTGACTCCTGCACACAATATTCAGATTCTCAACCTCGAGTGTTCAAGTAAATCTCACTTAAAACTGCCCCCCTTAAAACTTTGCTTTTGGGTTAAGCTTTAATGATGGTACTGGGTTATCATCTTCCCTGAAGACCCTTTTTTTCTGAAAACAAATGCTGTTTTTTTTTTTAATTTTAAAATTTTTCATTTGTCTTCAGTGTTTTCTGTCATTTACCATTCTCATAAATTCTTCTATTAAAACATATCATTGCTGTCCGTACTCCAAAATAGAAACTTTTAATGCATATTAATATAAAAAGATTTTATTTCAAGCCATTTTGGACCATTTCTATTGATCCGTTCATGATGAGATTTTCACACAATGTAAACATCAGCTGGACTTTCAAATTGTGCCAAAAAATGAAATATGACATGAATGGAGATTTTGTTTGGATTTTCAGATTTTTCTCTTTGCAAAAAATGTCTAATAAATATCTTGATGGAAACCTTTCAGCTCTGTACATGATCTGTGAGGTTTGTCGACATTTATCTGTTATTATGTAGGTTATTTAGACCATTTTTATTAGTTGCACTGATATTGTTACTGAGTTATTGCCATTATCAGTAAATAGTATATTGTGATTTGATTGATAACGAGCCTATTTTTGATCTGTGAGAGTATTTATACGCACACTAATAATACGATTTTCTGCAGTGACCCGATTATTCAAGTGGTCATATAAACAGCAAAGTATGATATCAAATATTGGAAAAAGAGGTTGTAACATTTCAAAATAATTTTATTCATTTATTTTGCCAGTTGTTCTTAAATATTAAACATTTAATTACATTGTGCTCACATTTTTTCATACTTTAACATATGTAAGGTCAAAATGCTTTCATGTACTGTGATATTTTTGTCATGTTAACCATCCTTACTGTTCTCTCAGGGCTGTTTTATACTCTTCATACTCAAATAAATAGCCTTCTTAATAGAACTGAAATTCTGGCTAATAAGTTTACCATGTGATTATTTTCCACTGTAGGAACAAAGCTAGATGTCAGTGGTGGTCTTCCAGTCTCATTGCCACAGATGTATAAAATCAAGCACATTTTTGGACAATTCTATGCTTCCAACTTTGTGGGAACAGTTTGGGGAAGAACCTTTTCTGTTCCAGCATGACTGAGCCTCAGTGCACAAAGCAGCTCCATAAAGACCTGGCTGGGTGAGTTTGGTGTGGAAGAACTTGACTGGCCCTCACAGAGTCCTGACCTCAACCCCAACCAACACCTTTGGGATGAACTAGAACAGAGATTGTGATTCAGACCCTCTCGTCCAACATCAGTGTCTGACCTCACAAATGCTCTTCTGGATGAACGAGCAGAAATTCCCACAGACTCTCTCCAACATCTTGTAGAAAGCGTCTCAGAAGAGTGGAAGCTGTTACAGCTGCAAAGGGGGACCAACTCCATACATATGCCTATGGATTTAGAACAGGACTCATAAAAGACTAACAAGGTTGAACTTTTAAAGTAATCTTGACAGTAAATAATAAGAATGAGAGAACTTGCTAACAAATGTTCAGTGATTGAACGTCTTGTTCAACATGTGACTTGAAATTCCAGACATTTCATAGGTGTTTGGACAACAATGTGTGAATGTTGAGAGACCAAAATGTACATTGTTCATAAACTGTAATGGACATGGATGACTCATGAAGAAGGATATTTCAATCATGAGATTGTAAACGGATTCCAGCATTAATGTAAAAACAATCTGATTTTTGTGGTATTTTATTTTTAGTACTTCAAAAAATATCTTCCAGGTAAGTGAATGCTGGCACACCTGTCTGCTGTTGCTCTCCGGTTTGTTTGTGTTAGGTCAAAGTCAAGTCAGTTTCGGGGTCCAAGCTCCCATGAGCGTTGCCAAAGGCGACAGTGGCAAGGAAAAACTCCCTAAAAGCAAGAGGAAGAAGCCTTGAGAGGAATTAAGGCTCAAAGGGGGAACCCATCCTCCTCTGGTCCACACCGGATAATAAAACAATAACACAAGCGCAAAATAAACAGAGAATAAGGTTTTAACATTAGTATAAAATGTTAAAATACAGAAAAGGGGAAAAGCAGGTGAAGCAATGGCTCTGACTAAATAGTTCAAGTCTGTGCAGCAGGAGGGTCAGTGGCATGCAAGTCAGGTTTGCACAGTTTTGGACAGCAGGAAGCTCTATGATTTTCAGATTGGTCCAGAACACTGGTGAGCAGTGGGCACCTAATCAAGATCAGATAAAGCAACAGCATCAGAGTGCATAGTGTGGGCAGTTGTCCAACTCAGCAAAGAAACACACAGGGAGTTCGTTCTGTTAACACAGACTGATTACAGTATACAGTGTTAACAGAGAGCAGCAGAGACTCCAGCAGGTCTAGTTATTACAGCCCTTTACTAAAATGGAGAGCCAGAAGGTAACAGAGATGTGAGTTCAGGTGGCGAGGAGCGAACCCAAAGTTATTTTATTGATGGATTAATGCTTTGAGATCAGGCGGATGATGTATAGCCTGGACCAGTGTCTGTGAATTGGACTACACAGCACATTGAGTTTTCCTGGATTTTGAACGGCTTCACTTAAGTACTAAGGCTTGCTTGCCTCTTCAGACTTGTGCATGCTGCTATGTGAATTGCCCGACACCCACGATGCACTCACCGATACATACATCCTGCCGCAATCTGTGTGTGTCTGGAACTATTGCTGTGAATGAGCAGATGAGTTAGTAATCATCATCATCTGGAATATGCACCATCGAACATTCGTATATCTGGCAATGCTTCATAGTCTCAGATCCGGTGCCAGTTAAAATAGCATTAGTCAGTGCTCGTTCAATGGTGAATAAGTCCTTTATATTGAACAAGTTCTTCATCTCCCTTGGCCTGGACTGTCTCTTTGTGACCGAAATTTGGTTAACTATCAGTGACTCAAGCCCCTCGTTGAGTTGTGTCCTAATGAATGTATTTCTTTAACACACCTAGAAGCACTGATCGAGGGGGAGTCTAAAACTGTTTTTAGAGATCATTTTAAAAATGCTGTTTGCTGAGTTCTGTGCTTTGTGCTCTTGTGTGCAGACCTCCTAAAATCAACAGGGATTTCCTTCAGGAAATTATCTTATTTTGCCTAGTGCTAATAAGGTTCTGGTTCTTGGTGATTACAGTATTCGTGGCTCGTGTCCTTCCAAGCCTTTAGCAGGAGAATTTTTACAACTTATTGACTCTTTTAATCTGACTCAGTCTGTCACTGGCCCTACACATGAACATGGTCATACTTTTAGACTTGTTTTGTCATTTGGTTTCTCAGTGTGCAATTTAGAGATGTGTGTTTGCCTGATCACAGACCCGTCTTGTTTGATGTCGCCATTCTATGTACTTCTCTCAGATGCAGTCTGTCTTCCTACTGTACACACACTATTATGCCTCATATAGTCAGTCACTTTTCGGCTGCCTCAGTAACTTCTCTCCTAGAATCCTCCTCAAAGGCACTGGCACTGACTAGTTGGCTGCTGTGTTCAATTCTACATGCACTGACATTATAGATTTAATTGCTCCTTTTAAATTCAGGAAATTCAAGATAAAATCTTAGGCTTGTCTCACTAATACTTGTGCACTTATACAGAAATGCAGGAAGGCAGAACTGAAATGAAAATAAGCTTCAAGTGTATTACTAAATTAGTTAAAGCTGTCAGTTAAATTAGTTACCAAATAGTTAAAGCTATCAAAGCAAAATAATTTAAGCCAAAGAGCCAACAATAAACTTACATAAACAGCTTTAGATTGGTCTGTGTGGTGGTGACTGAATAATAAGCAATGTGATTCCATGTGTGAGCCTGAAAAGCTGATTCTGTTTAAACCATGTTATCTATGCAGGTAGCTTCATTTAATAGACCCCACCTCAAAACAGGCACGGAATGCTGGTGTGGACTTTTTTCATTTCCCTGCCGTTTATGTATCCAAAGCCTGAATCCAGGACTATTAAAATATCCAGGTCACACAGAGGAGAACCTTTAGAGCCTTGCAGGCCATCAGAAAAGGCCTAATGATTTCTGGGATCTAAAACATACACATCTGTAGTTTTAATTTAATTTTTGTTTAATAGAATCATGCTTGTATTTAAATTCTGCAAGTATTTCTGTGATACCCTTGCTTTGTTGTTAAGTTCTGGAAACAAAAGTGTTCAGTCCTTGAAACTGCAAGCAGAAAACTGGCCAATTAGGAATTGATTTTCTCCATGGTTTTAAGTAGATAGTGCTAAGTGAGTTCTCCTATTGGTTAAGACTTCAGGAGCTGAAGAGAAGTCCTAAGGTGTTAGATAAACCACCAGCATAATTATCAAGTGACAGAGGAATCAACAAATCACGTTCTGATTTCCAGTAGGTGGGACCAATGTCTTAAGAAAATTTGTCACGCTAGGTGCTCTGAAAGTTCTAGATACATCACTGACTCTGAATACAAGCAGCAGTCTAATTTGTGGGTTGCTAGAAATTAAAAAACAGTGGCAGCAGCTCTACACCAGAGCTCACTACTGAAAGAATCACTGTGAAACTGTGACAAAAAAATATGTCCGTCACAAGCTTTGAGTAAAACATGGATTGTCTTTTAGAAGTTTGTGTTTAATCTAGAACTGCCTTTTTCAAATTTTCCATCCCACGTTAAATGCAGCAGCAGGAACGTTCCGGTGACAACGAATTTCCGCTCCACCTAAAACGCTGCAGCAGTTATGTTCTGGTGCCTAAATGTGCCAGAATGAAATTTGAATAAGTAGCTAACTTTAGCTACTTATTTTCATGCAAATCGCCGCTAACTTAGCCCTAACAAAACTCTACATCATTATAACCCTAGAAGAAGTTAGCATTATTAGTGAGGTAGTGTTTTTTTTTTAGTGTTGGACATACTGCATACTCACTGCTTTTGGGCACAGTCAATATGTGAGCAGTATATAGTAGAGTATTTCCAACATAGTAATAGTCAGACTGAAGCCTGAATTTCTGGTTGTACTCATTTAGTGCGTGTTAAAGATACCAGTGTGTCATACTCAAGCAGTAGAACATGAGAGGGAGTGTGTTATCGTGAAATAACATCACAGCTGTGATTTGGTCACAGGCACAAGCCGAAGGCGAGCTTTTATACAACAGTTAAATAAATAAGGTAAGAAATAAATAAACTGGGTTGTAAACGTGGCATTTAATATGTGTTAATGTTCGCAGTTCCTTCTGCCAAATTAGAGTTCCTTAACAAGCAGCTTGTTGCTACGTGAGAGTAATGAACTCCGCTCTCTCGCTGCTCAGTCTGCTGTAAGCCTCGCCTTTTGAAGTACAGACTGAACCATAAAACTGCAGCAATATCAAGTTCAGCTCAGCTTTGTCAGTTTATGCCAGATCAGTATTAATGTTGTTTTGTTCCAGCCAGTCTGTAAAGCATCTTACAGCCCATTTAGTTTGGCGAATGGTGTTGGGTTCATTTCTGGCTAATTCCAGGTTGTTTAGCTGTTCTTCTGTCACAGTTGCCGACTGAAAAGCTGCTCAGTGGTGATGAAAGTTTGGGAATTTAGTATAACCTCATCTTCAGAGCCTGACCAAATCGGCTGTCGTCAAATGGGATCTTAAAAGTAATCATTTTCTGTTTGTGCACAAAGTAAGAAGTAAACAGCTGTAAATGGCGTTGCTTAGCAACAGTGTCTCAGTGGAGTGATACAGTGTTTGTTAAAAAACCGTGATGTTATGGCAAAATAGAACGCTTCTCAACCAATCAGCTTGCATGCCCAGAACTAACTGTTGTATAAAGTGTCAGAAACCACATAATAAAGTCTATTACTGGTGCACTTGAATACTGTTTTTGAGTTGAAAGTAAAGTTTTGTCTGCTGATTTTAGGAACAGCACTGAACCAGCACGGCGACATAGTTGGCAGCAGTTTTTGGGGCGTTGCTGGTGGTTGCTATTCTGGTGATTGTAGTGCTGTTTGTGAAGGATCAGAGGCTGCAGAAATGCCTGAGACACAAGGTTAACGTGCCTGTAAGCATGCAGCAGGTACAGCAGAAAGAAAAACAAGAACAGGTGGCTTTAGCTTGCTCATATATGTATACTGTTACCTTAATAATAATGTTAAACATTTTATCTTCAAACAAAAGCTCCTTTTTAAATATTAGATTTCTCATTTTCTCAAAATATTTCTGTTTTTTTTCATAAACTTTTTCAATATCAACTGTTGTATATGTGTATAACGTTTTGTCTGTTTTTTTTCCAAAAATCTTAAGTAAATCTTTTTTTAAAACAACTCATCTGTCATGTTTGTTGATATTCATAGACTGATCAGAAAATCATATGCTGTTGAGCTTATTTAAACGATTAAGTATCCATACAAATAATACTAGTTAACTTATGAAATAACTTACAATTAAAAGGACAACTGTCATTTTGTCCCTCATCTTTCCTAAAAAAAGCATGAGCAGTGTTTGTAATGGGTAAATACTGGAAGGATCAACACTGCTACCAAGCTGCACTGGTGGATGTTCAAGAGTAGAGTTGGGATAATGTAAGTGTCATTCATTTATAATAAATAATCTATGAGATTAAACACTGCAGTATAATAGTAAAGCCCATTCTATGATCAGATAACATGCTGTAGTGTGGCAATTAAAGCTCACATATTTGCATATAATATGTGTCCAACGCAGAAACACATCACGGCAACAGAGGCCTGCAGGGTTTAGATGTACACCTGATTTACCACACCTGACCCAGTTAGTCCAGCATTATCTGAGCCCATTTGAGCAGCCGTGCCCTACAGTATCTGAGCATTTCCCTGAAATCATGTGACTTTCTAGATTAACAGACTTTCTAGATTGACTTTCACTTTTGCTACAGTTACATACATAAGCATTATAATAGCCATTTTTTGTTAGAAAGTTTACATTTTCTGCAAATATGAAACAACTGAATAGGAAAATATTAATAAAATATTAACATGGCTTTTAAGCCTTTTTTAATCATCCACTAGTTCAGGTTCATGACTAAATTGTAATACCATGTTTCTCCGGCGCTAAACTGCAGCTGAAGCAAGAGCCACTGGTCAAGGTTCAACACATCACCTCCTCACTGAAATAACATACTAATATTTCAGTGTGAATATAAATGATATTGAATAAATCTGTGCTCCTAAACGAATTGGTATTATGTACCCCTTGTATCACTGGCTATTCATGGTTTTTGTGCATAGTGCTAGACATGAAAAACTGAGGATTCACTCTGAATCATGAATACAGTGATATTTTTACAAATAAATTGATGAACATAAATCTCCCACTAGTTTTCTAACTTTCTATCCTGGCACTTCACCATCATTTTACCTATTTCTTCCATGGGATACTTTGCATCTAAAATCTACAGCACAATATTTTACAATGAAAAAACATTTAGCTGAAAGGCACTATATAGGCTCTTCAACTCTTCCCAGTGGGGCCAGAAGAGAAGAGAGAAGTGGGAAGAGCAGGGATGAGGACGGAACCTCTTATGCTAAAATACAGCTTAATTTTATCTGCACATATGGATACCTTACTGTACATATTGCACTTCTGCACACCTTATCACACATCTTGCACATCTGGACACTCCACACCTGGACACTTTATTTCAGTACCAATATATGCACATATTTATTCAGTATTGTCATTATATGCTGTTACCTACCCTCCTTGTACAGTCATTATTGCACTGCTTTTTATCTCAGGATAGATCTTATTGCATATTTTTGCATATTTATAGTTGTATATATGCTTGTAGATAGGTTTTTTGCATATATTCCTGCCTTTGTGTGACTGCTACTGGCTGCTAAGTTTCCGTCAGGATCAATAAAGTATCTGTCTATCTATCTATCTATCTATCTATCTATCTATCTATCTATCTATTTGGACTCGGGAGCGCGCTCTAGCATTTGAGAAACCCGGACGACATCACAGAGTAGTAATTCTCCTCTATACAAGTTCTCTGATGTTGTCTGTGGAGTCCTGTCAATGAAATGAGTCCAGCAGCTTGCTGGTTACACCACAAGCGAAGAAAGCCTTCCCTCAATGTTTAGATGTGAGCAAATGCTGTAGCCAAAGCAACCTGAAAAATCACATTTTTTCTGCGTTATTGAGCAACACACTACAAACTATTTATGAGTTTTTAGTCTGATTTTATCAGTTATTTCAAATATGTTTTTAAACGGTAATTTGACCTTCAGTTTTCAGTATTTGCTCTCTCCCCATTCAGAGAGAGGAGTCTGGTCTTGTATGGCTGTAAATAACTGCCCAGCAGCATTGCGAAGATGGCTGCAGAGTGAACAGATGTTACTATAAAGACTTTAATATTATTAATTCTGAAATAAATGCTTTCATTCTGTATTATGTGTTAAAGTTTAACTTTAATATTCATTAACAAATCATATAGTGGATAATATAGCGGCTTTCAAAACACAATGTATCTGTAAACAGCAAGGTGTTTTTAACTTGCCATTTTAGGTGGGTACACAATAAATCAGTCTCCAGGTGTTTATATTCCACACAGCAGTGCACTAGTGGTAAATGAAAGAGATGACTGTAACCGAAGGTTAAATCCTACAGAGCCCTGCTGGTGGCATCCTGTGTAAATAAAAGTAATGCGTGGCCACAACTTAGTAAGGCGTGGGAATGAGATGATTAAGTCGTGGCCATGACTTGGTAAGTCATGGGAACGAGATCACGGCTTATTAAGACGTGGCCATGCATTAGGATCTTGTTCCTATGCTTTACTAAGTCGTGGCCACAACTTAATCATCTTATTCCCACGTATTACTAAGCCGTGGCCACACATTATTTTTATTTATACAGGATATCACCAGCAGGGCTCCGTAAAATCCAGTGGCTTCCTTTGATGAAATTACAAAGCCCTGATGGTGACGTCAAGAATAAATAAAAATAAGGCACAGCCTCATTGTATTAACACAAGGGAACGAGATCCTAATGTATGGCCCACGACTTAGTTAGGCATGGGAATGAGATAGTTCGTGGCCACGCCTTAGTACGTTGTGGCAACGAGAAAATTAAGTTGCGGCCATGACTTAGTAAGGCGTGGGAAGGAGATTATGCCTTATTAAGCTGTGGTGCTCGCTAAGCTAATGATCTCGTGATCTCAAGTTGTGGCCACGCATTATTTTTATGTATGACTTGACATCTTGCATCCCACTGAAAAATTAACCAACAGAACTTAACCAACACGTGTTCGCGTTTAGGTTTTAAAACTGAACAGAGTGGAAATAAATGCCAACAGCTTCATTTTTAACATTTTTCGCAGTAACCAACAAACGCGACGTCAAACAATGTACATTTCCAAAATAACGGTTTCTCTCTAACCGCCGCAGCGGCAGCGTCGTTCCAGAAGTTTCTACAGCTTCACTCTTTCTGGAGTTCTGGGTGTCACAGCTGCTTCACCACAACAGGAACTGAGCTGGAAGCTAAACCAGAGCTCACAGACAGGGTTTCAGTATCTGGGTTAAAGCAGAGGACGGAAATATAATGTTAGAATGTAAAAGTGCCATGTTTTTGTCTTATTTTTTGTTAGTGGCGTTTAGCGTTTGTTCACTCCTTTAGCTAGCTAACCGCTAACCCTCGCAGCAAATAGCTAGCTAGCTAACTAGTTAGCTAACGCTAACTCCGGCTGAGGGGAGGGTGAGTAACCTTACTGAACTCAACTCGTTATTTAGCTAAAAATGTTTTTCTTAGTTGGTAGTAGCCACCAGAAACTTATTGAAATCCAGTTAGCTGCCAGACTTCTAATTCTTGCTGTATGACAATGCCACCAAAATCTAATACGAAGAGCCCATTTTGCCATCAGTTGATGCTGTAGGGCTGCTTATGTTCGCACCTCCAGACTGAAAATCAGCTTCTTTCCCAGGGCTGTCACCCTACTGAGTCATGATTCAGCAAAGCAGCTTTTGTCAGTCATTCTATTATTTGAGAGAATGAGCATTGCCACATCTTTTCATATTAAATATCAGTGTTATTATTAATAACATGTACATCCCTTGCAATAATGCATATTCTGCTAGCCTTTTATACTGAGAGTTTACATACAAGATTGAATTGTGCTTGTTCAGTGACAGCAAAGACGTTCTGTTTTATTGTGTGGTCTGTAGATGCTGCAGTTAGTCCCAGCTTCAGCTCTGAGCCTTTCTCAGAAACCATGTGACTTTGTCTCAGTTTATTCTCCAGGGCTACGTGTATAGCCCACTCTCTCAGTCTGTGGGCGTGCTTATTTAACCTCCTGGGCTAGTCTAGCCTGCAGTATATAAAGCCAGGGCTTTTTTTCTTGCCACTTCCTTTTGACAGGCTAGGAGCCAAAATCCTCAGGTAAGTTATCAGCTTTTTAATATGATTTATGAATTTGCATTCTGCTTTGAAACACTGAAACACTAACCACTGGCTATAAGGATTTTAGACCCTGAGTTTTTATAAAGAAGTGGGTAAGGCAGGCAATGGTGGTGCTTCTTAAGTTGAATATGTTATTGGCATGTTTGATTTTTGGCATCCATTTCTTTAATGGATGTTTTGTTAAACTAGTAGTGTTAATTTATAATTATTATTATTTAATTTGTCTTAGGGCCATTATTGGTGCCACATATACATAATGAGGTGTTGTAATGTATTTGTTTAGCCATTGCACTGTAAAAATGTGTTGCTACTTCAAAAACTAAAGAGTTCATTGCATGTCAAATTAATGTAAAAAAATAGTTAATTTTTGACAGGTAATGTTTAATTAATAACCAGACTTGCCATCCTGTTTTCAATACAAAACCGGGGATGTCTTAGGCCTTCTTGCTATTCTATTTTAGGTTAAACTCCACATAGAGTTGAATATTGTGAATTGAGTGACAGAATTTCAATTCACATTAAAAAAAATTAACCCATAATTGCTGTGTCACTGTGAAATTATGTTTTTTAGTTAGCTGGTGAATTAAAGTGAAAGTAAGCAGGAACCCTTTCACTTTTATTTTTGAGAATCTAAAAGGAAACCAACTATTTTTGATATGTCTAAAGGACACACACATCTTTCAAATTATTATGAAGTCTTTTATTGAGGTTGCTGAGTGTTGTCTAAATCCTCATTCCCAGGTGAAATTGCTGATGGGGGTTTGAGAGAGGTGGAAATGGATCCTGCATCAGAAGCAGAAGTCTCAGCTGCTGAGGGTGCTCCAGATGTAAGACAAACATGATGCTGCATGCTTAGTCATCTTTCTGTCAAGTGCAGATGGTGATTCCTTGCTTGTTAATTGAATTTCTCTTTCAGGCTCCTGCTGATTCAAGAAATGTTTGTACAGTGGCCAGGAGACTTGAAGGTATACAGAAGTAAAATCCTTTGTGACACTCATATGGTTGCCATTTTTAACCCAGTTTTTATTTAACTTTGTGTGCTCTAATTGAGGCCACTAGGCAGACGTACACTTCCCATCTTTACTTCCTCTGTCACTTCAGATATCTGTAATGTTCTGTTCCGTGGCTGCAAAATGTTTCAAGAAAAGCAAACACAGCATAATCTGTATACACTTACTTTGCACCAATGCAGTACTGGCCTGATTTAAAAATGTAAATATTGGAAGGGGACTTGAGGCCTGATCAGTATCTTTAGCAGTAGCTACAGTGAAAAGGGCAAGTCTGAACACGCTGTCTTTATTGTTAGATCATCCAATCACCATGATCAGATCGTGATTGGATGCTAATTACAAGTTTAAACATGGCCCTAGATTGAGTTACACTGTACAATCTGTAGGAAACGATGAGCTTGGGAATAGTGACAGAATTCTACTGAACAGTCCTGATGGTATGTATTGTCTATTACATTGTGTATTTTTCTGTGGAATATTTGAGTAATATAGAAATGTTTTAATTTAACTCCATACACTGTAGGCTTATTATTCACTAGCTATTATGAATCACAAATGGGCCCTTGCAGTTTAAGGATGGACTTAGTGGAAATCCATTGTATTCAGATATTGAATCATTTTAATAACTTCTTCTTTAGGAAACCCCATTACGTCAGGACAGTCATTACAGTCAACTTCAGCAAACACAGAGGTAAAGGGATCTGAGAATGAGATACAAATCCAGTTTCAACAGATGCATGTGTTTGTGTTCAATAAAATCTTTAATATTTTAAGATGGAGAATCAGACTGATCCTGTTGAGGTTCCAGACAGAGCACTGCAACCTTCTCACAGCAATCAAGGAAATATAGAAGGTACATTTCTGGAATCTGGTTACCATTTTTAATTCTCAAAATTAATTTACAAAAGCATAGAGTTTGTGACTTCACATAAAGTTCAGATAGAGGCAATCACTACAGGGGCAACATTAGGATATTATCACGATACTTGAGCCACACTGTTATTCTGTTGCTTTATTGAGAGATCTATGATATGCTAAGTACTTCTATATGACATATTGTGGTACACATTTATTATTTTTGACTGCAAATTATTTCTCCTAAAGAAAACATTGATTTACCTAATGAAGTTTACATTTTGTTCACCTCAGTTTTACTGAAGCAAAACAGAATTATGAAGTAAACAAAGCAACATTCTAAAAAGCTTTTTCTTTCCATTTACATGTTTGGCATGTGCTTTTATTTGTAAAGTAGACAAACAACATTTAAAATGTGTTCATCCAATTTAAAAAGGCAGGTAAATGTAAAGTTAAGAATCTCACCCAAAAGAATTTCACCCAGGAGCTTCTGATTCCTCTCTGAACACTGGGATTGATTCATACCCTCGCATGTTCATGGCAAGCATGTAATGTACTACACTATAGCATCCGTTTTAATAATGACTGACAGAAGCCTTCATCTCAACAGAAAGAAACAGTGACATCTTGTGGATTGAGACAGAAATGCATTTTAGTAAGCTAGCCTCCAGTAATTGTTTGGATTGTTTGAATCACTCAGAGATGAACAAGTAAACCTGTGCTTTCAGTTACCTAAGTTTGAGCAGATTAATTGTCTCTGAGCTTCTTTATTTAGACCCCCTGTTAGCTGCTCTGTTGAACTGCTTATACAGATGTAAAAAATAATAATAATAGAATTGAAAATTAGTCCTTTTATGAGGTCGTTCAGTGTTTCAGTTTGAATAACTGCTGTGGTAGTGAGCCAGCTCTAAATCTCCTTTCCCAGGTGAACCTCCAGCTGATGAGGGAGTGAGACAGTTGGAAATGGAGACTGTGTCAGAAGCAGATGCTTCAGCTGCTAAGGGTGCTCCAAGTGTAAGACAGACACGCTGCTGCATGCTGGTGCTTCATTCATTAATCTTATTGTCAGATGTTGATAATGAGTCCCTGCTTGTTAATTGAATTTCTCTTTCAGGCCCCTGCTGATTCAGCAAACATATGTACAGGTAAATCAAACTAAAACCCATGGCTGCACTCACAGAAACATGTAGGGATAAACTCTTTGTTTAGTAAAGTAATTGAGAATATAAACACAGAAACTCAGAAAAATCATCCCCTTACTCCAAACACAGTTGATCAGCCAAGACTGCTTCTTTAATTTTTCACTAGAGCTACAAGGCTAGCTTAGCTAATAAGTAATGGAAATCTGTGTCACCCAGATTTTTTTGATTGAACTTCTGTTACATTAGCCTCAAAGTGCCAGTGTAAAACTGAATAACAGGCTTCAGACACTGAACGTGTTGACTGAGCGTCTGTGTTTGGGTTGAAGGAAAGATTGTGTGAATTAGATTTTTTTTGGTGAACCACATTCATTTACGTCAGTATTTCTAATTACTGGCAACACATTTACCAGATGAAACACGAGACTAGAATTGTTTTTCCTAATTTAGGCATGTGTCTGCTGTTTTTGTGAGGTACAGTAAAGGAGCAGAAGAAATCTTCAAAAATATTAAGCTGCTGTGCGCTGTTCAGACCAATGACAGTTAATGGCTAAAGAGCATGACTGAATTTCCATGTGAACAGTTTTTTTATGCAATACAGATCCATCAGTTTATACAGTTAGCCTGAAATTATGAAAATAAGCAAATTAACGAGCAGATTTTGGTTCTAATGAGTGAATGGTTTAATGTTTCTCAGTAGAAAGTAAGATCTGAAAAAAAGATGAACAGTACATTTAAAACATTAAATGTAAGGTCATCACACAGCTATATATTTGATGGCTGATAAGTTTAATAACTTAAATATTATAGGTCACAATTCTGCACAGACAGTTGCTGTGTAGTAGTAGTGTGTCAGCTTATGAATGAAAAGTAAAAGACAGTGCTTTCAATTTTGTTACAATTTTTTATTTTCAATACATCCAAAGCACAAGCAGTGTTTTATTTGAAAATGGCCAACACTGAATTTTGAAGTTTTTGATCCTGGGGGTCTTAAAAATGCTGACAGAATTTTTCTGAACAGACCTCATGGAAAGCAACAACATATTATGATTTTTTTTTCCACAACACCTAAAATGTTAGTACCTAAAATGTGTTTTTTTACATTTGTCTTGATGAAAATTAATTGTGTTTAGATGTCAGTTGTAATCAAAGTATATTTTTCTTAGAAAACCCCGTAACATCGCGACAGCCGGTAGCATCAACTTCAACAGAGAGAGTGGTGAGAGGATCTGAGAGTGAATAACACATTTAGTTTAAACACACACAATACGTATATATATATATATATATATATATATACACACACAAACACACACACACACACATATATATTTGCAATGATATGCAAATCATGTAAAACATTTTAAAGGAAAATACTACAAAGACAACATATCAAATGACATTTTATTGTTTTTTTGAAAAATATTTGCCCATTTTGAATTTGATGCCACCAACACGTTCCGCAAAAGTTGGGACGGGGGCATGTTTCATCACCACTTCTTTTAACAACAAGCGTTTGGGAACTGAGGAGACACTGCTGTAGTTTTGAAAGTGAAATGTTTTCCTGTTCTTGTTTGATATAGAATTTCAGCTGCTCAACAGTTCGGGGTCTTCTTTGTTATATTTTTAATTTCATAATGCACCAAATGTTATCAATGGTGACAGGTCAGAACTCTTAATACGGAGCCATGCTGTTGTAATACATGCAGAATGTGGTTTGACATTGTCTTGCTGAAATAATCAAGGCCTTCCCTGAAAAAGACGTCATCTGGATGGCAGCATATGTTGCCAAAACATGTATATATCAGCATTAATGTTGCCTTCACAGATGTGCACGTCACCCATGCCATGTGCACTAATGCACCCTTATACCATCATGAATACTGGCTTTTGAACTGTATGCTGCTAATAAGCTAACAAGAGTGGTCTTTAGCCTGGAGGACACAGTGTCCATGATTTCCAAAAAGAATTTCAAATGTTGATTCGTCAGACCACAGGACACTTTTCCGCTTCCCCTCAGTCCATTTTAAATGAGCTCAGGCCCAGAGAAGGTGGCAGCGTTTCTGGATCCTGTTTATATATAGTTTCTTCTTTGTGTTTTAGAGCTTTAACTTGCATTTGTGGATGCAGCACCAAATAGTTTTCACAGACAGTGGTTTTCAGAAGTGTTTCTGAGTCCATGCAGTGATTTCCACTACAGAATCATGTCTGTTTTTAATGCAGTGCCGTCTGAGGGCCCAAAGGTCACAGCCAGCAAATACTGGTTTTTTGGCTTGTCCCTTGCGTACAGAGATTTCTCCAGATTCTCTGGATCTTTTAATGTTAATATGTACCGTAGATGATGAAAAGCAATAGTTCTTTGCTATTTTATGTTGAAAAACATTATTCTTGAATTGTTGCACTATTTCACATATCACAGAGTGGTGAACCCCTCCTCATCTTTACTTCTGAAAGACTCAGCCTCTCTGAGATGCCCTTTTTATACCCAGTGATGTTATTGACTTGTTGCCAATCAACCACCAGGTGTTTTTTTTATAGCATTACACAACTTTACCAGTCTTTTGTTGCCCCCGTCCCAACTTTGTTGTGTTGTTGGCATCAAATTCAAAATGGGCATATATTTTTCCAAAAACAAAAAAAATTCTCAGTTTCAGCACTTGATATATTGTTTTTGTACTATTTTCAATTAAATATAGGGTTTATATTTGCACATCAATGCATATTTACATTTTGCACACACACACACATATATATTTGTGACTAATTACATTTCCGTTTAATTAAGATGGAGATTCATCACGAGACTAACCCTACAGAAGGTCCAAAGAAAGAGCGACAGCCTGCAAAAGGCAAACAGGGAAACACAGCAGGTACATCCCCTGGGTTTGGTTACTACTTCAGTGTAATCTGACAGTTGTATCAGTATTTTCTTCTGAGTGAAACAGGAGATTGAATGGTTTCCCAAAGATCATTTGATCAACTCTTAACCAGTCTGGGGCAAAAAGGTGATCGGATATTGCTGATGAAAGGCACATAACCCCATGAAGATGCTTCAAAGACGACAGTCGCTGTGTTAGGAAAGAGCATTGATAGAGAACTAGAGAGAACTAAATTAACTTAAAACCACTTACTAAATCATTAAATAACATGTACGTGTAGTATTTGTTTCCCCTTCACTGTTAAAACAATGCATTATTACAGAGATTTATTAACATTAAATATATCCTGTACAGCCATGGCAACGTGGTTGGCTTACAGCTCACTGACCACAGCTCTGTCAGTCTTTTGTGATAAGCAAAACATTAACGTGACCAAATGTTTATAATATGTTGGGTGGAAAATTCCATTCCAGCACCATGATATGATGTTTGCCATTCGTTAAAATGCAGGATTTTTAAACTTTTTTAGATGTTTAGATTATATTTATCAGACCAGTGACTTTGTTGGGACTTTATAGAAACTGGGACTCCTCCATGGAGATGCTTGGTCAAATTAAAGCTATTACAGCTTAGACAGTTCAGAATTATTACCAACACAACCAGTGATCAGTAAAAAAGATTGATTATGTGACTATTCCCTTGCAAGACAGCATTTATTATGTCCAGTGGCTACATTCAGTAAGGGTATTGGTTGTATAGTATTTCTGTAGTTGTGGGTCACATTTTTTTTTATTTTCTGTATAACAGAAATGTACACAGAAACGAGCATTCCATCTGAGAGAATTTCACTGCGTGAACAGTGTAATTCAGATGATGAATATGTGGTAAGTCCCAGTTTCATGTATTTTAAGAGTAATTTGTATTATGTATACCTATATGTACCAAATGTACCATACACTGTACACAAAGGGCTGTATTTTCATGACACATAGCATTGTCAAGCACTTCTACTTCTGCATATTTCTTCATGCATGCTCATTCAGAGGCACTATATGCAATAAGGTTGAAGGAAGTGGAATATAATAAAAACATGAAAGTATAAATGCTGCAATGCCTTGTTAATACCAGAATTGACTAAAATGTAAAAATCATGGGTAGCACCTGGAAAATTGTTTTTTACTATGCTGTCAGTACACTGTCATTCATTCTGGCACTGTGTCCTTCACCCCCTGTACTTGAATCTATTCACCTTTTAAACATGTCAATCCATGAAGATGTGTGACTGGGTTTAAAAACTTGATTGCACTGGGTTTGCCGAGTAAGTAGAGTCTTAACATGATGAAATATACTGACCTAAGACATACATGACAAGTTTTCTTTTTCTTTCTTGTTTTCACAGAACAAAATTATTGCAAGTTTCATACACATTTTCATACAAAAATTCATAATGAATAATTATTTATTTCTCACACTCTAAATAGCCTTTTAGCTTCATGAAAACCTCTGAGATATCTGTGAACTCTGTACTATAAACTAATAACCACTTCTTCAAACTGGAAGTCAAAATGTCTTACAGTAACCCTCATCATACAGCCTGTCCTCGTACACTGACCAGATTCATTTCTTTTAAATTGTTTTTTTTTTTTTAATTGTAGGATGTTTCTGAAGACCTAAATGACCACGACATTGTGATAAAAGGTATTTTTTTTAATTTGCTCAGTAGTTTTGTATTGTAATTAGTTATTATTCTTTAACTGATCAGGTAAACAACACTGTAAAAAGTCAAATACAGCAGAAGTTTATTTTAAGTATTTTTGAGGTTTTTGGATGTAAAATGTAGATTTTGTCCATCTAAACTAAATAATTGTTTTGCATTATTTCACTGAAGGTATATAATTGAATAAAACTGGTTAGTTTTTTGAGTTTAACTAACAAAAGATTTTTAAAAACCTGTGTCAGAAAAACTGTGTAAACAGTAATATATTATTATGGTATAGGAAAAAATGATGTAATTTAAACTGGAAAATCCTGTACTTCACATTATCTAACACAGGTAAAAAATAAGGCACATATACAGTAATTGTAACTATCTGATCTGCATTAGTTGACCACATGATCTCATTAGCATTGCACCTAATGTCCTCTCTTGCTTATATGTACAAATAAGCACTTGCTTATTATGTGCTCGGCTCATAATGGACCATACTTTGTGAATGAAATAACCGCAGAAGTGACCCCTTTTTATAGATGGTTAACACCTGAGTAGGACTTCAGCTCAGATGGGTATCGGCTGTGATCGGCCTTTTAAAATGCGTTCAGTTAGCAGTTTGTCTCTATAACATTAAATTTTGATTTATTTGTTGTTTGACATAATATTTGTGATTTAGTAAACTGTAATGCTGTTTATTTTCATGTTTTGGAGCATAACAGTTTTGTAACAGTGTAGATAAGCATTTGTAATGTAAGCTACAGGAACACACACTCTTGTTAAAGTTTGAGACTTGGTGAGAAGAGAATCAAGAATTTGGGAAATTGTGTTGACTGAATGCGTTTTGTATTCAAACAAGGTGAAAAACTGTTCTTGATTTGGTCCAGAGTTTTGCGTGAAGAGTTTTGAAAAAGCAAACTTGTTCTCTACTTGTTGAATGCTTGTTAGCAGTTGTAAAAAAATTAACATTAACATTTAATTTTGATATTTCAGTTATTTTATTGTAATTGTCAGAAGTGGCTCTTCAATCAGGGATAAATAAAAGTTCACAGGCCACCAAAAAACAGTATTATCCAGGTGTACCTATACAGAATTACAGAAGGCTTTCATATGGCCACATTTCCTCCTAACTTCTTTATAGGGAACCGCTGTAGCTAAGATTCATAAATGTGAGCTATCCAGTAGATTGTTGAAGTTAAAATGCATGTTTGTTGCATATATAGTGACAAGAAAGGTATGTGAACCCTTTGAAATTATCAGCATTTACATAGAAAGTCATCTTAAAATATGTTCTGGTCTTTGTCTCGGTTACAATAAAGATCAAACATAATCTGTTTAAGCTAATGACACCAAAATAATGTATTGCTTTTATTGAATGTATCATTCAAACATTCACAGTGTAGGTTCAAAAAAGCATGTTTACCTCTAGGCCAGAAGTCACTAACAGGCAGACTGTGGTCCGAGTCCGGTCCCAGACGCTGTCCTATGCAGACCTGGACCTATAACCGATAAACAGGGTTGGGATAGCTACTGAAAAATTAGTAGCTAGCTACTTTGTAGCTATTTTCCCAAAATGTGTAGCAGCTACAATTTAGCTACTTTTCCAGAAAAAGTAGTTGCTACTTTTTAGCTACTTTTTGAAAAGTAGTGCACTGCTTTTTAGCTACGTTCAAAGCGCGATTGTCAGAATGTTTGTGAATCTCCACCTGACACACCAAACAAGCCCCACTGACAGTGTGAACAAGACACTGCATTTAATCATGTAGCAGAAAGAAACATACAACCGAAAAGCTGTAAATATACAAAAAAAAAAATATATACAATCAGGCCTGAATAATCTCTCCACTGCTGCAGAGCTGCTCCACAGCAGAACTAGATTTTTAGGTAAAATATAATAATCCTCCTTTACTGTAAAATTGTTATAACACACAGTTCTACCACAGTTTTCACAGTAAATGGTCTTAAACGCTGGAGTTAATGTAGAACTGCTAATTCACCCACCTTTGACGCTGAAGACTGACGCGCAGACTGCTGGACACACAGCAATGCAGATAACGAAATGGCAAAGAGAGAGATTTAAGATGAACATAGATAATTTGGAGAAGGATGGACTTATTTGCATTTATAAGCGCTGGTTTATCCATACGTTTAATCTGCAAAACTCTTGAAGCTGAAGTCGCTTCTCATTCTCCAGCTTCTCGTTTGAATTGTCCCGTTCCACCTTAAATGGCGCAGCAGTACAGTCTGGCGCTGCAGGCACCATTTAAGGTGGAACGGGACAATTTGAACAAGAAGCTGGAGAATGAGAAGCGACTTCAGCCTTGAAAAAGACGAGCATTGAGAGACATTTTACAAGAAACTCGAAGTTTCCTGAGATGCGAGAAAAGCAGCTACAGCTGAGCTAAAGCTTAAAGCAGAGCAAAGTAAGTCTGCATTTGTGATTTGTTATATTTTTAACCTGAACTAGCACATCAACACATACTGAGACATACCTACAGCCAAGATGGTCAAACGGATATAAAGTGTTGTGGCTCCCATGGTGGTTTCATTTTGTTGAAAGGACAAAATGGCTCTTCTTAACATTTCGGTTGTGACCCTTGACCTAAGCTTACTATAGTAAGGGGTAATCAGCGCTAGCCCGTTTGCTCGAACTGTCCGCGGCTCAGTCATTATTGCACAGTCGCCACCAGCCCAGTTAACAGCCGCGTTCTATCGTTCACATTTTGCGTGGATTGCCTGAATCCTGCGGCAAAATTGTAGTGAAAATGATTGCTATAGCTACGCAAAAATTTGTAGGCGCTACAGCTATTAGCTGTATTTCATAAAACTGTAGTGGCTACAGCTATTAGCTTCAACTACCTAACTACAAAAAGTAGCACGCTACTTAGCTACTCCCCCATCCCTGCCGATAAACTAAGGAGAATTATTTAATTTCGACCGGGTTGGTCCTATTTTAAGCAGCGTAACTTTTCTAACATTTTCGGTACCGCTTTAGCAGCCCGGGAGACTCACAGACCAATCGCATGCGTTGTAAAAATCACGTGACGCTACTCAGCCAATCAGATCTGTGCATTACGATGAGCACTGAGACTCGAGTGAATGGTGCACACACAGGGGAGGGACGAGGCGAGAAACAGCAGTCTGAGATGAAAGTGAGCCAGACATGTTTTATATGTCATGCTCTAAAAAGAGAAAACTGACAATAAATATTGTAGAAATATTACTGAATTGTACTTTATTTGATTTGACCTTCAGTTGTTGACTGTATAAGATGTCGATAACTACTACTTCAGTTTACAGTATATGGCACTGAATCATAATGCAAGTCAGACATTATGATGTTCTGGACCTTTGCTTGAGGAAATTTTCTTTGACTGGACTTTATTGAACTTTAATTAAAGACCTCTGCCCTTGGCTAATCACTTCAACAAAAGCTAATTGGAGTCAGGAGTTAACAAACCTAAATTTCAATCAAGGAAATGAGATCGGAGGTTTTATTTGGCTTATAAAAACCATTCAAATGTTTTGAGTTTGCTATTCACAAAAAGCATCTGCTGATGTGAACTAAGCCTTGCAAAAAGGAGATCATAGAAGACCTATGATCAGTAATTGTTAAATCACATAAAGCTGGAAAGGGTTACAGACTAATCTCAAAGAGTTTGTGTTCATCAGTCTACAGTTAATCAAACTGTCTATAAATAGAGATAATATAGTAGTGTCTGCTTTACCCAAATTGGGCATCTAGCCAAAGTAATTTCAATGGCATAATGCAGAATGCTCAAACAAGTAAATAAGAACCCTGTAGCTAAATATAGTTTAAGTCCACATGTGATTCTAAAATGATCAAACCTTAAGCAGTACAGCTAATCACGGTAAAATCAATAGATATGAATGTATAATAAACAAATCATTGGAAATCATTGGATACAGATAACCAAGAAACAAAAGATAAATAACATAATTGATATTAAAAGGTAATTTTAGCACTATAAAGTTTGGTCAGTAGGGGGAGCAGTGCACTCTTTCATTAATCAGCTGCAGAGCATTTCATACGTCGTTAGAAATGGCCAAATCTGCATTCTTTTCACGCAACTTAAATGAATAAGGGCCATTTTGTTTGTCTATACTTGTGAGTTAGATGAAGAACAGATCACATTTTGTGGCCAATTAATGCAGAAATTCCAAAGCGTTCACATTTTTTCTTGCTACTGTGTGTGTATGTGTGTGTATACAAATATATAGATAGATGTGTGTGTGTGTGTGTGTATGAGAAAGAGTAAAATGTTTTTTTTTCTTCTTCTTTCTTTCTTTGTTTTAGAAAAAGGCGGTCTACAAAATGATACCAGGTAATATTTTTTAAATATTTATTTGTTCTAAGTTCTGTATGCTTCAGTTTAGTTCAGCTGAAATACATTATAGTTTTGCAAGGAGACTGCTGTGAAAGGAATTTATGTCTATTTACGCTATTATATGCGCCAAGAATGAAAAAATATATTTTAACTTAATGAAGCATCATGAACAGAATGTCATTATTTTCAATTATTATTTATGTATGTATGAATTTATTTATAAATCTGATTAGTTCACTGTGAGCGCTGTCACTGAATTATGGCCAATCAAAATCTGCCAAGCTCTCAGTTCAGGCTACAGACCATAGTAGGGTATATTAGAGATTAAATTAAGTTATATTGTGTTACCTACTCATAACATACTATAAGGAACATGAGAAAGTTCACTATTAACCAGCATATTGAAGGTATAGTATCGTGTAACAAACATTAAGAGATCAGCAGGTACATTAGACTGTATTTTGTCTCATTAGCTAAATGAGCAGCTGCCTCTCTCTCTAGCTGGGCTTTAGTACAGACAGCCCTCTTATAACATCTGTTTAATGTGTGCTTTTACAATAATCAGTGAGTACAGAGATGCAAAAGAGACAAGCAAAGATAGAGAGAGAGGTAAATGAAACAAAATCAATTTGAAACTATCACCTGATTTAATGTAGGTTTGTTTTTTTAGCTGAAAATAAGCACATAAATAAATAGTTAAATGATTAATTAAACTTAAACAGGGCAATTGAAGTCAAATAAGTTTATGGAACATTAATAGCAGTTTATGGAAGAACGAAGGGATGAAGAAGGAACAAATGAAAGAAAAAGGTGCATAACAGTTATAGATGGGTAAAAAAGGAGCAGTGATTGAATAAAAAAATAAAAGGAGAAACTCATTGTTGCTGTAATGCTCATATTTGGTAGTTATTTTAATCACAATCAGATGTAAGTAACATTTCTGCAAAACAGACCTCACAAAAATTCTGATCCTAGTTACGGCTCTGTTAGCAGTTCTACGTTAACTCCAGCGTTTAAGACCATTTATTGTTAAACTGTGTTAGAACGATCAGCAGAGCTGATTACGTTATTATACCTAAAAATCTAGTTCTGCTGTGGAGCCGTAACGCGGCAGTAAAAGAGCCACGTGTTGTCGAACCCTGACTTAGCTAAAGTGGAAAAACTACAAATTTCTCAGTATCTATCCCAACCCTGATTATAAAGTACACTTTGCTTTAAAGCTCTTGTCTGTAGGGCTGACTGAGGGGCCAGAGAGTTTTGCCTGATGTGTTTTGGTTAGGTCATTAATAGATGATGAAGCTGACAGGCCATAGTATCGAGAGTCACAGATAGATTCCATCTGTATTAATGACCGTCAAGTTGGATTATTTAAATGTCAGAAAACATACTGTCCATGATCTAAACTCAACCTGAAATCAAAACCGACCTTTTTAGCTTGTTAGTTCATGTCCATGGTCACACTAAGCACAATTCATTGCATCATATTATTCAAAAGACACAATTCTTGTTTCTCTGTAATCTTTAAGCGAGGTGTAGTAATTTATTCCCACCTCTGAACGCTGATTAATGTTTGGTTGTGTCAGTGAGTTATAGCATGTGGGAAAATTATTGCTAACCAGTAATATCTTAGCATGTTTTCCCTCCCCTTCCCACCATCTTGACTATTCACAGAGAGAGAACACATGTCATAACATCTGCTCCTGGCTGCACAGACATGTATGTCTGCCAACAACCTCCTTTCTTCTTGTCACTTTGGTCTCTGTCTTTCAGTTTTTTGACCAGTTGCATATAATGACTTACGAGTTATTTCAGCTCGTTTTTTTTGCCAATACACGTTCATATTAGTACAAGTGAGAGCGTTCAAATATCTGGCAATGTTTGCGCTGTTTTTTTAAAGTGCATTGCTGCGCTTTGAGGCTGCGATGCTGTAATGTGGGGTAGATGATGATTACACTAGTACATGGATTTATTTATCTTGACGTGGAAGTCTGACTACGTGTTTGTTCTGGAATGCCTACTTTTAACGATCCAACCAAATCCTGAGGAATAAAATCATGTGCTGCCGAAATTTATTTCCACCTCGAGTGTTTCACTTGGAAGTGTATTACGTTAAGGAAGGAAAATGCATTCTGATTCTGAAGTGCACAGCAAGTCATATAATTGTAATTTTTTCTGTCAAGGTCTCTTTTTTGGAGTCCATGTCCTGGGTCAGCCCTCATATGCTGTCCATAGATCTTCAGAATATTTTATAACAGTAGTCCAGGCTAATGAAAATATGTGAAAATAGGTTACTGGACAGAAGTGTCACAAAAAGACTGAGGGCTCCAGCCTGCAGGTTAGGGTTAGTAGCAACCAGTAGTTTAGGGTTAGGAATAGTTCCTCACAAATACAATCAGTAGTCTCTACACCATCCTGTGGCCAACATGTATTGCAAAGGGAGCATAAAACTCCCTGGCTGGTGACTAACATGCAATAGGTGATAGGTATTTAGCAGGGAGGAACTGGCAATAACTAACACTGAAATTTGGTTTAAAACAATTTAAAAAGGAAAATTGTGTTGTTTACAATATAATCCTTACAAATTCAGACTTTCAGACTGTACTTTTAACTGCAATGACTATATGCAGTTGTTAACGTATCCTTTCTCTTTTGCTGTGGAACTGTATCTAGGGATAAAAACATTTGTGTGAAATTTTGTGCTGTCCTACGGAAGGAATTCCTTGTGGAGAACAACAAGTTGCACTTCATTGAAAGCAATGGAAAAAAATTTTCAATGCAGCCTGTAAGGTAAGTCCACATCTGTGCTGTTTTAGTGTTCCTGCATCCAGTACAAGCAAAACTCAAAACTAAGTGTATGATTGAGTGCAGGTAAAGCAACAAAAGCCGAATGTTTGCGGGACAGAACAAATGACTTGGAAAAAGAAATAAGACTGATAAATGTTAAGATTAAGGCCCAACCAATATGAAAGATTTGTCACCAGCACTGAGTTAAGGAGCTAAAAATTCCAATAAATAATATTGGAAATATAACTTTTTATGGTCAAGAAATAAACATATTCTGTTATACTGATTGGTGTGGCTGTCAGTTGTCAAATATGTAAAATATTGTGAGTTCTCAATTGCTTAAACTTAGCATAAAAGAATAAACTGCTGTAAACAGAATAAAATATGGTGAGTTATGAATGGTATATAGTTCCTAAGTTATGAATCTGAGAAGAACGGGTGCAAAAATGCTCACAAATTTAAATATTTAGGGTTGTCTAATGACAAACATCTCTGAGTTTGCTGTCACTGTTTGGATATCAATACTAAACTCTTGAATATATCTTGAATATATTTTTCTCTAAAAACTATTTGAGGTGGGTGGTCATATAAGAGACATCACAAATAACAAAGACTAACTTCACAAGCACTTTCAGCTCTACTGTACTGGGTCCTCAGCTCCAGATCTCTCTCTCTCTTACTGTTCATGTTAGATCACTGACTCTCTCTTAAAATGTACAGTATTGAACATGTTATATGCATTTCTTCAAAGTTGGCTGCAATTGTTAATTGGTACAGAAAGGTACACAAAAGTTTAAAATCTGTTACGTTTGACACAGTTTTTAAAAAACGGAAAGTTAAAGAACAAAATGAGAACCTTGCTCAAATGTCATTAGTCCCTCCTTACTTTATATATTACATGAATCATGATTATTTCTATAAATTAGTCATATTAATCAATAAGCATTATTCAATAAGGTAATTGAAATTTCTTGTAGATCTGTATAGTTTTTGTAAACAATGTTCTGTTGTAATTTTTTAGGTCTGATGGAGAGGACTTGATATTTACACTTGAGCTCAGAATGAGTAGAGCAGTTGCTGATGGTCTCTCCTACACATATTGTCTTACAATCAATGACAAAGACTACTTTGAAACCCTTACAGTAGGAAGGACCACTTACAATTACAGAAGACTGCACAGGAAAACCTCAGAGTCAGACAAAGGTGAGTGTCTTGTTTTTTTTTATGGGGCATTTTTCTAGAACAGAGGAAAAGAGTTGGTTATCCGAATAAATAGAAGACAAAAGTCTTGACAGTAGCATTCTGACGCTTCCACTCTGGCAAAAATACTATGTTAATGAGCCTTCAAATTAGTTGGTTACCTTGTGCTTGTGTGGACTGACAATGGCAGGTATCAAGGAACAACTGTCTTTGAGTTTTCTCACTCAACAAGCACTTGAAGCAAGTCACAGATAAAACTAGACAAGTTACAGTGATTAAATACACATCTGTAGTGTTACAAACATTTTTTGGAGATACAAAATTACACAACATTGTAATCATCTGCACACTGCGGAGAAGAGTAGGCTAACCCCAATTTTTTACTTACATGTGACAAATATTTGTGTTTTTGTCCATTTGCAACACATCTATTGCTAAATGGCAAATATGGTAGATTATGGTAGATTAATATACTTTTAATATAAACTTGAAATGATTTTGCTGGTATTAATAAAATGTACAAAAATAATGCTAAGTATAGTCAAAATAATTCCTTTTGCATTGATTAAATCCACACCAGCAGGATGCCACGAATGGACATATTAAATTATGAATTAAAGAAAGAGGAAGAAAGAAAAAGATAAAATGAAAAATACAAAATAAAAGCCCTAGTTTTACACAGGATACAACTGTTGCTTCCACTGTACCAGAGGTTTTATGGAAAACTGGAGCTTCACTATTACAATCTATGTTATCTAATTTTATTTATTTTTATGTTGCTATAGTTTTATACTACCTCATAATTTGTAATTTTTTTATTTTCTTCTAGCACGCACAGTTGGCTCTAGTTTGGGATCCTGTGATCTGCTATTTAATTGATGTCACCTGCAAACCAATTTGAATTGTGGACGCGTTACTACACACAAATCAAGAGAGAGCGTGTTTCAGCCAGTTAAGAAATTCTCTTTAGGGTCTTAGCTGCTAAAAGATGAGCAGTTTGTGAAATGACTGAGAAGAAAACAAACACAACCTAAGAAAAGATTGGTGGATAAACTAAAAAAAAGGTTACCAACTGTGGTCTTTATACAGTACTGTGCAAAAGGCACCTAAGCAAATTGTTAAAAAACATTCATCATAGCAGTGGGTGTGTTTTGTCTGCCAAAACAAAATATATCATTAGAATTAATATAAATAAACATGAACACAGTAAAAACTAAAAAGAATTTCTTGTTTTCAAAAAAGTAGTTGAATAGCTGGTTAGAAGAACAGGTTTGGTTCTTGATTTCACCTTGATGCGAACAATAGTGCACACAGAAGCCACAAACCATACAAAGTAACAATAAGTTTTAGTAATGCATGGACTGCACAGCCAAAAGAGTTTCAATACATGCTTTCAAAAATAATTTGGAAAAAAATGATTATTTAGGCAAAATGGTGCTCTCAAGACACTTTGATTAATGTGAAATATGAAGCATTAAATAGCAGTTTAAAACATTGTTCCACTACAATAATTTGGTTTTCGTTGTTTTATATCCCTCATCAGACTAAGAATAATGTGGCATTTTTTCCATAGAAAACAAATAAATATGTCTCCTCCCAGCATTTTGTGCTTAGAAAAGGAAACTCTTATAAATGCATATGCAATGAGGCAAAAGCACAAGAAAAGTTCCATCCCTCTCATCTTATGAGTTTTAAAGAACTATTGTGCCTATTTAGTAAATTGCGACAGTCGCATTTTAATGCCAAAAGATGATTTGCTACAGCCAAAAACAATAAAGGAGTGTGGAAGAATGGACTAAAAAAAGAGAAGAGATATAAAACCTATGTAGTGTGGGAGTGAGAGGTGTTGTAAATCACAAGTGATGGAAGTAAAAGAGAAATAAGGAATGAAAAGGATGAAGAAACAATGACAGTGGGAGTATGAATGTAGAGGGGTAGTGGATAGGTTTAAAAGGTAGTTCTAAAAGAGAAAATCATAGGTAGAGGGCTCAGTAAATTGGTTCTGTTTCTGCTTTTAGAGCCTGTGAAACTGTTACAGGCTGCACACATATTACCATACTCAGAACGTATTTCAGTGCAGAGTAATTGTTTAGTTGCTGATGAAACTATAATACCAGTTAATTTACTTCCTCTAATTGTGGTTAAACTGCTGGAAGTCATGGAAGAAATGTTGCATGAAACAAATACATTTGTTTGTTTGTTTTTTTTAATTGCGAGCAAAATGTAAATTCAAAATATGTTTTTCTTGCCCTTATTTACAGTCTTTCATCAATTTGATGACGTATGCCTGCCATTTTCAATATTGAGCTGGTGGGCAACATGGAAATCCACAGAGATTGACAAAATCCGCAGAAAATTCATTCAGATAACTTTAATTCACCTAATAGACTGCACCAACAAGGATTTAAGTGAAATGCAAAAAACAATTACTTTTTTCATCGATTGTATACAACTACGAGTGGTGCACCTTGACATTACTTTAAGGCTAACACAGTCCTTGGTAAGTACTACTGATTTAAGTTCATATCTATCAAGTATAAGTGTTATAAGCGAACGTGATTATACTATCTTTCTCGTAATTGCAATTGCATAACCAGTTACAGCTACTGTAAGGTAAGGGTACAAATTTAACTCCACGTGATCCCATCTTTTTTAACTTCCATCGATGCAGTCATTGTGCAGCTCATCTAAGCTGAGTCCTAACTGCTCAGTTACTTGTCACCTGTCTAGCACAAATCTATAAAAGGAAAATTTTAGCCAAGCTGTCCTTTCTACTTGATGAGTTCACAACCATTACTTCTACAGCACTCTCCCATTTTGGTTGTAGGTTTTATTTTAACTTTTGTTGGTAATCCTGACCAACTCAATCAAGGTTAATGATCAGTTTCTATGTCAGTTACTTAACATACGTGGTTAATATAAGATGTAAACACTTAATTAAAATAAATAAAATTGTGTATAAGATTTCAGAGTTAGGGTTTCTATCTTGAGTCAGTTTATAGTACATTAAACTTGCACTTCAGCAAACTGTTTAAAATTGCAAAAAACTGCATTGTCATAATGATATTTTTCATTTAAGCCTATAATTTTAATAATAACTTTGAATAATAATAACAACAGCAATGCAGTAGCATTTCAGGGGCCATACTGTTTGAACATATGGTACTGCATGTCATGATGTCATGAAATGAAGTACAAATGTTAGTACAACCCTTTTAATTTCATCTGAATCTTAACAAAACTCAGTAGTCTCAGTGGTGTACATGGTATTTATTACCGCTGTAGCCATGTCCTACTCTATTCATGATACTATAATGTCATTATGCAGTATTGGTTTTGTGGGTTTTTTTTTCAGGAATCAATCAAAATGGAACTGAACAGTGCATTTAAGGAAGCAGTCGAGAGTCTGAAAGTTAATGTACCCGTACAGATTGTTCTTGCAGCTGCAGTTTTTGCAGACCGTCTTCCCATCACGCTTGAAAAATTATCGGTTGAAAAACTATCTGAAATTGTCAAACGAAATGGTGAACTGCGAGGTACACTCATGAGTTTAGATGACACAGTGAGAAGGTAAGTAATGTTTTCATTTTTTTAATGATTGGTGTTGCCATGCTTGAAAAAAATACTGTTTATAGTTTTATGTTAATGTGTAGTACTACTGATTAATTCCTTTTTTATAATGAAAATCAGTTTCAAGTCTTACTTGATTTTTCTCCTCCAGTACAGTTTCCAGCTCTGTAGCATATATCTTCCGCTGGGCCTGTGGAGTCCAGTCAGCAAAAGGAGCCATTTGGACAATGGCATTGTTTTATGCTGTGTCTCCAAGAGAACATGATAAACGACTGAGTTTTAGCACTGAAAATATACCATGGGCAAAGGCACAAAGGTAGCTTATGTCTATTTTTCCTTTTTTACCCAAAATCATAAACTGGTTGCAAGTATGTAATTATCTGCATACTTTTGTTTCAGCACAACATATGTTGTGCACTGAGCAGTGCATAAAATCGTAGATAAACATGGACCAGCCACTTCATTAAAACCACCTCTTTGTTTCTACGCTCATTGTCCATGCTATCAGCTCCACTATAGTTTCACTTTGTAGTTCTACAGTTACAGACTGTAGTCCATCTGCATCTCTGCATACTTTGTTACCTTGTTCTTCAGTGGTCAAGACCCCCACAGAGCAGGTACTATTTGGGTAGTGGATCATTCTCAGCACTGCAGTAACACTGACGTGGTGGTGGTGTGTTAGTATATGTTGTGCTGGTACAAGTGGATCAGACACAGCAATGCTGCTGGAGCTTTTAAACACTCACTGTCCACTCTATTAGACACACCTGTGTTGTTGGTCCACCTTGTCCTTCATCAGTGGTCACAGGACGCTGGTCACAGGACGCTGCTCACAGGACGCTGTTGGCTGGATATTGGTTGGTGGACCATTCTCAGTCCAGCAGTGACACTAAGGTGTTTAAAAACTCCAGCAGCACTGCTGTGTCTGATCCACTCGTACCAGCACAACACACACTAACACACCACCACCATGTCCGTCTTACTGCAGTGCTGAGAATGATCCACCATTGGCTGGCTCTCAGCCACAGTGGCACTTAAGTGAGTTCTCCATGTTGGAGCAGTCAAGATGTGCTTGTAAACAAATACATATGTATTAAGTGTATGACAAGTTTAATTTAATCAAGTGTAACTTGCTAATTGTTTTGTTATCATCATTGCTGCATGTTGCTAATTATTAACTTAAATGGGACTGTATCACCATTAAAAGCCATAAGAAGTATCCAAACGAAGAAAAATAAAATCGATGTATTTATCTGATGCTTACAGACAATGATGGGAACCCTTTTCAGTAAAGGGAATACAGTAGATTAAATACGTTGCAAATAACATTCAGTTTTAAAAAAATAATGATTTTATTTGATGAATTTGTTTATGATTTAGATTTTAAAAATGACGTGTTCCTAAACATTATTATTAAACTGTCAACAAATCTGTTATTAATAGAAATTCACTGTGGTATTGGCCTTTCCAAGATGGCGGTGCCATTGACTATGTGGCTGAGACAAATGCAGCATTTACATTTGTAGATCTATGCATAAAGGAATAAGTTATAGTCACTCTCTCTGCCCTATTTCAAATAGAGATCAGTGAGCCCAAACGAAAAGGCTCAAATTTCTTTGTGAGTTTGAAATGAACATTTTTTTCCTCTGGACTCCTGGTGCTGTTTGCCTCTTGTCGTCTTCATCCACAACCTAGCACAACCTAAACCAAGCATGGAATATTCCAGTGAGATTCTGCACTCCTGGGCAAAAATTGGCAAAACATTTAGCTTTAATGGTCTTTACAACAAACGATTAAACATTTTTTTCTGATATGTGAAAAAGTTTGCTAAAATCTTAATGGTTGTTGTACGTTACATTATAATCAGTTACTAATGTCTTTTTTTTATATAGCGACTTTGCTGAGATGGTCAGGACACATTCTGAGGAGATAAAGAAAAACAAGGCATTTGCCTCCAGTGTTTTGGACATGTTTTCTGTAAAACATGGTGACATTAGACTCTTATCTAATCTGAGCATCACTCCACACCAGTTTCTAACTCAGCTATCCCAATGGCAGCAACAGTGCCCATTTCATGTAAGTATGGCAGTGCAAATATACAGTATATATAAAGTACAGTGGTTGAGTGGGTGGATGAGATGGGTGTGAGTGGAGGGTAAAAGGGGCTGTATGATAATGTTTGTTTCATTGTAATTAAGTGTTCTTTTTTAATTGTGAGATTCCAATTCAGATTCACCTCATGATTGGATTTAAGCATGATGACTGATTTTCTTTGTCAACACTTCATGACAGTGTACAGAATGATCATCTTAAGAATGTTGTTAGACTTTATATGATATTTTGAACATTAAGCCATTGCATATTTAATTATACATTAATGCATTTCAAGGAAACATAGCATCCAACTACAAAATTCAGGAAAGGCAATGCATGCATGTTAAATATTAGTATCCCCCAGTAAATGTTCATGATTCAGAGTCCTTCATCAAAATGTAATCTTGCATCTGTCTCTCTTTCAAGATAAACGATAAACTAATGTACAGTACTAGACTCCTGAAAATTGCTTTACTGTTAATAGAGAAGCTATTGATTTTGTATTACATTTTGCAGAAACTGCAAAATGCTATCTCAGGGGTAGCTGTTGAAATCAAGCAGTGGTTTCACATGAGGTAATCTTATTGAACATTTTCACAAAGGCATTACATTTTATATTTAGCCTAGTGTTGCTAATTTAAATATCCTGTTTGACAATGCTCTGAATGTTTTAAAGCTCAGCTTCAGGAACTGTGAAAAAGGAGATACACTCCTGTGCAGTGCTGATGATAAAAATTTTGGAACATTCTACAAAAGTAAATGACTGGACAAAGCATCGGGAAAATGCTTACTCATCGCTACAACTGTTGAATTCACTCAGTGGCTGTCTGGACTGTGTCTCAGATGACAAGGTAATAACAGAAATAATAACAGTTACACATTTGAGAATTGAGACTTAAATCACAAAGTCACATGTTGTGTTCTTTCAAGTTATTTTAGCGTCACAATAATACAACACTTTGCAGAAATGTTTTTGCTCTTTTTGTTTGCAATTAGTATTGAACCACTAGCAGCCCATGAGAAATAATAATAATATAAAAGGAATCAAAATAAATAAAGAAGAACATAAATTATCCATTTATGCAGATGATGTACTACTGTACTTAACAGAACCAATAACAATGTTACCACACCTAAAGAAACTTATTTCTCAGTATGGATACGACTCAAGATATAAAATTAATGTGGCAAAAACAGAAGCTATGGATATTAATGGCAACATACCACAAAATATAAAACTTCAGAGTGGATTCAAATGGCCAAAAGGTGGTATTAAATATCTTGGTATACACATCCCTAAATCTGTACAAAACCTGTATGATGCTAATTATAAGAAAATAATTTGGTGTATTAGTAAAGATTTAGACTGATGGTCCACACTCCCTCTATCTCTGCTATGTCATACTGAAAGTAGACGTATGAATATTTTGCCCAGGTTGCTTTATTTATTTTAGATGTTACCCATTGAAGTTCCAAAGTCTACTTTTAATAATTTGGCTAAATTGATTTCTCAGTTCATATGGCAAACAAAACCTCCAAAACATTGCAGCTATCCAAATCAGACAGAGGGCTTTAACTGCCTAACTTAAACTTAACATATAATTTCTGGGCTGCACAGATGAAGCCCTTGTTAACATGGATCCAGAATAATATATATACACGCTGGCGTAATATTGAAAAAAGCTTGTGTCCAGAGCCACTTCATGTCTTACCATTTTTGGATGCCCCTATAAAAGAATTGGGGCAATGGACTACAGCCAACCTTAAGATATGGAAAAACATACAATCAGTATTCAGCCAGCCCAAGACAATCTCACTGTTAACAAGCATTGGACATATATAAACCTTTATGACCCAACAGTTTAGGTACAGGGTTTAAAAAATGGTCAGAATATGGTTTAACCAAACTGTATCAGATATTAGACAAGGGTAACCCTTAAGACATTTGAACAGCTGGAAAATGAATTTGCTTTCCCCAGAACAGACATTGGATATTTGCAATTTGCAAAAGTACAAACAACAGGAAGTACAAAGAACAGGAAAAACTTACCTATACATATAGAAAATTATTTAATGGAATTACAAACAAAGAATGGAGGGGGAAGAATAATTTGTAAACTGTATGAAACATTCTTGTCTATGAACCTAAATGATTCCTTAAATATGAAGCAGAGATGAGAATCAGAACTAAATGTGGATATAACACAGAGTACTTGGAACGAAATATGCACTGAAGCAAGTCTAGTGACAAATTCAAACATCTGGAGAGAATTCAAATGGAAAGTCATCACCAGATATTTCCGACAGAAATAGTGTCGAAGATGGTCTAACACATAACAGTTCATGTTGGAGAAATTGTGGAGCACAAATTTGAAACCATACTCACATATTTCGGCTGTGCCCTAAGTTGCAGATATTCTGGAAAGAAGTATTTGATGCTCTTAAGGAAGTATTTCAGCAGAATATTCCACAAGATCCTAGTGTGGCAATACTGGGAGTAATACCTGATAACCTAGAGGGAAGATCTAAGAAATCCCACATAGGGGAGGGTCTGGACTGTTAACAAGCATTGGACATATATAAACCTTTATGACCAACAGTTTAGATACAGGGTTTAAAAATGGTAAAAACATGAGAATCAGAGTTAGATCAAACCCCTGGTTCAATTCAGAAATATCTTCCTTGCTCAATGCAAGAAATAAAGCATGGGCCCTAGCTAGAAGAAATGGTGACAGAGACCATTGGCTTACCTTCAGGCAGCTGAGGAATAAATGTACTTCTTAGATCAGAAAAGCTAAAGCAGAATTCTACCTCCAGATATTTACAAACTCAACTACAATTCCTCTAAATTCTGGAAGACAGTTAATTTGCTCAATAACAAATCAGTGCCCATTCCAAATCATATTGTAATTAACGATCAATAGTTTACTGATGAGAGAGAGATTTGCCAAGCATTTAATACTCACTTTGCAGCCGCTGGACATTTATTCGATAATATTAACATGGAAGCACCTCTCAATGAAATAGATACACCCCCCGCTGTAAGACATGGTCTCTTTACAATTCACCCTTTATCTCCTCACTTAGTGGCCAAAGCACTTAACACCATCAGTACTAAAAAAAGTACAGGAGAGGACAGCCCGGACCCCTTTTTTCTAAGGCTTGGTTATTTTAGAACATATTACATATATTTTTTAATCTATCTATTTTATCAAGCAGAATTCCCAGTATCTAGAAAACAGCACATATAACTCCACTTCACAAAGGAGGTGATGCCACTGATCTTAATAACTGTAGACCATCACAAAACTGTCATGCTTAGCCAAGATCTTAGAAACTGATAAAATGATCAACTCAAGGCATTTCTGCATCGAAATTCATTTTATCAAAGTACCAATCTGGTTTTAGAGAAAAGCACAGCACAATCTCTGCAGCTACTTTCATCTTAAATGATCTTTTCAGTGCCATTGATAAAAAGAAACATTGCAGCCATTTTCATTGACCTCTCTAAAGCCTTTGATACAGTTGATCATTCCCTCCTCTTAAAAGTCTACAAAACATTGGTTTTGATCTCAGGGCTACTAACTGGATTAGAAACTATCTCTCCAATAGACAGCAACGTGTGGCCCTAGGACAGAATAGATCAGAGCTACTTCCAGTAACAAAGGGGGTCCCTCAAGGTTCGACCCTCGGACTAGTATTATTTAATATTTATATAAATGACATAGCCACCTCAATTGTTGACTGCAAAGTACACTTACATGCTGATGACACTATCTTGTACTGTTCGACTGACTATATCGATACTGCAGTAGATAAACTACAGCATTCTTTTAATGTCCTACAATTGGCTTTCTACAACCATAAACTAGTTTTAAACACTGAGAAAACTGAATTCATGCTGTTTTCCAGAGCCTCTAACATTGATTTTAGTACTTTTAAAATCGCAACCCCGAAGGGATCTGACATTGAAAGAGTCAATGAGTACAAATACCTTGGCATATGGCTAGATAACAAATGCACTTTTAAACAACATGTTAACAAACTTACCTGTAAACTGAGACAAAAACTTGGTTCCCTGTACCGTAACAAAGAATGTTTCCCAAAGCACACAAGGAAAAAGATCATTCAAGCAACATTATTACCTATTCTGGATTATGGTGACGTGTTATACAGATATGCACCTGTAACTACTTTGAAATCTCTAGACTCTGTATAGACACATTGGCTTCTTTTTATCTATAAAGCGTTAACTGGCCATATGCCATCGTACATCACAAATGCTCAGTGTAAATAATGCGGTTTATCAGACTCTTTCAGTGATTGGTCCACCCTTCAGGTGCTGAGAGCTTTCACAGAGCTGGGAAAATCTGCTTTTAGCTACAGTGCACCAGCGAGCTGGAATTCATTACAGGAAACTCTAAAACTTTGCTTTCTGGTGTCACATGAACATTTTAAACTTTTAGTCTCTAACCACCTCCGCACAGCCTGCAACTGCTTTATTTGATTTTACTGAATTTTTAATATGACTTTTGGTATGTTTAGCTATGTCTTAGCTATTGTTTTTACTTTTTACTTTTACTTTTTTACTTTTGTACTTTTATCTCTTTACTTTTTATCATTCTTTTTATTCTTTTTATTTCTTTTGTTAGTATTCTTTTTATTTATTTTATTAGTCAGTTTGTTTTCTTACATCTATTTCTTTCATTTCATTAATGTATGTTTTTATTTATTTTATCCTTTTATCCTTTATCTGCTTTGTTACTTGATAGGTTGTTATATTGTAATTTTAATTGTTTATTGAATTAACAGTTTATTGGTACCATCTTATTATTAAATTTTACTTTTATGATTTTTATCACTTAATTATAGCATTTGATTGATTTTTTTTCACTGTACAACTTCTCAATCCCTGATTCCTGTATTACTCGGCTACATTGTAAGTGAGGGTCTCCCTCAATGTATTCCGAGTTTAAAGAAAGGTTGATTGATTGATTGATTGATTGATTGATTGAGAGATTGATAATTTATGGATCCAAAAGGTGTGAGATGTCTACCAAATGGAACAAATAACATACTTATTAAGAATCCAAAAAGATATATTTACTAAGAGATGGATCTACTAATGCAGTGAGAAATGTATTATTTATTATTTTATTATTTAATTTTATTATTATTATTATTATTATTATTATTATTATTTTATTTTTTTAAATGATTTATTTGTTATTTATTTATGGTTTTTAAACAATCCTTTTGTGTTTTTATTTCATATTCACTTATCATTAACTTTGGTTAATAATATTTTCTTATGTTTTTGGCTACTTTTATATTGGAGTGGATCCCCTTTGTTGCTTATTTGTGTTATAATTGAGATTGAAGAGTGTATAGATATAGCTGGGAAAGGGAAAAAGTTCCTTTTTTCTTGCATGGAAATATTGTAATACTGTTAAAAATAAATAAATAATTAAATAAATAAAAACTAAGTTTATCCGCGCTTGGCAAAAGGTGCCATGATAGGTCCTTTTCATAATGCCATAGAAGAACCACTTTGGGTTCTGTAAAGTGCCATGATTGAAAAAGAGATTTGTGAGTGTGAAGAACCTTTCAAAGTTTCAAGAACTTTCACAGAAGGTAAAGGTTCTATGCTTCATTAGGATATATTTCAGTTAAGTTTATTTTGCTGTGGTTTAATGTGCATTTAAGCTCTGCCTCTCTGTATGTGTATTCTTGGGTCCAAATTTGGTCTCCCAGCCAGTGTTTCTTGGCCCTTTCCCAAGCCTGTGTTAAAACTAATGTGTATTTGGAAGAAAAAATCACAAAGAATGGCAGCCAGTGGTAGCAAAAGTAGATTTATTTCTTTATCATAAATAACTTGCCCAGACAGTTGTATATTACAGTTGTGATATTAAAAATGCTTTTACTTGCAGGATTTGAAGAAACTGAGCAGCTCTGTTATGCCAAATATAAGGCAGAAAATGGCAGAATGTGTTAGAAGCAATTGGAATTCTGGCAGAAAACTGGTGATTCAGGTATGTCTATTATTTTTTTTTCCGTCATGCTGTAATAAAGGCTAACATATATAAAGTTCTTTTCCAGCAGAGACTAATGTGTCCTTGCTCCACATTTACCAGAAATAATCAATTTTGTGATTTCCTCATTAGGAATGGACTCAACTGTTTGATCTCCGGCTACCAGATATTTGGCAAACAGAGTGGGAGGAACAGTTAAAGAGTCTCTTCAAAGAGAAACTCAAAAAAGTAAGTTGCATTAGGCATATCACAAAAGAAACAAATTTTGCCTTTTACATTAAAACATTTACCATCTGCAATCTATGTCAGTATAGGGGGTTGAAAAAGTTAAGATTAGGTTTGATATTTTGATATTAGATATAATTGATTCTTCCTCCATAGAAAATAGTTATCTGTCAGCTTCTGGTCGAGGCATAACTAAAATTTATGACTAAGCATTATTGGTTAATATTCAATTGTGTAAGGCCAGCTTTTGAATGTATAATTTTGTGCAAAAGTTTGGGCACCCCTGGTCAAATGACATTTTGTTAATATGTCAGTGAAAAGAAACTGATACAAAATCTGCATGGAACAAACTTCAGTATGACAAACTACTACGAATTGTAATTCCATGTATTTGCTGAATCTAATATATTGGAGAAAAAAATTATAAAAGGTGCCATCTGCAAAAGTTAGGGCACTCTTTCAGTTGATTCACCATTTCAGTTAATGTTATTTTTTGTAAGGTCTCAGATTTATTTGAATCATTAGGCCTTAATCCAAGTTAGGTGTGACCAATTTAAGAGTGTCATATATTATGTGACCTCTGATAAATTTTGTTCAAACCTCTCTGTTTGTGTTCTGCTTACATACAATATCCATTAGCTCGTCTAAGCAGCTGACTGAGGATCTGAAACTAAAGATAAAGCAAAGGAAGACTATAAAATATATTTTAAAACTTTCCGCTTGTAATTATGCCATGAAGAAGTGGAAGTTGAGCAGAACTGTTAAAGTCAGTACAAGACCTCAAGACAAAGAAATTGTTCTGATAGAACTGCACAGATAGACTGATAGACTGGTCAGGTATGCAAAGCAAAACCCCCACATCACTGCCAAGGACCTACAGGAAAATTTGCAAGTGCTGTGGGCTGATGAAACAAAAGTTGAACTCTTTGGCTGTAACCATCAAAGATATGCTTCGAGAAAAGAGAAAAGCATTTAAATAACAGAACACCTTGTGGCAGCCAGTTGCACAGAAAATTTTCTGGGAATAAGGAACAAGAGATTCTATCAACACGTCCTGAAGGCTAATGTCCAATAGCCATTGAATAAGCTGAAGAGTGGTTGGATATTACCAGAAGACAGTGATTTAAAACATACTTCAAAATCAACCTTGGTTGAATCAGTTTCGTTGTTGGAATGGCCCTCACCATCCCCAGATTTGAATATTAAGAAAACCTGTGGATAGACCACGTACATGATGTGCATGCAATACAACTTATTAATATTTCTAAACTAGAAGTGTGCCATAAGGAAAAGGGGGAATCATTCTAAAGAACAGAAGGAGTGTAAGCTGGGCACAAGAAACATTTGGAGGCTGTGATTTCAACCAAAAGGAGTATTTCTAAGTACTGACTGAAAGGATGCCTAAACTTACGTAAAAGCAGCCACATTTAATTGTTTTTCCAATATGTAAAATTCTGTAAATAATAATTCTGTATTTAATTTTGGAGTAATGTCAAATTTATGTTTGTTCTATGCAGAGATGGTGTTGACTTTTCATGTAGAAAAACCAACAGATTGTGTAATTTGATCATGGATGCTCAAATGTCTTCATACAACTATATCTTTGCAAAACACTCCACCCTCCTGTCCAAAAGGTCATACCTTAAATAATTTATGTTCAGCAATTTAATTTTAATGCATTAGCAATTTCATGTTGACGTCAACTTAGTTCATGTTGTTTATTATTAATTTTCTACATACTATTTAGCATCAGCTGTTAGTTTAGATTCAATCAGTACACATAGTCCAGCACATCTGTGATTGTGACACAACACACATTTAAAATCACTTGCATGATATGTTCTGGCTGTCTAGTTAAGAACGACTTTCAGCACCATTATTCATTGTTTCATTTCAGCTTCAGTTAAAGGAGATATTGTGTGCAGTTGATGTCAAGTGTACTGTCTTTAACAGGAAAGTGAAGCCATGCAAGTGACACTCTACTGTGAGAATTCTCGCGTTTGTCCAGCAATGAATGACTGCCTGTTAAATTGTGCTTTAGATGCCATTAACACAGTGTACAGAAGCAAGGTGAGTTTTCTAAGTCAGTGCAGCACTTTCACAATGATGGGATAATTTTACTTTTATAGGATGAACTTACTTCAGTTCTCCAATTCTTTATATATTGGAATTGAAAAGTTTAACTAATAATTAGGTAAACTAATTAAATAATAGCATTTTTTCCTATAGAGACAAATAATCCCAATAAACCAAGTAAATGCTAACATGAACAAAAAAAGCCTTCTGAAGTTGCATTCTTAATATAGTCTGGTAAACTGTTCCATAGTATATTAGCAATATAAGAGAAAGGTCTTCCAAGATTAAGATTGGCTAAATTGGAAATGTATGCCATTAAGGACTTTATGGTTTGTAATCACAACCTTGTAGTCAGTGCAAGATTATATATACATGCATTTGACACATTTTGTATAAATATATATATATATATATATATATATATATATATATATATGTATGTACAGCTGCTGTCTGAACAAAACCTTCCATTTTTGGTGTTTTCCAGCTTATGACATAATTTGAAAATGCCTGTTTTAAATTGTATTTAAATTTCATGATGAATGATAAATTTCAAATGAAGTGGAACAAAATGACTTGGAAAAAGTCTGGTTCCATTGACTTGCAATAAAAGTAAACTATGTTTTTTCCTTCTCCTGTGAAGTTACCATTTTGGGGATACAAGGTTTTGTTCTGAACCCGGACTAGTTATTTTTATATAAATGAACAACTGACTCAAGTGCAGTGAGAAATGTAGTGCTATGAACAGTACTATAAAAACTTCAGTGCAGCACGTCACACCTTTTTGTTGTATTAAACATTTTATCACGGAAAGTGATGTAAGACACCTAAATGTGTCCAAATTTGACTCTGAAAATTGGTTTGGCACTACAACCATTTCCAAAAAATTGGAACACTGTGCAAAATGTAAATAAAAACAATGCAATGACATGCAGATCATTAAAATCTTATATTCAATTGAAAATAGTACAAAGACAATATACACTATACGGACAAAAGTATTGGGACACCTACACATTACACCTGTAGGAGCTTTTATGACATCCCATTCTAAATAGGCATGTATATGGAGTTGGTCCCCCTTTGCAGCTATAATAGCTTCAACTCTTTTGGGAAGCTTTCTACAAGATGTTGGAGAGTGTCTGTGGGAATTTTTGCTCATTCTTCCAGAAGAGCATTTGTGAGGTCAGACACTGATGTTGGACGAGAGGGTTCGGCTCACAATGTCTGTTCTAGTTCCCACAGGTGTTTGATGAGGTGGAGGTCAGGGCTCTGTGCTTTTTTGGGCCAGTCACATTCTTCCACACCAAACCCATCCAGCCATGTCTTTATGGAGCTGCTTTGTGAACTGGGGCTCAGTCATGCTGGAACAGAAAAGGTTCTTCCCCAGACTGTTCCCTCAAAATTGGAAGCATACACTTGTCCAAAATGTCTTGGTATGTCGAAGGATTAAGATTTCCCTTCACTGGAATTAAGGGGTCTTGGCCAACCCATGAAAAACAACCCCATAGCATCATCCCTCCTCCACCAAGCTTTACAGCTGGTACAACTGTAACATTCTCCTGGCATTCTCCAAACCCAGACTCATCCATCAGACTGCCAGATAGAGAAGCATTGTTCATCACTCCACAGAACACGTTTCCAGTGGCGGCGTTCTTTGACACCCTCCCCCCCAACCCCAACCCCCCGATGCTTGGCACTGTGCACTTCAGCACTCTGCGGTCCCGGTCTGTGAGTTTGCGTGATCTACCGCTTAGTGACTAAAGTGTTGTTGCTTCTAGATGCTTCCAGTTGACAAAAATAGCACTTACAGTTGTCTGGGGCAGATCTAGCAGGACAGAAATTTCACAAACTGACTTGTGGCAGAGGTGGCATCCTATGATAGTGCCATGTTTAAAGTCACTGAGCTGATCAGTACGACCCATTCTACTGTCAGTGTTTGTCTATCGAGACTGCAAGGCTATGTGCTTAATTTTATCCTCCTGTTTGCAATGGATTTGGCTGAAACACCTGAACTCAAAAATTAGATCCCAATACTTTTGCCCATATAGGGTATCAAATTGAAATATGAAAATATTGTTTATTGGAAAAAAAATGCCCCATTTGAATTTGATGCCAGAAATACATTTCAAAAAATTTGGGACAGGGGCAACAAAAGACTGGTAAAGTTGTCTAAGACAAAAAAACACCTGTTGGAACATAACACAAGTAATTTGATTATTTTGCAACACGTCAGTAACATGATTGGGTATAAAAAGAGCATACCAGAGAGTCACACTCTTTCAGAAGTAAGACTGTGCCGACAAATAGTGCAACAATTTAGAAATAACGTTTTTCAACGTAAAATAGCAAAGAACTTGGGGATTTTATCAACAGCAGTATGTAATACCATTAAAAGATTCAGAGAATCCAGAGAAATCTCTGTGTGCAAGGGACAGGAACGAAAACCAATTTTGGATGGCTTTGATCTTCGAGCCCTCAGGCAGCACAGCATTAAAAACAGGCATGATTCTGTAGTGGAAATCACTGCATGTGCTCTGACACACTTCTGAAAACCACTGTCTGTGAACACAGTGCATCACTGTGTTGTAACCAAGAGCTATCTCTTTTTGTCCAGGGTCTGGACATTTATAAGTAACTAATATTGTCTATACTATTGTCCTAATAATTGTCTGTAATCTAATATCTTCAAAAAGAATTAAAAGAATCAAAGAATATCAACAAAAAATGAAAAAGGACAAAAAAGGAGTGAAAAAAGACTATAGCCACTGAATTCTTGTGGAAGGATGAAAAAGGCTTTAAAACCAAAAACGTTTAAAACCAAACCTTTAAAACCAAACGCGTATGATGTCTTTTTTAAAAAAAACACTCTGGTCTGACTCTTACAAGATTGTTCTCTCCTTACACCTCTTGCACAACTCTCCATAGGGCATCTCACACAATACACATACCATATACGTACAAGAGTGTAGCTATAACTTTCTATAACTGTCATCTGGTACAGCTCCCTTCTGTGAGCTCAGAAGCTCTTCCCCTGTTAGAGAGTCTATAGCATACAGTCCATAGTCTGCTTCCCTATATTACCTTATTTAGTTTATTGATTCCTAATCAGGGAATGTTTTATTCAATCGTTCCCATCAACTGCATCAACAAATATGAGTTAAAAGTCTATTATGCAAAGGAGAAATCATATATAAACAGGATCCAGAAACACTGCCGCCTTCTCTGGGCATGAGCTCATTTAAGATGGACTGAAGCGAAGTGAAAAAGTGTCCTGTAATCTGACGAATCAAAATTTAAAATTCTTTTTGGAAACAATGGACGCTGTGTCCTCCAGGCTAAAGACCACTCAGCTTGTTATCAGTGCACAGTTCAAAAGCCAGTGTTCATGATGGTATAGGGGTGCATTAGTGCACATGGCATGGGTGACGTGCACATCTGTGAAGGCACCATTAATGCTGAACGATATATACAGGTTTTGGAGCAACATATGCTGCCACCCAGACGGAGTCTTTTTCAGGGAAGGCCTTGCTTATTTCAGCAAGACAATGCCAAACCATATTCTGCAGGTATTACAAAAGCATGACTCTGCAGTAAAAGAGTCTGAGTGCTAAACTGACCGGCCTGCAGTCTAGACCTCTCACCCAGCAAGCAAAAATGGGAAAACATTTCACTTTCAAAATTACACCAGTTGTCTTTTTAGTTATTAAATGTTTACAGCGTGTTGTTAAAAGAAGAGATTATGCAACACAATGGTAAACATGCCCCTGTCTGAATTTTTTGAACCGTGTTGCTGGCAGCTAATTCAAACATTTCAACATATATTTTTCAGACATCAAAAAAATGATCAGTTTCAATATTGAATATATTGTCTTTGTACTATTTTCTATTAAATATAGTGTTTAAATGATTTGCACATCATTGCATTCTGTTTTTGTTTACATTTTGCACAGTGTCCCATTTTTTTAGGAAACAGGGTTATATAATGTTAAATTTAACTTGGTAAATTTGTTGTGTAATATTAAAGTTTTTTTGTGACACATGAAAGCTAGGCCTATTGAAACAATAAGTCACAAATTGACTGAATTGTAAGCACTTGTTTAACTACTTGTCAAGCATATTCATGCAGATAGGATATTTAAGACTTGTTTAACTACTTGTCAAGGCTGTTCAAGGTAGCATAATCTGTTTTTTGGGAACCAGCACATAACACTTCACAATCAATTGGTCCCTAAGTGAATCAACATTTCTTTGTGAACACAAATTTCTACAATACTCTTGGCTATCTGTGTCTGTTTCTGAGACCGGCGTCCTTAGACTGGTGCTTTCAGAAGCATGTACAAAGTAATATAATGAGTAATATAGTTAATGTGTTACTCAGCTAACAGGTTGCTTGCCTGATGGCAGTAAAACGTTATCAAGATTTGCTACAATTAAATTAGCTAGCGGTAGTATTATCATATACTGTAAGTAACTTTAATTTCAAATTCTTTTTGAAAACACTGTGTTCTCTTGGCTAAAGAGGAGAGGGACTGTGAGAGTTCTTTGCAAGTATGGCCATTTTAATTTACGTATGTCTTCTTTTCTCTTAAAAAAATATTTTAGACTACCCGGCTGAGAGGTCAGCGTACTTTGGTAAGAAATCAGATTTCAGTTGAACTGGTTCACAGTTCAATATAAAAAAAAAACAACAAACATGTAAATGATTTTCCACAATTGTACCAGAATACAAATCGTTATGATATGTGTTATGATTGGTTATTTGGTGACACATTTTTACCGGTGCAATACTGTCTTGTCAACTAGGGAGATCATCAGAAGATAATGATGAAGTGCCATCAATCTGGAAAACTGGTGTCTTGCATTTTTGAAAACAAACTGTGGGATCCAAAGACTGTGAATCACAAAGACTACCTCCTCTACCTTCTGTTTGATGAAGAACTTAAGGATCTTTTTTTAATGCTTGGTAAGATTGGGAGTGTTTTGTATTCTTTTTTGATTTGTTAAGATAGTGTGTTGTTTGTATTTCAAATACAGACTGAAATTGTTTGTGAATGTGGATATAATCTGGTTAAAAAAATAACTAATTCAACTTTAGAAAGACAGATTGGTAAGTCTTTAAAGTGTCTTGCTACTATTTGAGTTACAATCAACTAGCCATAGCTGGAATTCATGCCATATTTAAGCTTGGTCGATTGTAAAACTTCAAAGTCCAGCTATGGCATGTGTCTTTATACTAACTTCTGCTGAGCACACAATCCTCTTGAGAGCATTGTTGGCCCAGAAACAAGTTTTCTTTTAAAATATTAGTTTTGCTGTTTTGGTCACATTCAAACTGTAGAGGTATGTGCTGATTTTACATATACAGACTCAAATATTTCACCTGCAACTTGAATTTAAGGTTCCTTTATTAATGCAAGGTGTTTTGCAGGTGATGTAGTAACAGGTTTGCTGCAGATTTTCAGATAATCAGCTTCCTTCTCAAGCGCCTCTTCCAGTCAGTAACAAATTTCATGTTGACATACTGAATGTCCTAAATGTATTTTTAATTATTGGCTCAGGATATATTTTATAGGCAGATTCTGTTTGCACTCTGTAGTAAATACTAATGTATATAATCTACACCTGGATGAATATACCAGTGGATTTTGTTTACACCCTGGTCTAAACAGAAATGTGTGCTATTTGCACCCATCTGTGATTCAGTGGTGTAATGGTGACCTACACAGATATTTGCCAGAACCACCAGTGCAAAGACATGATTAGCAAGCTCTTAGTTAAGTTAGCTACTTACTGAATCCAGGTTTTACACAGCTATCTCGGTTCACCAGAAGGACTGCAAAGACACAACTAACAAGCTGTCAGCTAGGTTAGCTAGCACTAGCTCGAACCTTGGACAACTACCTCACTTGCCAGAACCACTACTGCAGACATTGCACGGTCTGTCAAACTGTTAACTAAGTTAGTGGGTAGATAATGCTAGCCCTAACCTATGTATCACATAGACTAATAAAACTGCTTACATTATTTGTTTACAATGGCTTGATGAGTCTCAGCACAAATATTAGCCACAGGACCACACTGCAAAAATTGATATCTTAGCGAGTGAAAACATCTTAAATGTAGTCAAAATGTCTAATATGTTTTAGTTTAATTGTTGTAAGAATACTATAAGATTATTTAACTTATTTTGAGAGTTTTTTATTTGTTTTAAGTAATTTGATCTGGTGAAAGTGTTTTATTCTGTTGGCAGAACATTTTACTTGTTTCAGAAAATAAGGAAGATAATTTTGCATATATGAAGAAATAGTGCTTGAAACAAATAAAATAATATCATCAGATCATAAGATAAAATTACTTAAATCAAGTATAATATGTCTAGAAATAATCTTAAGTTAAATAATCTTGTAATATTCTTACAATTTCATAATGAGAAATGTTAGATAAATTGACTAGATGTAAGAAGATTTGACTTGCTAAAATACAGTTTTTGCAGTGTACTATCATTACTAACAATATAAATTCCTATCCACTTACCTCTGAATGTTTTATTTAACGAAGTTAGCTAGCCAAATAAAGTTATTTGTTCATAATGATTGATGAGTCTTAGCACAGACTTCGGCTACAGGACTTACTAGCTACAGCTATTAATAGCATTACTAATTTTGGCCAGTTTATGCTAGCACCTACAACCCCATTTCCAAAAAAGTCAGGATGCTGTGCAAAATGTAAGTAAAAACAAAATGCAATGATGTGCAAATCATTTAAACCCTTTATTTACTTGAAAATAATACAAAGACAACATATCAGATGTTGAAACTGAGAAATTTTATTGTCTTTTGAAAAATATTTGCCCATTTTAAATTTGATGTCAATAGCACACTACAAAAAAGTTGTGATGGGGCAACCAAAGGCTGGTAAAGTTTTGTAATGCTAAAAAAACACCTGGTGCTTGATTGGCAACAGGTTAGTAACATGATTGGGTATAGAAAGAGTCTTTCAGAAGCAAAGATGAAGAGGGGTTCACCACTCTGTGAAAGACTGCACCATCAAATAGTGCAGCAATTCAAGAATAAAGTTTCTCAACATAAAACAGCAAATAAGTTTGTTTTTTGTCATCTACAGTGCATAGTAACGTTAAAAGATTCAGAGAATCTGGAGAAAAGTCTGTACGCAAGAGACAAGAAACCGTTAAAAAAACATTTGCTGGCCGTGATTGTTTGGGTCCTCAGGCGGCACTGCATTTGAAACAGACACAATTCTGTAGAGGAAATCACTGCATGAGCTCAGAAACACTTCTGAAAAACACTGTCTCTGAAAACAGTTCATCACTGCATCCACAAATGCAAGTTAAAGCTCTGAAACCATATATAAACAGGATCCAGAAACGCCGCCGCCTTCTCTGGGCCCAAGCTAATTTAAAATGGACTGAAGTGAAGCGGTAAAGTGTCCTGTGGTCCGACAAATTGACATTTGAAATTCTTTTTGGAAATCATGGACACTGTGTCCTCTGGGCTAAAGACCACTCAGCTTGTTGTCAGTGCACAGTTCTAAAGCCAGTATTCATGCTGGTATAGGGGTGCTTTAGGGCACATGGCATGGGTGACGTGCACATCTGTGAAGGCACCATTAATGCTGAATGATATATACATGTTTTGGCAACATATGCTGCCATCCAGATGACGTGTTTTGCAGGAAAGGTCTTGATTATTTCAGCAAGACAATGTCAAACCACATTCTACATGTATTATAACAGCATGGCTCCGTATTAAAAGAGTCCGGGTGCTAAACTGGCCTGCCTGCAGTCCAGACCTGTCACCACTATAAGCATTTGGCACATTATTAAATGAAAATGTGACAAATAAACCCCTGAACTGTTGACCATCTGAAATCCTGTATTAAACAAGAACAGGACAACATTTCACTTTCAAAACTACAGCAGTGTCTCCTCAGTTCCCAAACGCTTACAGAGTGCTGTTAAAAGTGACGAAACACAGTGGTAAACATGCCCCCGTCCCAACGTTTTTGGAACGTGTTGTTGGCATTAAATTCAAAATGGGCATATATTTTTCAAAAACAATAAAATTTCTCAGTTGAAAACATTTGATATGTTGTTTGATATACTGTTTGAAACCTGCACCTTTTCTGCTGCTCTCACAAAACTCTTGCGAAGTAGCCGTTAGCAGATGTGCAAATAGTTGTACCTGGGTATAAATAGACACTCTCTATTGGGTTTATCATCATGTATTAGATTAGGGCCAGATAGCAAAAATAATAACACTGTAAAAGAATTTAGATGTGAAGCATCTCATGGACCTGGCCTACGTTACTAACTTCGGGCTGATAATGGATATTATCAAATATTGTGATAATAAGTGCTGATATTCTTTTCATGTAACATGTTTTTTTTTGTTTTTTTATTTTTTCACCTTTATTTATTCTTCCCATTTGTGCAGTCATTCTAATCTTTATTCATTCAAAAATCTGTACAATAGAAAAGCACCACCAACTTATTAACTACATACATACATACTTTGAATGGTTATCTTGGAAAGATTAAAATGCAGATTTCTTGGTCTGGCAGAGAATGCAAATAAAACAGATCAACTCTGGTTCATGAGATCTTCTCTCTGGTAGAAAGTAAAAGTAGAAGAAAAAAAAAGTTGAAGAGTGCCAATTGGCAATATCACCAACCAAACAAAGTCAAGAACCACTGGCTGTTTACAGTGTTACATGCCGTTTGTTCAGAATATAGTTATTATAATAAATTATCAAGTAGATCACAGCTAGTACTTATATGGTTATCATATTACCATCAGGGAAAATGCAGACATATAGTTTAACACACACATGTGGTACTGCATAACTGAATGGGTCATAACGATATTGTTTAGCGCAAAAATTATGCAGACGATACATTTTCATTATCATCCGAGCTTACTTGGAAAAGCTTACTTGAGTGAAGACAATCAAGTGAAACTGCTGTCCAGTTTGGCCAGTTTAAGGCCATTTGCCTTTGACCAAGATGCAATATCTTTTTTACCCACACCTACTTCACAATACCAGTTGTCTACAAACGACCAGCATGCTTTGTTTCAAACACTTATTACATCTTATTTGCAGCTCTCACAAGTACAGCGAGAGATCACTCAATCTATAACTTCTTGAAATGCCTTTGCCTACTCCCTTGCAGAGAAACAAAAGCAGACACACAAAGACTATGTGGCGCACCTCTCAGCAAAAGCCCAGAAGCTAATAGAGGGAGCTTACATGTTGATGGAGCAGTTGATTGAGGAGATTGTGAACAAGTCAATACCATGCAACCTAATGAAAGACATAATTGAAAGGAAACAATATGTCAACAGTGACATACTAGGTAAGTTGTAAAACTTTGCAAACTTTGTACGTTGTATGAACATGCTAGTAAGTATGCTTACTCTTTCGTTCGTGAGTTGTTTATAGACTTCTTTTATGTCCTCACAAAGGGCTGAATATGATTTGAAATGCTTAATCATTCTACATATGCATCTTGTTGCCATCCACTATCCTGACTCACATGCAAATGAAGGGCATGGTTTGTCAAAAAATCTAATTTACATAATTTTCCCTTTAGCCCAGATGTAGATGATCAGCAAAGATATGTTTGGTTTTGCTTCTTATATATGTAGCTATAATGCTAACGTTGCTAACAAACACAAAGTCAATAGTCACCCAAATCTTTTCTGTAATTTGGGTTGGCCAAATAGAATTTTAAAGTCTTTGAACACTCTTACAACAATCAAGTTTGACATGTTTTTAGTCATTTCTCTGATAGAACAGATGCACTTCCATTTTAATAGGTGTTTCAGTCCAGCTGCACTAGGAAAGCATCTTACATCCGTCAGAACACAAAAACACTGCACAGGAGCTACAAGGCTAATGTAGTTAACAACTAATGGAAGTTTATACTGCACCAATTAGAATGGTGCTAACTGCATGCCTAAGTCATTGCACATTTGCCTCAAACTATGTGGAGTTGTTCAGTATCTCTAATAGACTTGATTTTGTGATTTCAGACACTGTATGTCACACTGTTTTCTATAAATATGATAAAACCTCATAGTTTCAATGTGAAACTACAGAAGCGACTATTTGGAATCAGTGAAAAAATTGGTACATTTGTTTGAAAAAGAATGAAAAGCAGAGTCGAATGGATTGTGGACGAGGGTTCTATAGTTTGAGACCTATGAAGATAAAAGATATTATGGCTTGCTAACTTCCAGACAAAACTGTAACTGTGTAGTGGTGTTGATGTTGGCAGCAAAGTTGATGTTGCTTTTTATCCTATTCTCTAGGGCGAAACAAAGACAGATGGAAAAATGGATTAGAAGATGCAGAAGAAGATTTTCATTCATTTGAAGAAAGGAAAAGAAAAGTAAGGGCACTCTATGATCTCAGCCAAGGCATGTCAGGTATGGTGTCTTTTTGCTTGCTTGTTCATACTTGCAATGTTTCATTTTAACGTATTATTCAGTTTCTTTATAAGCGTCCCTCTGAGTTACACAAAAATCTGTGTGTCCAAGCTGATGATAAATGCCGAAAAATTTTTAACTTTATTCAATTTTTAACTTTATTTTTAAATTACAGTAAACTTTATTGACGCAAAATAAAGAGAGATATGTATAAATGCACATTGTTCTATGTTGACACAGTAGTGAAAACTTTGAATAGCCTTTAAACACCACTTATGTTAAGTGTATCAATGATTGACAAAAACAAGTGATAATAAAGTTTGAATAGCTGGTTTGTTCTGGTTTGTTTTTTTCAGTTGACATGAAACTGCTGGACTCTACTTTAAAAATAGACTTGGCCAGGGAGGAACGTTCACTGAAAACTGTTAAGAATATGTTGATCAGTGAAGAACCTGAATCAGACAGTGATAGTGACACCTATTTAATCAATATTCAGATGTTTGAAAAGATTGATGTGTTATCAAAAAGCACACACTTCAAAGAAATGTGGAGGGAGACCACAAAACAAGTCAAGGACACTGACTTTGAAAATGTCACATTCATTCCATTGGACCAAGTACACCGCAGAATTTTCAAACCCACATTTGAAGAATATAGAAAATCTTATGAAGGACTGAAGGATCTCTCAATAAGTCTGAGTGACCTGGAAGATAAATTTGGCAAATTCATTAAGAACAGCATGCAAAAGGAGCTGAAGACAATGGCAGCTGTTTTCAGTGAAGAAGCCAAGCCTACCTGGATTGAAAGAACATATGCACACATCAAACGCTACAGAGAGCTTCAGTCTGTGGAAGAAAATGCAAACGTGATCCGTGTCTTAAAAGATCACCTGGGTCTTTGTGGACACTTTGGAGGCATTGATGATCTTGGGGTATGTTTTAACTTTCTTTATTGAATTGCTGTACAAGAAAAAGATTCAGTATACGCATCAGTACGTCCATCTAATATCTAACACTGTATGAGAGGTAGATAAGTGTATGTGCTGTGTATTCTTTATTTTAAGGTTTTCCAAAACCTGTGATGATTAATTGAAAACAGGCAAATGCTCTTTAGGACTCAAAACACAGGCAGACAAATCTCAGATTTATCTTTCAGCACAGACCAAAACCAAGTAAAGAACCAAAAATTTAGGAAACATTTTGAAAATTGAATAGTCTCCACTTAAATCCACATTTACTTGCACTCTAGTTATTTTTGCTTGCAAAATACCAAAAAACTTTTCTTTTGATTATCTGAGATAAAACATTGTAGATGCCTTTTTTTGTTTGGGAGTACATTTGTAGGGTTATTATTATTGTACTTGTGCATTTTTTCCACATTTGGCATTTAACTAGCATATGAATGCTCTTTGAACGCTTCTAAGTTTTAGTTATATTGTAAGGGAGAAAATAATGATAATATGTTTTTAAAAGGAATTGTTGACCTCAATAGCAAGATATTTGTGATTGCATAGCTTAAGAATACCAAACTAATGAACAGTGTTTCATGGTATTGGCATAATTTTGGAGGGTGTTGTATGTAAAACGAGTCCACTCTTTAGACAGTCCATATTTTTGGTCTGTTCCATCTCCTATCACATCTAACCAGTCTTGCGGTAGTTACTCAAACAAATTATTAATTTTTTTTCTCAAATCGTAATGTGATTACTGATTTTTCCTGGAAAAGTAATACCACTGCTCGCTACTTTACATAAAAATGATGAACGACTGATGCTGACACCTACAAACTAGCCTCCCGAAATGGTTACTTGCCTAAAAAAACAAAAATCTTTATGAATGAAATGATGGTTCAATAGATTAATCACACAGTACACAGTGCTCCCCACGCTTGCAATGTGCTGCTCACATTCATGCCTTGAAGTCGTGAAATCAGCTGTTGCAGATAGAACATGTACAGGCAAATGATGTACAGGACAGACACACAATCAGCATAAAAACTGATGATTTGCGTATAAATAATATTGCTCACTTGGAGCAGTGTTCCCCAATTCCTGGAAGTACACAGCCCTGCACATTATAGTGCTTCCCCTGCTCCCAACACACCTGATCCAACAGTCTGCCGATTAACAAGCCCTTACTGAGTTAAAATGGGAAAGTGCATAAAGGTAGTGTTATAGTCCTCAAGTCCAGTTTCAGTCTCAAGACCAGTCTTGTCTTGGGGTTAGGTGGACTCGGAAATTGTTGTTGGGACCAGCCAAGTACGATGCCTCTGTCTGAGGTAACTGGAAGCTGGTCCACACCAACAACCACAACATCTTCCACAGATTTAACTGACTTCTTTTTCTGACTCACCTAATGAGAAGGCTGCTTTGACATCTACCGAGTGCTGAATGTCAGACTGAAGAGAGGGAAGTTGCAAACAGAATTCTGGCTCAGTTTGACAGGTTTAGATATATATACATTATTTTTAGTCTCTGAGTGATGGTGTAAATTGTTGAGTTTCAAAGGTTTCTTTGAAAGGACCTCTAAGCAAAAAGGACAGAGCTGTACAGTACAGTACAGATGATGTGAAGCCCACCTGGACTGTATATATATATATATATATATATATATATATATATATATATATATATATATATATATATAACAAACATTGGCATCCTGGTAATCATGAGCAAAATGAGCTGTAAAAATATTCTTAATTACTTATTCTTTTTGATCTTTCATTTAAAATTTTAGCAAAAATCTAACCTTTATTTAATGTATAACGATTGAAGGAAAAAATTAAATCTTGTCATCAAAAAAAAATTCTTGAATCTCAGTTATTGGCACTTCTAGAAATTCTTAAGCGTGAAATCTAACTGAAGTTAAAAGTGAACTGAAGATGGTGAATTGCAGACATTAGTTAGGTCTTGGTTTCAGAATGTCTCCTAAACCACAATAAAACACCCCCTACAATGCTGTGAAAGAGTATTTGCCCCTCACCTGATTTCATCTATTTTTGCTAATCTGTTACATTTACATGTTTCAGATCACAGATCATCCAATGAATTTTAATGTAAGATAAAGTCAGCACGAGTAAACACAAAATGCAGCTTTTAAATGATCATTTAATTTATTGACGATAAAGGTTTATTTAAAACCTATGTAACCCATGTGAAAAAGTAATTGCCCCCTAAACCTAACCACTGGATGTGCCACCCTTGGCAATAACAACTGCATTTAGATGTTTGAGACCACTCTTCTGTGCAGAATTGTTTTAATTTGGCTACAATAGAGACTTTTTGAGCATGAACTGCCTCTTTAAGGTCTTACCACAGCAACTCAATGGGATTTAAGTCAGGACTTTGACTCTGCCACTCTAAAACCTTCATTTTGTTTATTTTTAGCCATTAAGTTGGACTTGCTTGTGTGTTTTGGGTCATTGTCCTGCCCAACTGTGCTTTAGGTCACAAACTGACAGGCGGGCATTCTTCTTCAGGATTTTCTGATAGAGAGCATAATTTATGGTTCCTTTGGCTATGACAAGTCGTCCAGGTCCTGCAGACACAAAGCAGCCCCAGACTATCACACTACCACCACCACCATGTTTGATTGACTGTTGGTATGATGTTCTTTTGGTGGAATGCATTTTTAGCTTTATCCCAGATGTAACGGGACCCATGTCTTCCAAAAAGTTCCTGCTTTGACTCATCAGTCCAGAGAATATGATCCCAAAAGTCTTGGGGGTCATCTGGATGTTTTTTGGCAAATACAAGACAAGCTTTGTGTTCTTTTTGGTCAGCAGTGGTTTGTGCTTTGCCACTCTCCCAGGGATGCCATTTTTGTCCTGTGTCTTTCTCATTGTGGATTTGTGTACGTTGACCTTAACCGAGGGAAGTGAGGCCTTCAGTTCTTTAGACGTTCATATCGGTTCTTTTTTGACCTCCTGAATGAGTCATGGATGTGCTCTTGGTGAAATTTTGGTAGGCCGGCCACTCCTGGGAGGGTTCACCACTGTTCCAAGTTTCATTTGTAGATAATGGCTCTCACTGTGGTTCACTGGCATTCCAGAGCATTAGCATTGGCATTGTAACCCTTTCCAGGCTGGTAGATTTCGCTGACTTTATTTCACATCTGTATTTCAATCTCTTTAGAACATGGCATCATGTGCTGCTTTTTTAGACCTTCTTGCCAGGCAGGTTCTATTTAAGTGATGTTTAGTTTCAACAGGTCTGACAGTAATCATGCCTGGGTGTGGCTAGTCAACCTGAACCCAATAGTCAATTGGTTAACTAGTTGATTTAGTAGGGCACCATTACTTTTTCATATAGGGCCAGGTAGGGCTGAACAGCACTTTTCAACACAGTATTTTGTGTTTACATGGGTTATATTAAAAGTAGTTTGATAATCTGAAACATCCAAGTGTGACAAATATGCAAAAATAGAAGAAATTGGGATAGGGCCAGATACTTCTTCACAGCACTGTATATAACCACAAGTTGTTTGGGGGTTGATTGCCAGAAGAAAGCCTCTGTTGTCAAGGACCAACATATTCAAGCTCCTACAGTTACTGAAACTCCTACAGTTACTGGAATCCAAATGTTACTGGAACTTTTAGTGGGAACGTGTTCCATGGTCAGATTAGACCAAAATAGAGGCTTTTAGCAACAAACACCAGAGGTGAGTTTGACGTGGAGAAATAGCCATGCAGAAAGTAGCTCTTCTGCACTGTGAAATATTGTGGTGGATCTGTGATGTTTTGGGGCTGTTTTTCTTCCAAGGGCCCTGGACAATTTATTCAGATACATGGTATCACAGACTCCAAGTACCAGCAGAAATGAAATCAAAACCAGGAAGCTTAAACTGGGCTGTGATTTGGATCTTCCAGCAAGACCATGATTAAATGCATGCCTCAAAATCAACACAAAAATGGTTCACTGATCACAGATTTTTTGTTCTCATGTTTTGAGAACATGGCCACCCCAGTCCTAAAAGTCTTGTTCTTGACTCAGACTCAATGTGTCCCAGTCTTGGCCTTGACTCGGCCTCATATCTAGTGGTCTTACACAAGGGCAGTGTGCCTCCAGAACCAGGGTTGGAAAACACTTACTTAAAGACATATGAGTAAAGTAAGTAACTAAATTCTTAGTAACTGTAATGTGATTACAGTAACCTGCAAAGCCATACAGTAGCTTGTTGCAGAAAATAGTAATCATTTTACTGTTGCATGTTACTTTGTACTGCAATTTCTTCAGCACTGCATCTAACACACATAGTATGCAAAATATTTGCTCTTAGGAGCTAGAAAAGAGCATAGTGGACTGTGTGGGGGGTAAACTGTCAATAGAAGCGTAACAGTAACATTTATTCATATTAACAGCAAAAGGACCACAAGTGCTTGCGTGATCTCACTGAAGATGTGTGCAGAGTTGGAGAAACTGTGAAGAATATTCCAACACATGTAATCTCTTTTCTGAAAGAATTTGATAAATGTGTCACAAGAGGATTCATCACCTGGATTAAAGAGATCATAAAAGGTAAATTATTTTTCATGTTCATTAGGGTAGACATTTAATTATCACTGTTTCATTAGCCATCTGTCAGGTGTTCTCACAATTAATAAATCATTGCTGTTGGAACATAGGTAAAAACATTACTAATTTTCAATGTAAGTTAATGTAACAATGTAATTTTCAATCATGTAAAAAAAATTTAAATGACAAAAAAGGAGATACAGTACCAGGTTTGGTGCTGACAGCAACGAGCTAGGTCAATCACGATATGACTGGTCATGCATGGTAGTTGCTTTGTTAATAGTCTGATATACAATGAAAGTCCTCTGTGTGGAATGGGAAATACCTAATCTGAAATACTGAAATCTGTCACATATTAACTTAATTAAGAGTTATTTTATGTTCTTTTCTTTTTTTAAGACACTGGAGAGCTAACTGCATTTGTGGAGCTTGCATCTATTTCTGCTGGAGAGAATGCCATGGACATTGGAAAAGTGTGCTGCTTCAGAGATGCAATATCTGCCTGTACACCATTAATATATCAGCTCACTGAGAAATCTGGAATTCAGGACCTCTTACAAGCTATCTCTGAGATAAAACCAGCTCTAGAAAGTGATAAAAAGCTTGAAGATAAACTGGTAAGTGATGTGGCTAAAAAGCCTGAACAGAACATTCTCTGGGGCTCTGACGGTAAATCTATGGCTCTTATACAAGGAAGTAATCAAATAAAATATAAGCATTTTCTAAAACAGTCGTATGTGCTTTTGACAGTGTTAAGTGCTTCTGAAATGTAAAAATGTATTATTTTTTTATATCCCTACAACATGTAGTTGCAGCCAGATGATGCCAGCACTACCTCTTTGAACGTCTTTAGAGCCTGTTGTATAAGAAAATTATTTGGCTTTAACACTTTCTGGTCATTGTGTAATCTCATATGTGCCTTAGTTATGAGTTTTGTTTCACTATGAGGAAAGGGCACAAATGGTTGCTAATGTAAGGCTTTTGAGGCTTTAAGGAAACAATAAGTTACCTTACAAGACCTATTGAATCTTAAAAACTGTATTTTTAATGTTATGCAGTGGTAGTTTTCCTTAGATTATGGTAAGTGGTGTACCTGTACATTTAGATGTTTGGTTGTGTGATTTTCTGATGTCCTTAATGAAATATGGAAAACCTGTTCTTTCAAGTGTTTTTAATTTAGAACAACTCAACATACGTATTGTAACATATGTATTGCTCTGTATAAATTATAAATGTAATACAATTACGCTTATTACAGAGGGACTCCTGTAATAACAGTGAGTGGCTCAAGATAGCCTATGAGACACATGGGTCTGTTGAGAGGTCATCTTTGCGTCAGGCCACGGACATAAATGAAAGTGGTATTTACATCATTAAAAGACCATCTGGAGCACAATCAAAGGTAAAGACAACAAATGTTTTTAATGCACCTTTCTAGTTTTCAAGAGTCTGTGCGAGGATACATCCCACTGAAGCTGGTAGTTGACTGAAAATGGAAGGGAGTATTTGTATTCTGCTGTAGATCCCTCTTTTGGAAGATCTTTACTTAAGTGTTACTCAAGTGTACTTCTTACAATTTCATTTAAACCTTAAACTATGCTTGTTACAAATCTCAAAGAACTTTTTAATTTTTTACTGTTGACAATCAGTAGTGTCAGTCCATCAGTGGTCACAGAACGCTGCCCACAGGACGCTGTTGGCTGGATATTTTTGGTTGGTGGACTATTCTCAGTCCAGCAGTAACACTGAGCTGTTTAAAAACTCCAGCAGCATTGCTGTGTCTGATCCACTCAGACCAGCGCAACACACACTGACACACCACCAGCACGTCAGTGTTACTGCAGTGCTGAGAATTATCCACCACCCAAATAGTACCTGCTCTGTGGTGGTCCTGACCACTGAAGAACAGGGTAAAAGTGGGTTAAGAAAGTATGCAGAGAAACAGATGCACTACAGTCTGTAATTGTAGAACTACAAAAGGCTCCTATATGGTAAGTGGAGCTGATAAAATGGACAATGAGTGTAGAAACAAGCTAGGTGAAAAAAGTGAGCAGCGAGTGTATATTCACCTAAAACTTTGAAGCTGTAATAATTTTTTGAACTCGTTCACTTAGTTCTTTTTTAAATAAAAAAAAAAATAATTATAGAATTAGTTTTTTAATAGAATTTAATGTGAATGAAAATAAATGAGAAATTTTACCAAAACAAAGATGGGGCATTCTGAATGATTTGCTGGATATACTGATCAAGACTTATTCTCTTTTTAAGGTTACTCTGGAAAACTGCATCACTTTAAGGTGCAAAGAAAGTTCATTTGAAGGAAAAGAAGAAAAACACAAAACATATAGCTTGGCTGAGCTTAAAGAATTGCAAAACAAACTAATGCTAATTACAGCCAGTGCTGAAAACCGAGAGGATGAAATCACGACTTATGTCGAGGTAAGAGTGATCGTTGTGATTATTGTGCACTCCAGTAGGTAAAACCATAGTGCTGTACAAATAAATTCCTTATTTCCAATAAAAAAGAGCAGGGTACATTTAAATGTGTATTTTTCCTTATCATTTAGATGTCTTTTATTATCATCTTTTTTGTGATGGACAGCATTGTATAGTGTTGTATTGTTTACTGCTAATAGCTACATAAGTTATGAAAAAAAAGTAATATTTGTAACAATTGTACTTACACGTGCACTTTTTCCTAGGTTTTAGAGCATGTAATAAATGTGGGAAAGTCATTCCTTGAGCTCCGCGATGCTGGACATATTCTGTTTCAGGACTGGGAGATGTCAGCATACTGCCAGCGGATACATGATGTGAAAATCTGGGTGAAATTTGATATTACGAATGTGGAAATCAAAGGACACAGACCACTGCTTGAGGAGTTGAAAGGGCTTTGTGAAAGCATGAGAGGTTGTCTCTCTGAATGGTTGAAGTACATGGAGCAGAAAAGGAACACATACTATAACTTGAATCATTTCACAGCAAAACAGCTGGTGTATCTGTGTTGCTCTGTGGCAGCATCGCAGAAAGAAGAGAAAATCAGTGCCAATCTCCTTAACATGCTGTCCATCATGAAAGAAAACATTGAAGAAACTGATGTACGGAATGCACTCACTAAAGCACTCCAAACTCCACTTGAAAGCGGTGGATCACAAGCATCACTTGAGCTCAAGAAATTCCTTAATGATTTTCCAGACATGATTGAATATTTCCTTGAAAGTGGCTTCACTGAGGAAGAGACCAAAGCAGCAATAATGTTTTGCGAAGAAGAAAAGCAAGCATCAGAAGGATTTGGAGACTCTGAGGTCACTGAGGAGTATCGAGATGCAGTAATGGACTGTATTTATACAAATCAAAATGATGAAGAGTGGGTCCAAGAATGGTGTGAAAAGTATGAGAAAACAAAAGATAATGTTCTTAAAACTCAAATGAAATTCAAAGGTGGACAAGCAGCAGATGAACAGTCGTTTACATTGACAGAGGAAGAGATTGCAGCAGTGTTTGAAAACCTGAAAAACTCTGATGAGAAGATTGTAATGCTTTGGAAAACATACCACAACAAACTTTCAGGACTTGTATCGGACAAGTTTGTGGACTTGGATGTGCTGGGGGAAATGATGAACCATCTTGCTAAATCTTCAGAAGTTACTGTGAAAAGAAAACTGCCATTCAGCTTGGAGGGGGGTAATCCTAACCTGATCTCCTGTAAAGACTTTGAAATACTTCCACTTTGCCTTTCACTGTACAATGATCATGAACAGCCTCTGCCAACCTATGATGAAATTCTGATCTGCACACCTGACACGACTGCAGAAGAGGTGGAACTGATAATCAGAAGAGCTGTGCAGCCTGGCAGCCCACATGAGAAAATCTACTCTTTACTGAATGCCGACAAACTGAATCACGATGTGTCCAGAAAATTTGAGTCCATTTTCTACAAGTTATCTAAAAATCAAGGAGGCACATGTTCAAGTGATTACCGTTTAGTCATTTTCTGTGACTCAAAGGCTCATCACAGTTACGTTGCCACTGCTTTTGATGTTTTTAAAAGAACGATTGCTGAGAGCCCAAACCGAAATGAGCAGATTAAGCAGTATCTCAGATACAAGCATCAAATATCCTCTGAAGCTGAGACAGGATTCACAAAATTGCACAGCTCTGAGCAATTTCAGTTGAGGACAAAAGTGGTTTTCTCAGAGCATGCTGGCATGGGTAAGACTTCTGATTCACTGAACTAGCTATTTTGTGTCTAAAATGAACATGCATCATGCACTCCACTAATGCTTTAAGTGATTGTGCTGAGAAGCAGCTTTGAATTTTCTGACTGTTTAGCCTACAATTAACTAAAATGATCTCATATGTAAAATGTGAGTCAGCCAAATAAACACGACAGGTGGCAGATGAGAAAAAATGCCTTGTTTTAATCCCTCCAATTGAGTGACGCTGCCTTTTATCTTATCGAAGCGATGTGTTCTCTGCATCATTTTTTCATGCTTGTGCTTTTCTCTTCATCATGTACTTTCCAGTTTTCTAGATTTACATAGGAACTTTCTAAACATTTGCCATTTAACTTCATTCTATTCTAGTGTAAGTGTTAATGTGTTAATTCTACATTTCTAACAGGAAAATCACTGTATGTGAAAAACCTCGTCAGAGTATCTGAAGAGAACCTTAAAAGCGAAGGGTTTACTCACACAACTATACGGATAAGTGAGTCACAACTGAGGACTGAAGACATTGTCAGGAAGCTGCAGCAGTATGAGGACAGTCCCATGGACAAAGTCCCAAGAATCTTTCACTTTGACGTCCCCCCTGTGGTTGGTATTTTTTCACCTCTTGGTGTACGAATAGTTCAATTGCTTGCTTGGTGTTTTTCTCAAATAGTTGTGAATAGTTGAGTTTCTTATAAATGATCTAAAAACTGCTGAAGTTATGCTTTTTACCCATTTGCCATATCAGCTTCTTGGTTTCTCTTGCACAGTCACATTTAAAAAGAAAGACCTTTGTACATTGTCAAAGTTTTAAGAAATTTGTCATACAGCATGAGAATGATCAATGACTAATTAAGCCATTTATCATAATATCAGGTTTTCAAAAGTAAATATCCTTAACTTGATATATTTGCATAATTCTGTTTTTCAGGTGACTAAAGGACTGTACACATTCCTTCTCCAGTTGTTTGTTCTGAGATGTTTCCAGAACCCAGATGGTTTCATATGGAGGTGCAATGACTCACATATTTACTTGGCGGAATACACAAAAAGAAGGCACAGGGAATGTGATCGGCACAGCTCTGAGGTAACTGTCACAACACATTTCGTTCATTCATTCTGTTAAATGACAGATGACACAGTTACACAGCATTACTGTATAATTTATGTTTAATTAAAAATGACTTAGTAGTGTCCTGACTGAGCTGTCGGTCTACCTCCTGCTTCCACATCTGCAGCTGCGCAGTGGAGTTCTTCTAATGTTACAGCTCAGTGTCCGCACACAGTCAGTGATCTGTTGTTAATAATCCATAATGATAAAGTATTCAGGGTGCAGTTTTGTAATCTGTCTGTCTGCCACAAATTCACCAATGAGAACATTCGGATACCCACCGATGCCATGCAGCGTAAGCCAAGTGTACACCGCTGCGCTAACGACTCAGGCACGAAACATACTTCATGCAAGGATGTGAATGCAGACGCTTCGAGCTACACAGACGGGGTTTCACGTGTAGTTGCTTACGATGCAAGCGTGAGCTCCATTCTGAGCGTCACAGCAAGGGGCGCTAAAACCACAAGCCTGACCATGCGGCCTTGTATTGCCAGTGTGGTTTCTTAACTGCCATAGCAGGTGAGCAATTGAGTCTCACGCAAAGATGGCATAAAAATATGATTAATTATTGCATTTCCAATCCAAGAGTTGAGGTAAAGCAGCTTACTCAGAGAACTTATAGAGATGAGATTTCCCACTGTGCAATGTCTTCCGAGTTTCTCAAACGCTAGAGGGCGCTCCCGAGTGAGTCCAAAATGAATAGGTTGACATGAAGCATTTGAGGAAAATCATAATTTATAAATGCTTAAACATTTTTAATGTAAATGAATACATTCATTTCCTGAACACAGAACAGCATAAAACATTTTAACACTGCTGTTATATTTTTAAGAGCTTTTAAACTCGAGTTATAGAGTTTACTCATTTATGTCCATGAAATCAGTGAGCGCGAACAGCCAGTGAGCTGCTCCGCTTGCCAATCAGTCATCACACTGTAGCATTCGAAATTGTTTATAGGCAGAGCTCTTTGTAGAGGCTGCATTTACATAGCTGCATTTTAATGATTTCACTGTTAAGGGACATTGCACTCATTTACACTAAGAACTACTTAATTCTAAGCAGGTTAGTCAGTGTGGTATCTAAAAAGAATGTACTCACACTAAAAAACATGTGCTCGTACTTGTACTCTGTCTGAAAAAAAAATGGTATCAAAATACCACTAATACAGACTCACCAACATGGACACATCTAAATCTGTTTCACTGCTCAGCTCTGCTAAGTGCAGTTAATCCCTCTTCCTGAAACAGAGTACAGTCGCTGTCCAACTGTCCACTGTCTAAAGGCCGTTAAGGTTGTTACACACTGAGTACAACGCAATTTATATTTTTATTTTTTTAATTTTGCTATGTTGTTCGTAGAATATCTATCACAGAATATCTATCAAAGAATTGTCCTTTTCTCATGAAACAGACAAATGTGACAGTGTGCAGGATGATTTTCCACTTTAGAAAAGCAAAAGGAGAATGGAGAGTTTCTCCACCTCATTTCTGTATGTCTGTAAACCAGTTTAAACTGCTTTTGGAGCTTCTGATCCTTTTAGCTCCAGTTGCTGGTACATATGAGTGTATTAAGGCCTTAATTCATCTTCTTTGCTAGCGCAGCTACATAGAAACTCTGCCCTCACTGTCAGCCTTTCAAAAACGAGGCAAGAGTAATCAGCACAGAGCTTTCTCTATGATTAGCCAATAGCATGGTTTAGTCTTTCTTAGAAATCTATAAATAAATAAATGTATAAATAAATTAATTAATTTTTACTTTTCTGCTACTCATCTATCTATTAACGTCTTGATTCCCTATAATGTAGTGTATCAGTTAATGTATGAAATGTAGAACATATGTCAACAGAATTTGTGATGATTTTTGTGCACATTTTGTGCATTTCAGCAACTATCTAGTCAGCCTGTCTAGTACACACTATCTCTGCAGCAAACAACATTTTCTCCAAATGATAATTCACATTTGTTCTGTATTTGATTAACTCAAAACAAAATAGTAATTGTGGCATGCCCAAAAGGACACCCTTCCTATTGTGTAGCCTCATGAGTTAATTAACTTGTTAGGCCTTAATTAACTTGTTAGGACTGGTTAGGGAGGCAGGACATGTTCAGTGTGTCCCAATTCAGGGGCTGGATCCTTCGAAGGACGCGGTCTGCGAAGGTGTGTCCTTCGAAGGCTGATTACACCCATGAAAGCTGAACTGAAATGAGATGGCAGATTTTCTGTTTGCGTCACAGCACCGCTGTTCTGCCCTTATTGTTGCGCCATGAAACGCCGCTCCTGTCACGTTCTTTTAAAGTTCTTTAAAGATGGAGATGCTTCACTGCCAGCTACTAATGAGATTGGTTTTTTTTTGATATCATTAGCCATTTGCCTCAGTTTAAACCCAATACTTATATTTACATATACTTAAATTATATTTAAAAGTGTCTCTTCAGCCGCCGTTCACTTCTCTGTTGATGCCGCCATGTTCTCAAATCCTTGCCGGCATACAATGAACCTCAGGATGTTGTCGGCTGGCGAAGGATGCACTTTTTGGATCCTTCGTTGCCATGGAAAAGAAGGACACATTGCCACTCGGCCTCATATGAAGGAGCCTTCAAAATGGGACAGCCTAGTCGCGCCGCTGTGACGCAGTCGGCCTTCAAATGCAGCCTCCGAAGGATGCAGCCCCTGAATTGGGACACACTGATTGTCAGTAGGAATTGTCTGCTGATGTCTAATTCCAGAGAAGAGAAAATTGTTTGACTCATCAAATCTTGTGCTAACACACAGCAACTCAATATGGGCTACTCTGAGCAGCTGCCTAAAACTGATCTAAAACTTAATTAAATTGCAGATGTCTGTGAAGCAATTTCTTTTTAAAAAGGCCATAAAATGTTAATACATGTTAATTCAGACAGATTTCAGTCCTATTCGCACTGGGGCAGTATGGCATCTGTTGTTTTGTTCCATCATAAAAAGGAATTGTCTGTCGAACTTGAAATAATGGTGTTTCAAATGGAGTAGCTCAATAAAGCAAGACCTAAAAAAGTCAAAGCGCATTACAGTGCACAACAAATAAAAGCGGAGGTGGTGTTTCACAGTAAGACGTCAACAAGGCTCAAACAAAAAAAACAAAATGAAACTAAAGCACCTGAATTCCAATATGTTTTCTACTTCTGGTGGCAGGGGGCAAGTGCTGAGTGTCTAATGTCAGCCCAGTTAAGGTAACATTGGTAAACACATTGGAAAACTCATGGAAAATTCATTAAAGAGAGGACCGTTTTAGTGAGGTTAAAAACTCATGGAAAAAAAAAAATGGAAAATTAACGCCATACGGAGGAAGTAGTTGTAATAAAGTGGTAATGCTCCAGACTAACACCATCCAATCATCCTAAGGAATATATAAATTGTGCTTGGGACGATGCTAAATCTGTTTTAGGACAACTTCAGGACAATGAAGTTGGATTAAAATTTTAAATCTGTAAAATATAAAGTCATAAAATCACAAATGTGCCAGCTGTTCATGCCAGCTATAAACATAGTAATGTTAAATGCAGAAACCTTTTGACAATAATCCATCAGATATCACCCAGGCATTTAAGACATTGTATCCTACATTGTATCCTTGTATCCTACTTTGTTATTTAAATTAAATTGCAGATGTCTGTGAAGCAATTTCTTTTTAAAAAGGCCATAAAATGTTAATACATGTTAATTCAGACAGATTTCCATGTGAATTAACCTTTCATTAATGACAACCGAATAGGCCTCATGGAATGTTTTTGTTATAATTGTATAATTAATTATTCATAATAATTAGGGATGTAATCTTTTCTTATTATACTCACAGTTATAATTTGTTTAACACTCACTTTCCAAATAATAGCTTTTGTTGCAAAGTATTGTTATAAATTGTTATGTATTATAAGCTTATATATGCATATTAATATGTTTATATATGCTTACTATTATTATTATTATAATTGTTATAATACCTACTGTGCTGGCAGAAACAAATTGTTCATGGAAAAACAAAACCTGAAACTGATTTGATCTACACAAAATACAAGACAGGCTACAGTCAGTTTATGCAGCCCATTTATAGGTACAGTACAGCTAGCACTCTAAAATTCTTGTATTATAATCACAAATGTTTTTTTCCTCTTAGATTTCATCTCAAATAGAAGACGCATTTTTGGAAATGTTCCCAACCGTTAAATGCCTGTCCCCTGAGGAAACTCAAGAACATCTACAGCAGGAAGGACCATCTGACAAAGAGTATCAGCTAATGGATGACTCAGAATTTGGTAGCGAAGCTTTTCAACGCACATATCAGTACTTTAAAAGATACAGAAATGACAAACTTGAGAGCTTCTCTTTCAAACCTGGATCTGCTGAAGATTCACCAAAGGAATGGTTAGAATGTCTTTTAAAGTTTTGTGACATCAAAAATCCATCTTGGGGAGAGCTGAGAAATTTCACACATTTTCTGAGCAGCCAGTTGAAGAAGTGTGAACAGTCAGTTTTCTGTAGCGATGTTTTAAAAGATGATCTGAGAGGCTTCAAAAAATTTGTGGTAAAATTCATGATCACAATGTCTAAAGACTTCTCTATGCGGTCACTGAGAACATCTGATGACAGTGATGAGAAAGAAACAGATGCGACAGGAGAGGACACTGTTCTCAAAGAGTTTCAGCTCAGAAGACGTTGGGAACAACAGGCTCATCCGTACATCTTGTTCAATGCTGATCATGACTCCATGACATTTTTAGGATTCCACATTCACAACCTAGATGCTCTTGACGTTCGAACAAATACCATAGTGGAGAAGAACATAATTGATAAGACGCTTTTTGCCCAGTTAAGAGCACAAAAAGTGCCATTTAACATTAACTTTGAGACACTGGACCGGTTCGAGCAGCTTGATATTATAAGCAGAGTCCTCGGAGTCAAAATTGTGGAAGACCCAGATGATACATACCAGCTGACGCTAGATAATGTGATGAAGATGCTCGCCATTCACCTCCGATTTGAGTCTGACATTCCTGTGATTATCATGGGTGAAACAGGATGTGGAAAGACTCGGCTCGTGCAGTTCATGTGTGATCTGTTGAGATCAGGGAAGCAAAGACAAAACCTGATTGTGGTGCGGGTGCATGGTGGAACAACATCAGAAGTTATTTACAGTAAAGTGAGAGAGGCTGTAAAGATTTCAAAAGAAAATGAAGTTCATAAATTGGACACAGTGCTGTTTTTTGACGAAGCTAACACAACTGAGGCTGTGAATGCAATCAAAGAGGTGATCTGTGACAAGTCTGTCAATGGAGAAGAAATTGATGCACCTTGCCTTAAGGTTATTGCAGCATGCAATCCCTACAGGAAGCACACAAAGGAGGCCATAGAGCAATTGGAGCGAGCTGGATTAGGGTACAGAGTCCGATGTGAGAATACAGAGGAGAAACTTGGACAGATACCAATGAGGCAGTTAGTGTACAGAGTTCAGCCTTTACCTCCAAGTCTGACACCCCTTGTGTGGGACTTTGGAAAGTTAAACGAGCACACCCAGGAGCTCTACATCAACCAGATGGTCAAGACTTTCTTTCGCAAAGAAAAACTTCATAATGGGCACCAACCTTTGTTTACAAAGGTAATCTCTGCCTCTCAGAAGCATATGGCAGAGTTAACTGATGAATGCAGGATGGTCAGTCTCAGAGACATAGAACGCTGCATGAAAACAGTCATGTGGTTTTATCATCAGAAAGAAACATTATTTCCTGAAATTGACAAAATAAGAGGGAAGAAAGGAAATGTTGACGATCTAGTTCTGTCTCTCATTCTTGCAGTAGGAGTCTGCTACTTAGCATCACTGGAGAACCGAGATGCATATTTGGAAAAAGTTTCAGAAGTTTTCTCTTCAGACATTGACATTCGCACAGAGATTGAGTTTTGCAAAAAAGCATTCATTTCAAATGTTGAGTGTCCACCTTCAGTGGCAAAGAATGAAGCTCTAAAGGAAAACGTGTTCATGATGGTTGTTTGCATGAATTTAAGAATTCCTTTGTTCCTTGTTGGAAAACCTGGAAGCTCAAAGTCTTTGTCTAAAACGATTGCTGCTCACGCAATGCAGGGTAAGGCATCCCAAAATGACTTATTCAAAGGCTACAAGCAGGCACAGCTGGCCTCTTTTCAGTGCAGCCCACACTCTTCTCCTGATGGCATCATCTCAATATTCCGACAATGTGCACAGTTCCAAAAAGACAAAAATCTGGATGAATATGTCTCTGTTGTGGTCCTTGATGAAATTGGATTAGCAGAGGACTCTCCAAAAATGCCACTGAAAACACTGCATCCTCTTCTGGAATATGGATGTGTTGATGACGAAAATCAAGATGATTTCAAGAAAGTTGGATTTATTGGAATTTCCAACTGGTCACTGGACCCAGCAAAAATGAACCGTGGCATCTTGGTTCTAAGAACATCTCCAGTGACAGAAGAGTTGCAAAACACAGCCGGTGACATTTGTTCAAGTGATAAAGAAAACGTCAACACTGAAATTGGGTTTCTGATTCCCATGCTTACTAAGTTTTACTTAAGAGTACTTGAGAAACAGACCAGTGAATTCTTTGGACTCAGGGACTTCTACAGTCTTGTCAAGTTGATTGTGTCCTATGCTACAGAGACAAATGGGAGGCCATCAGATGAAGATCTAACAAGGGCTGTGCAAAGGAATTTTGAAGGTTTGGATTCCATAAATGTTCTGGAAATATTCTGGGATGTTCTTAAACAGAGAACAGAGAAATGTGACACAATCTCATTGCTGAAAGAAAACCTTGACATGGGAACATCAGGTTTTACATCCAGGTATCTTCTACTACCAACAGTCAATCACGCTGCTCTTCAGATTTTGAGGTCTCAGAAGATTGTTGATGAAAGCAACACTGAAGTTATCTTTGGATCAGGATTCCCACGTGATGAAGAGTACTCTCAGGTTTGCCGCACAGTAAACAGAGTGAAGACATGCATGGAGACAGGAAGGCCAGTTGTCCTACTAAATATTCAGAGCCTTTATGAGAGTCTCTATGATGCTCTGAATCAGTGTTATGTCAAATTAGGGGGGAGTTACTATGTTGACCTTGGGCTTGGATCTCATCGTGTTAAGTGCAGAGTAAAAGATGAATTCCGACTAATTGTCATTGAAGAGAAAAGCACAGTGTATGAGCAGTTCCCTACACCACTGCTGAACCGACTGGAAAAACACTGCTTGGAGATTAGCAGTATCCTCCCAAAGCATGCTAAACAGATGCAAGCTGAACTGGAATACTGGCTTGACTCATTTGTGGCTGATATTTCAAATGAAATTTACCAGTCCCAAGACCAGTCGTGCATCTCCAAGAAAAAATTTGACACCATCGTAGGATACACAGAAGATACATGTGCATCAGTGCTTTTACAGTGCTGCCCAGAAATTGTGTCCCAGGAACTAGATCATAACAAGAGAGAAGAAGTCCTTGAAATGGCCAAGGAAATGCTTCTTCAGTGTGCAACTCCAGATGCAGTGTTAAGGGCAACAAAATACACAGAGAACTCTGAAAAATTTCTGGAGGTGTATTTTGCAAAGCAGCCACATAGCAACCTGATAGAGATGTTGAAAACATACAGACAGACCATACCTGGAGGAGTGTCTCTTGAGGTATGTTTAATAAATATGGTTTGTAAATAATACAAATGAATGTTATAATAATTTTAATCTGTGATGTTTTTTATAGGTATCCACGTTTTCTCGGCTTCTAAATAAAAGAGATGTGGAGCAAATCAATAAGGAACTTAACATTGATGAAGATCACTCCTCTCTGTTCTTACTGGATGAATTTTACACAGAGCAGTCATTTTCTCACACAGTAAGGTAAGGCTTTTTAATGGATTTCAGAGCATATTTTCTCATTTAAATTGAGGAACATTGTTGGAAGGCAGTGTCATTCTGTGAAATGTGATGGTTATTTATTGTGCTTTTTTTAGTGAATTTCTCTGTGGTGACGCGAGGGGACGCAAACTCCTGTTACTGCAAACTTACTTTGATGATCCGAAAAAAAGTCAGAGACTTCTCTTCTGTGTGAGGTAAAAAGAGAAACAAACTATTTCACAACTCAGAAACGTAGTGTATAGCCAATGGATGAGTTTTTAAAGTAATTAAAATGACTGCAACTACTTATATAGTATAGCTATGGCTTCAGAATACTATTTAAAAAACCTGTTTCACTTTCAACTTTAAAGGTAAGCATGTTGTTTATGCATGTAACATGCATTATTGTACATACTAGTGAGCTGCATAGGGATGAAATTCTGTCCCTGACATCTCTGTCCCCATCCCCACGTGTTTCCCCACTGTCCCCTCCCCATCCCGGTATTGCATAATCATGTGGGTCTTATATCAACAGGTTAAAAACTAGTCTAAAACTTTACGGTATGGGGTGGCATGGTGGCACAGTGGGTCACCAAACACAACAAGAAGGGCCTGGGTTCGATTCCCCAGCAGGGTCCTTTCTGTGTGGAGTTTGTAAGGTCTTGCTTTTCATTTCGGCGGCCATGTTACAAGTGGTCAGTGCTTTCAAACAGGCTGCATGTGCGAAGCAGTAAAGTCCCAGACGCCGCACTGAAGTGGGCGTTGTTTAGAGAATAGACCCGGGGCAGATTTTTTCTGTGCACTGCGCGCTTCATGTGATTTTATGTAATTCATGATGAAGTACTAGTTAAACATTCCATGCTACAAACAGATTTCCTGGTTGGTCTACCAGGCTTGAAACATCTCTTCTCCACTTCTCATCCATTTTAAGGTAGAATTGTAGAGCAACATAACCCGTCAAAAACAGAAATGTCAAAAGTAGAAAGGTCAAAAATGTGCTCTGCTGCTCGTACCTGGTGTAGACATCCTCACTGACTGTAATGGAAGCATTTTGTTTTTGTTTTTCTTGCTTGTGTCGCTTGCTGTTAGGACATGATATTTATTTTCACTGCAGTGCTGTTAGTGAACTTACCACCACGAGCCAAAACAACTGTTTAGATTTTGTCATAATTGCTCTCTTGGGCCCCTGGACCCGTGATCATAAAACCCAAAGGATGATCTGGGCCTGATTTTTCTCACTTCAGTGTCCACCATATTGTTTACAAAATGTCAAATATTGTTCAGACTCTATGATGTTTGTCACTGTTTAACATTAAAGTAAACATTCATTAATAAATATGTTATATCTTATTAATTTCTGATTCATTTTACAATTAGCTTGTAGTTGGAGTAAGTAGTAATATCCACATAAATTACTTAGTGCTGTGTCATTATTAGGAAATTATCCACATAGATCATTTTTTTTGAGTAAAATTCTTGTCTTTTTCATGTCAAATCCTCAGACACTGCATTATTCAACTCAGAAGCTCAGTCAATGCTGGAGTCACTTTTGATGTTCTTCTTCTTACAAGATTGCCAAGGATTTCAGGAGGATGTGGCTATATCGCTTCATTTGGAGGTTAGTTGTGCTTTATATATTGTATTGGTTGATTTATTTGGTAGTTTATGAAATGGTTGTGCACCTGTAAGGGATAAGTAGCTCGAACAGTAAATTGAGAGTAAGAATATTTATTACAATTTGGTACAAACCATCTATCAGTACTAGCCATCAGTTCAGATTTTAATGTCACTTCCATCACTGAATGTTTCAGTCATACAATGATTATTATAAGCTCTTTATGTAACTTTGATAGTGTACTATTCATAGCAACTCTGTTACTATTAGTTGCAAGCTATCCAAATCAAGCCTAATTTCAGGACTCCAGAAATGCCATTCCATCATCCTGGGGCCAATAAAAAATGCTGTACAGGATGATGTAAAGGATGAGCCTTTTCGGGACAATACAGCCATGTGTTAAAAACTAATGCCTGTAAAATGTAGAATTTGCAATCTGCAAGTTCAATTTATGTAGTTTTTTCAGATTTCTGTCTGACATGAATTTCTGCATGCAATATATGAAGCTACATCATTATCTGTATATTAGTATTTGAGCCAGGAACAATCAGCTACTTTTTACGTTTTTAGCAGAGGCTGACTCACACTAGGTTGTGGTATTTAAATATCTAAATAAGTTTGCTGCTAATAATTATATAACCACATGAATTATTCATTTGTCAGTATTTTGAGTGAGTTGCATTTGAGTCTAGCACCCGCTCTCTCTGATTACGCAGCAATGCTGTTACAACATGTAGAAAGTATGGCTTGCTGTTGTCATGTTGAAATAAGCATAGATGTCCCTGAAAAAGACGACGTCTAGGTAGTAGCATATGTTGCTCCAAAACGTGTTCAGCTTTAATGGTGCTTTCACAGATATGTTAGTTACCCGCTGATACATCACCCATATCATTGCTGGCTTTTGAACTTTACACAGGTAACAATCTGGATGGTCCTTTTCTTCTTTGGCTCAGAGGACACAAAGTTCTGTATTTCCATAAACAGTCTGAAAGTTTGGCTTTTCAGATCACAGTACATGATGCTAATGGATTTTTGGCTGATGAGCCTTGACCTGTCCTTTCCCGTAAAGGATGAGGCTTTTATCCTGGATGTTCCCTTTATGGCCAAACTATTTCAAAATGTTTTCTGAACATTCTTTGCCTTAAATTGCTCCTATCTCAACTTTCCTCGTCTTAAATTGCTCCTATCTCAACTTTCCTTGTCTTAAATTGCTCCTGTCTCAACTTTTTGTAAAGTATTGCAGGCACTACTGGACATTTACAAAACATTGAATAATTAAGTTGATAAGATGAAACATTAAATGTCATGTCTCTGTACTGTTTTTGTTCAAATACAGTTGGAAGTAGATGTATAAATCACTGCTTTGTGTTTTTATTTGCATTTCAAATACTATCCCAACTTATTTGGAATTGAGGTTTGCATAAAAACACATACATTATGTCATGCATCTTCGTCTTCAACTAATGAAACACCTCGATTGTAGATGACTGGATTTCGCTACACCTGGATGAACTTATTTCAACCGCAGGATTTCCTGGTGATATATATGAGCTGCAGCGTTTGCGTGTCTCTGAGATTCTGAAGAAAAGTTCTTCCTCTGGTAAAGGTAATATACTAATATTCACTTTCATCCAAACATGTCAGGATTATGTATTTGTAATGTAACACTTCAGTTACACTACAAAGCTCATAAGCTTGTTAAATTGCAGAAAATCAGATTTTCAGTGGGTCAAACGTTTACATACACTTTGTTAGTACTTGGTTGCATTGTCTTTTAATTGCTTAACTTGAATCAAACACAGTTCTCACAGTACTTTGCTGGAATTTCTGCCCTTTCCTGCTGACAGAACTGCTGTAACTCAGTCAGGTTTGCTCAGACATACTTTTTCAGTCCACAAGTGATCTATGGGATTCAGGTCAGGGCTTTGTTATGGCCACTCCAGTACTTTCACTTTGCTGTCTTTAATCCATTTTGTCACAAGGAATGCTTAGGATCATTGTCCTGCTGAAATGTCTTAGCTTGGTCAAGTTTTAAAGAGTAACTACATCCCACTGTATTCAGCCTTGGCTCAACTTTGAAAAACGCTCAAAAATGTAAGGGGCACGCTGGGAGTGGCACTGCAGTGATCTATGGGTTTGAAGGTGGGGCTGCGAGGGAAACCGGTGGGCTGGACTGCTGTGTTTTTAGAACTAGTGCACGTTAGCTACAAGAAAATATGGAGAGTGACAGAATCAAACAACACTTCTGCAACTGAGTCTTACGAGGTTGAAGATTTTTCTCTACTTCCATCCCCATCTTCGATGAGGGAAGGTGTTTCTGATCAGGCAGTTTATCTTGTGCCTTAACAGTATAAGCCACTGACCCAAGCTGCCGAAGAGTTAACGCAGTGCCAGAAAATTATTAGCAGTGGGCAGCAGAGGCGTCCAAATGGTAGAACATTCCCTAAAACTGTGACAGCTCGCTTCTTATGATCTGTTCAGCAGCTCCATATTCGATATAACCCGAGTCCTGATTTCTTAGATGCACTGAATAAATTTCATTTATTCATTTATGCAATGAATAAAGTGGAGTTTTTGAACACTGTCTAAGTTTTATTCAGTTTGACATCAAGGTCGCAGACTGCATCACTGGTCATCCGGGGTTTGGTGCAGTGGCCCTAAATCCTTATGTTCTCAAAACTGTTATGGCACTTAGCATTGTTATGGCCAGACAGTAAAATGTTTGTTTCATCTGACCAGAGAACACTCCTCCAAAAGGCTAGGTCTTTTTGGTGATCACCTGAAAAGTTCTTCCCTGTGCAAAAGGCTTTGATGCAGTATCCGTGTGGTCCCAAGATTTTTATATTTACATACAATTGTGTACAAGTGCTTGTAGTACTTGCATTTGTAGCGCGGCCCCATTTTAGCTTACATAGCTTAAATAACACAACAAAAGGGTGTTTCAGACAAAACTGCACCAAATGCTCTTTTCAGTCACTCAGTCGTGTTAATAATTATAGTGTTTATACCAGTTTATTATTGTGCATGTGCCAATCTGTTATTATTATTATTATCATTATTATTATTATTATTATTATTATTATTATCATAATAATAATAATAATCATCATCATCATCATATTAATGGCAACAGCCATAAAAGTACTAGTAACAACAATGTTTATTATTATTATTGCAGTGTTGTTTTGTTATTGTTATTGTTACTATTATAAATTTATTCAATTTTTGGTATTTCACTTTTTGTTTTTTTCCAAATAGTAGAAAATACCTTGATGTACATTTGAGTTCATATCACTCACCCCTACCTGGAGGTGGATTTGCTTGGCTTTTTCCATGGCAAAAAGGCAAAAAGGGCAAAAAGGCACTGCCTGTGAAGATAGGCCCTTCAGTACAGCCAGAGATGCACTCCTATTTAACTACTAATACTGAAGATGAACCAATCAAAAGTCATTACATCAATTTCTAGAGTTTGCCAGACTGTTTAAAGTGACAGTCAATGTATGTACACTTTTGATTCACTGGAGATCTGATACAGTAAATTAAAACTGAAATAACTCCAGTGCATTGTTTCAGAATGCCCTTCTTGTCCTGACACAGAAGAAAACACTTTTACCATAAATTAAATAAATGAAAGGGTGGTATCTGATTTTCACACAGTCCTTTACTGAAATCACACATAAGTAAAGATTTTAATGATATAACGTTCTACAGAATATCAGACAAAAACATTGTTGGGAATGGCTGAATTGCTATGAATTACTATGTACACTAACATTCTTTTGTTAACTGAAAAATGGTGTATTGGTAAAGGCATTTTTTTCCAGTACTGTATCAGAAATTATAATTATTTCACATTTATAGAGAATCATGACCCAAACAGCTATGGAACCACAATAACAGAGGAAAAGGTAGGCTCTACTTTATTTTTGTGATTGTCTTACATAATTATAGTGGTAATGATAATAATATTGATAATCTTTAAAGTCATATAAATGCCATTAACACTGTTCTTTTAAGTATGTAGCCATGATTCTGTGTTATTAATTGCTTTTATAGATGGTAGCAGATCACAACACACAGGCGTATGCGATAAACATTAAAATACAGAATTCTTGTTCTATATAGCAGGAAATCCTGGTTGACACACTGTTCCTGATGAAGAAGTCTTTGCAGAAGGGAATTTTGCAGCTACATGACAAAGCAGATAACACTCACAGAGCAACAAAACGTATTGAAATTCTTCACGGTTTGCTGCATAACAAATACCCCGGTAAGAATATTCCTGTGTTTATGCTGTTTATATGCATTGTAATTATTGCATTGAAGATGGTTAATGAGGAGTGTTGATTTTGTTCTCGGCAGTGTCTGACACCTTCATAAAATTGCTGGAGGGAAGAATAATCAGCCATCTTTACACCCAAGAAAAAACTGAGAAAAGAGAGAACTGGGTTATTACTCAGGCTTTGTCTGGCCATTTTGTTGCTGAAGGTGGCTCCTTTAGGTAAATACAAGTTATGTGATATGATTACCAATTTTTATAAATTCTGAGTAAGTGACTTGATGCATTTATACCGCTTTTTGCCATCTCATTCTGCATTACTTCAAATGAAAAAAAAGTGCTTACGTGAAGGCTGCATAATATTCATGCCATCATTCAATAAATGCCAAAATATCTGTCTAACAATTAATAAATGTTAAACAGTGCTGCCAACTAGGAGAGAGGAGCCTGTTAGCATTAGCTTACCTAGCATGATAAAGGCTCTGCTTACCACAAAACCTGTTGGATTCTGGGTAACTAAAGTACAGACCCTGCTGGTTTAGCATTTTCTGACCAATCTAAGCGTAGTTGGAGGTTTTGGTGTAATTTTCTGTTAAATATATGTGACCTGCTTATTTTGCTGCTGTCATTTTTACTGGGTTAGTCTGACTGCACATTGAATGAATGAAAAGATGATCTCTGGCTGTTGCACAGTACTGTATGAAATGCAGTATCCTGAGTACTTTGGTGATTTATAGTTACAAATGATTTTTTTGTGGTAAATGTCTGACCAATACATTGGCTAAAAATAAAATTAATATTTTCTGTCTTGCAGACACATGCTCTGGGTTTATTTGGAAGACACTGTAGCCTCGGCCCTGGCCCAGATTCTGGCAGTCATTGATGGTGACAACAACTTGGATAACCTCATTGAGCAGTCTTCTGAAAAGTCAGATTTGTGGCTGAATGTATTCCAAGAGGATCAGTGGAATCTGCTGAAAATCCCAGTTACTGAGTGAGTTACTGAGTCAGCTTTAGTCATGGTACTGTCAGAAAGATTTAATGAAACATTCCCGATTAGTAATCAATAAACTAAAATATTAGCTAACTTGAGTATTTGGAGATCTCCTACAAAAGGTAACATTGGGAAACAGGCTGTAGACTGCATGCATTTGGGATATCACCTCAAAAGGGAATGAACTCAATGAACTCTTAAAACTCACAAAGAAACTCTGCAATCTATAGCTGCAAGTTATGATTGAAAGGAGGGGAATTGTTGGATGACAGTATAAACTATAGCCGAGGTAAAAACTAATTAAAGGGGAATTCTGTTAGATGACAGTATAAAATATAGCTGAAGTGAACTCCTGCACTTGGGTGAAGAAGCTGTGTAAGATGGCCTTGAGAGGATGAAACAGCCTGGTACGACCAGGTTAGAATGGTTTTTCAAAAAAATGACATCGTGTGTGTTTGGTTCTAAGGGTTTCCAAAAAGGGTGCAGGGTTTGGATACAATGGGGACTAAGATGATATGGAATTGTGTAATTCCATATCTTTACTTCATCACCCCAAACAGGATATAAAAAAGGGATGCTTCGTGATGATCTTTGCGCTGTGGTTGTCCGGGAAACATCTTGCCACTTTAAGCTCAAGAGAAGGCCTTTTCCTTCCTTCCACAAGAACTCAGCAGCTGAAGTCTTCTTATTCTTTTGTGTTCCTTTTTATCCTTTTTTACTTTCTGTTGTTATTCCTTTTGTTCCTTTAATTCTTTTTAAAGAAGTTAGACTACAGATAGTTATTAGGGCAATAGTATAAGAACATATTAGAGATATTTATATATGTCTAGACCCTGGGCAGAAGAGACAGCTCTTGGTCATGACAGTACATTGCATGTAATTTTCAAAAATAAACCACATGTATTAAAAATCTTAAGTTGTTTCATAAATTAATTCAACTTTACAGCAGGATCTTTATCAGTCATTACACTTGTTGGCCCAGTTAAAATGTGATAAGTAAATCGTATTTGTATGTACAAATGTACAAATGACATGTTTCCTTTTATGTATGTTTAATCCTCAGTCGCTGCTTTATGACCTTCACAAGAGACATTTGTTAAAGGGATACAAGTTATTTTAAATATTAGAATAAATAAATATAACTTGTATGTGTCTTCATTTTTTTATAGATTTCAAGGCAAGGTGTCTGTCCTGTCAACAAGAGGACAGAAGGACAAGTCAAGGACCTGCTGTTTCCCATTTAGCTGGGTGTTAAAAGAGAGATTTGAGCAGATTTGGTCAAACATCATCAATCTGAATGGTACTACATTACATCCTCCTCCCTTCTCATCATCTTTCAGTTGACATTCTTGGGACATATAGTTATCTGCAGTATTTTAATTAGGTCACAGCCCTGATGAAGTAGATGAAGTCCAATCCAGTGCACCAGTCAACAGATAAAAGCATGTGTGTGTACATGTACACAGACTTCCTCTTACTTGTACTTGTTCATACATTTCCTGAAGGCCCATCCATTCGACCTAATAAGGAATATTTGGAGACATTTGAAGAATATATAACCTGGACTTGGATTAAAAGCATCAAAAAAGAACAGGAGCTCTTTGCCATGTTCTCTGAAGACCTTGTGAACATCACCATGCCAGGTTATCCATCTGAGCTTAATAAGGTGAGAGAAAATTAAACGCTACATTCCCATGTCTTTTCCTTCACAGTACATCTTCAGCCTAACATGTGTTAAGTAAGTTTGCTGCTACTGTAAAATAAATCCAGGATATCCAGGGTTCCAAATGAGTTGGACATCTTGGACCACAAGATATCCTCTATATCAATGGTTCTCGATCATGGCCTTGGAGTACCACTGCCTTGCACATTTTAGAGTTTCCCATGCTCCCAACACACAAGTCCTGCCTAAGGTGCATTATGTGTAAGAGCACGGAGAACACCACAATATGTAGGTAATCCAGGACCAGGATTGAGAACCACTGCACCATATGAAGTTTTTTTTTCTTTGGAAGAAATGTGAAGGTTTTTAAGGTCTCACATTTATGTTAACATTTAGGCAAATTAATAACAGTAATGGCATTAGCTTGCAAATGTACAGGAGTACTTCTTACCAGAAGCAGTACATTTCGTTAAGGCTTGACAGGGCTATAGTCAGTATGGTCAGGCAGCCAGGAAAGGTATTTGACCTTAGTTTCTGAAAGATAAGACCTCGGTCTCTCACTTAAAATCCTCAGAAGTCACTTATATTCTTTGCAGCTGTAACATTGGCAGTTTTTTTCCCATTTGATTTTAACATCCCTTTTATCCCATCCCACTATATTATATGTAGACATCCCTTCTAAATAGTCTGTTGTGTTAGGGGCACTCATTACTGAGGCACAGCTTGTATAGCCTACATGGAAATACACTGCCGATAGGGTACTCTGGAACAACTACACATGCTCAGTGCCAAGTGTGGGCTAAAGGGGTATAAAGCCCCCCAGCATTGGGCTATGAAGCAGTGGAACTGCTTTCTCTGGAATGATGGAGTTCCATCCAATACCTTTGGGGTGAATTGGAGATCCAGAACCACCCAGTACCTCCCACATCAGTACCTCACCTTGCTAATGCTCAATCAAATCCTCACAGCAATGTTCCAACATCTAGTGTAAAGCCTTCACAGAAGAGTAGAGGCTGTTACTGCAGCGAAGGGGGACAAACTCACTATTAATACCCTTCATTTCAGAAGAAACACTGGATGTGCAGGTGTCTACAAACATATGGACATAGAGTGTGTCTTACAGTCTTTTTCAGATACACTCCTCAGACTCACACCACGTCTCTATCAAGATTTGACTGGAGATGAGCCTGACAATGTCTCTCTGCCCTGGCTGTATGTCGCTAATGAATACATGCATGATAACCATCAGCTTTTCTACAACTTATTCCTCCAAAATAAAGACTTGGTGACTGCAGGGGAAGCAACTGAGGTACATTTCATAATAGAGTATTTTTATCTGTGTTGTTCAAAATGTACTTTTTGCCAAAAGAAATCTTTTGCTTATAATATAAACCTTATCAGTTTTTTTTTCTTTTTTTTTACAAGGCTCTCCGACAGACAGTTCGGTGCCTTCAACCAAAGGACAGTCTATTGAAAGACTTTGCCAGCTGCAAAGAGTGGTTACAGAGAGTGAAGTCATTGTCCATGACTGTGGACTTGATCCTGTCAGAGGATTCTTTGGTGACAAGGCATGCTGAAAATGCAGCAGAGCTAACTGCAGAAATCAGGTAGGCTCTGTGGGCAAATGAGGCTATTTATAACAATGTATTATCCTCACGGGATAATTCTTTTAATTAGCTTGAAATAGTATCTATTTTATGTTCTCAAAAACATGTAAACTGTCCAGTATTGGGTTATTTTGACACATTTAAACTGCAGTCTCTTGTACCAGTGACAGTTCCTCATGCTGTTAGTAAATGTAGGCTTAATTTCAGTGCAGCCTTTTTGTCTAAGTGGTCTTTCTAAATCAAGGGTCATCATGATTCTACTTTTTTAACTGGTTGGTCTCATCCTTCAAATAATTGATTAGTTACTGCTGTGTGTAAAAATTTAAACAACTACAGTTAAATGAAAATGAAAATAAATTAACAAAGTAAAATTAACAAATTAAAATAAACAAATTAAATTTAACACATCCTCTATGGTGAACACATACGGCACAGAGTTTATTGATTTGCTGCATTTCATATATTGTAAAAAAAATTAAAACATAAAATATAAAACGTGTCGTAACTTTTGTACAGGCCACATTGTATTATTTCTTTTTTTCTGACATTAAATTCAGTAAATAAACAGTAATTGTGCATTGCAACATGTAGAAGTGTGTTCACTGTGGAAGATGGCATTTGACCAGGGTGCCTCTTTGCATATATACATACCGTATATGAGTTTTGGTCCTGCTTGGTTGCAGAGAAAACCTGCAGCCCCACACCTTTGCTGATAAGATGGTCAGTTTATACTCACTGTCATTACAGTTAATATTAAGCAGTTAAGAAGAAAATGTGCTGGGACAGGGAACACTCAAAACTCTGCAGAGTAGTGGGTTCCTTGTAGAGGAGTTGAAAAATTCCTGGCTTACAGTAAACAATCACAGTCAGACTTTTGCTATATGCATTAAAAAGCATTTCACACAATTCTAGCTGTTTGGTAGTTCAGAGTTTGTTAAGTTAAGCTTAACCGAAAAACATATATTTCTAGACTATTATGGCAAAGTACATGGATCGTCTACCTTCTCATGGATCATCTCCTTCAAAACGAGTTAGAGATGGAGAAAAAACTGCTGACCATTCTTGTAAGAAACCTCACATTTACATGGAAGGTAAAACAAATTTATTTATACTTTAAAGCTCAATAAATTCTGATAAAGAAAAAAAATTCTCTTATTGCAAATAATATAATGTAATGCTTTATGTGTACAGAAACTGAACACAGAAGATGGAAAGCAGATGGAATACATGGTAGAACAGGTCACAGGAACACTAAATAAATGTAGCAAGAATGCCTGTAATGTTTTCAGGTGAGTCAAAAAAATAATGGGTAGGTTTGTAGTGGTTATTATTATGTTTGATATTAATACTGTGAATCAAGGGTAACAATGATGCCACATTTCATACCTCTGGGGCAATTCCTTAATGTCCTTAAAACAACACAATATGAAATGAGTTTCTTCAAAGGCAGAAAATAAATAAAGAATGTATGATTCTAGAATCCAGACTCAGATATAGATTTCTCAGCTAATTCATTCTTTCATGTAATTATTTAGCATTTTGTTCAGCATGGTTTGGTGTACTTATAAAATAGATTTATAAAGCAGATAAGATGGGTTCTTTCCTAAATATCTGTAAATATAAGCTGACGTCTTAAAAAGTAAAGATTTCAGTTTTAAAGAGTTCTGTAAAGAGACTTAAAGAAATAAATCTCTTGCAAACAGGAGAAAATGTTAGCAACCTAGGGCCATATTACATCTGCTTTGTTGTCATGGCAACTTCAGTTAAGACTGAAGTTAGGACAGAAGCTTTTACAGAACAACAGTTCTTAAGTCTATAATCTTATTTCCAGATAAGAAAACGGTATTACAGAAATAACTTTAACATAAACCCCAGAACTTCTGTTTTAATTGTCTGTTTCTATTGTTTTATGCAGTGACAGCAGCACAGTTCACTATAACCAGCATAATGACATTACATTTTTCTACGCTGAAAATGGTGCTTTGACTTCTGAGGTTTTTTTTTGTAGCAGCGTTTAAAAGCCCCAGACGCTGCAGACATGATCTCCGCTGCGCCCTCTTATTACCTTCGTGTGTTAATGTTGATGATGAAATATTACAGTGATGGTGGTGAATAATGAGGAGACAGAGCTGAACGGGTGTCTGTTTATTAGGAGGAATAACATTCACGCTTGGCTAAAGCGTTTAGGAAACGGAGACTGAAACTGGAGAACAGCGACGCTCTGATAAACAGCACGAAGCACTGATACAAAATTCTTAACTTCCAGTTTATCGCGCTTTAGTTTTATTTGACTTTCTTTACACCAGTAATGGTAGTTATCGTTAACTGTCTGACTAACTCACTTGATTACATGTTTAGGTTTCAGCTGTGCGGGTAGGTCGGTTGCTAGGTAACAGACGCAACAGTTGATTGTCAGCTTCAATCGAGTAAGTTACGATTTAACTTGAGATGAAAAGATGCATGATAAGATAAGATTCTTAAATTAAGATAAGATTTGCTTCTGTAATACGAATTTGTGAAAAATCTCATCTTGACCTGTCAGATCTTAAGACAAAAAGATAAGAATTTTCTGTAATACGGCCCCTCGTGACCAGACTACATTCACAGACCTACTTATCTCTTTTTTGTCCATTCGGATGAAGAATGAACTAGAACAGGCCGGGAGTGAGAATATACACTGATCAGCCATACCATTCCTTGTTTCTAAACTCATTGTCCATTTTATGACATTTTCACTTACCATATAGGTGCACGTTGTAGCTCTTATAGAGTGTAGTCCATTTGTTTCTCTGCATACTTTATTGGTTTGCTGTGATTTGCATACTGAGAAGCTTTCCTGCTCACCACAGTGGTACAGAGTGGTTATCTGAGTTACCATAGCCTCAAACCAGTCTGGCAATTCTCTGTTTACCTCTCTCATCAACAAGGCATTACCATCCACAGAACTGCTGCATACTGGATGTTTTTTCTTTTTTGCATTGTTCTGCATGAACTTCAGAAACTGTGTGTGAAAATCCCAGGAGATGGGAGTCTGACTCAGTCATGCCATGGTCAAAATCACTGAGATCACATTTTTTCCTCATATTCATGGTTTATATGAACATTACCTTATTCAGTTCTCAACATGAAAATAATGATTGTGCAAGTGCAAGCATACTAGAATATAAACTATAGCCCTATTTGGACAGGATTTGTTTTCCCTGGGGAGGACATCTGTAAAGGTTATGTCCAGTTTCGCATGGGATAAGAAATCTCAGTATAAATGAGATAGGACAGTAATGTTTCATATTGGCTCAATTTTAGCCACAGAGAAACAAATGCTGCATCATTTGTCTCAAGTCTGAAGTGTTTTGGTTTGCAAGGGCTGGAGCCTGATATGTGTCTTACTTGAACTGTTTTACTTTCTATCTCTGAATTAGCGTTATTAGCTGTTTCTTATTTATGCTCAGTTATAAATTTATAATGGTACCAAGTTTCTATTTGAGATGTTGCCTTTTGACATTATTTTTATGGTGTGCAGTGGTGGGGGTTGTTAGGGGGTTTCAGATACTGTAAAAGCTAATGTTTCCTCTCCTGATTTCAGGGTCCTGTGTGGGTACTGTGATAAAGAATTCACAGAGGATGACACAGCTGAACTACAGTGTGGACATATGTTCCATATATCTTGTTTAAAGGACCACAATGACATACATTGCAGGAAATGCAAAAAGGAAATAAAAGATTACAAACCATGTGGAGTTGTTGACAAGTATGAAAACATTGATTTCCATTTCTAATTTACATAGTTCAATTTTTGGCCAGGTTCTCATGTGGTTAAGTTCTTTTTACCTATTAGTAAACATATTACATTTTTTTCTTTAATTCCCAGGGAAACCTTCCTGAAAGTGAACAGATTCAGAAGAAAATGTAACTCATTTTTTGTGGAATTTATGTGGAACTTTGTCAGCAGCAAAGAGCAACTGACTGACAAAGTGGTGAACATGCTCATGGACTATATGAAAGGAAGCTCATCTACTGAAGGTAATTAATCAAGAGCATTATATGAAGTGTAGTCCATATACTGATGGTGAAAATTATCATTATTTACACATAATGTACCACTAGCAATGCCCTGAAACAGACCACAGTAAGAAAAATGGTGGTTGCTGTTCAGATTACTGAGCGCTTAGTCTTGGTAGAAAAATGGGTCCAGTACCCCAAAGAAATCATGAACCTCCCAAATAATATCAGAAATTGCTTAACAAAAGAGGTGTGACAGAGCTAGCCAAGTAACTAAAAATATGCTTGGTTATTCTGATTGCATGCAATGTCTGCCTGAATCTACAAGTATTAGATTTTCCAGTAACACTTTATTTGGATAGCACACTGTAAATGTTTTTAGATGCCTATTTTGCATTTAACTTAGATTCAAAACCTAAGCCTAACCCTTAGCTGGGTGTGTGTGTGTATATATATATATATATATATATATATATATATATATACACATACACATACACACACACACACACACACACACACACACAAAAAGCCATCTGTGGTATGGTGTATGTTTAGCACATCCTCAAACCACAGCGTCAATTTCAGACATCGGACAAAAGGGTGGGGATGTTTAGCTGTCTACAGGTGTTCTGTCAGCATGGTGTAACACACTGAATAATTACATTGAATTTTATTAAAAATATTCACATCTGCATATCCACAGGCACAGTAGCCGAGCTGTCCTCACTGCAGCTCTATATGAACCCTGATCCTGCTGTACAGTCCCTCGTGCTCAAGATTCTACTGAAATGCGGGTACTACTCTCATTAACATAGCTTTGACTGCTAATTATTAATGAATGTACTTGATGCCATTCTGTTCTGTGTAACACTGATGTGACTTTCAGCTAAGAGTTTTGTTCACTTTCTCAATTTAACATTTGATATTCTTGTTGGACAGAATGGAGGAAACTGCACCACAGTTGCAGAGATTCATTGAAGAAGCTGTGAAATGTAATGAGAGAAATGCTGACGAGCTCTACTTCATGGTGGTGCGCAGCATTGAGGTTTGCTCCAATTTTACACTTTCAATGATGCTAACACCAATTCTGACTTAGTGATAATTTAAACGTGGACCCTAATTTACTGATCAGATTGTTACTGTAAAATATTCTGTAGGATCATATCCATTCTTCAAATCAAGGGTGTCTTGTCAAAAAGGCAAAGGATTTTCTGGCCACCTGTGCGTTCATCAAGTCAGATGACGCTATGATTTCTGAGGACCTACACACAATTGCAAAATTAAGATTTGCCATCTCAGTCGCCTCTGACACCATCAGAACTGCAGTATCTGAAGGTTATTCAAACTTTTATCTTTCTAAAAATGAACTGATAAAGTACATTTCTGTTACTGTTCAAGCTCATGTTATATGTATTTATTTGTTCTCATTTTAACTGAATGTAGTAATTTATATTGTAGAGTTTGCAGTTGATCCTAAAGGTAATGATCTTCTGCGAAGCTTGCAAGAGCTCATATCAAACACAGGGAATCCATGGATACAGATATTCCTGTTACGGAACCTGTGCAACATGTATGGATTCAGCATTGTCCATCACCTTGCTCAGAGTGAAAGATTTCAGTGGATAATACCAAGTGAAGTTTTTAATGAACAGGTAAAACCAATGAAAGAAGAATGTAAAAATGTTTCTGTGTACAAACATCAACTAAATACATTTTTTTCAAAAGTAGCTTTTATTCTTAAATATATAGTCAGCTCCATAATTACTGACACCCTTCTAATCTAGCAGTAAAATCTAATCTAGCAGTAAAATATAAAATGAAAAAAGTCTTTCTGGTTAATTAGCTCAGTCTTTCAATGAAAATATTTGGTTTTGTTACATAATATTTGTTTTTGTTTTCTAAGACTAAATTTACTTCAGTTTGAGGTTGGATTTCTTTGACATTTTCAGTGTGAGATATTTGACCATGAAAACATGATTAATTACCTTTTACTACTGTTGAATGATTAATCATTTTTATATAAAAAATCATAATTTGCAAGAGCTGCGATTCTTATTATAATCTTGTAATTTATTAGCAATGTTGATACAAATGCAAGTTTAAGTAAGGAAATTTCACCTGATAACATGGAGCTTGTGAACTGCTGTGGCATCACAACCACAAGTAAATGGCTGGCTGGCACACTGTGTTAACAGTTCAAGTCTCAAGCCAAAAAAATGATATGCTGGTCTTCTCAGCCAAAAAAAAACCCATACCTCAATTTATACTTCAGTTATGAACAATTGCAATTTAAGTTGTAATTGCAATATTGGTCAAAAAAATTGCAGTTAGATATTTTGCCAAAATCATTCAGCCCTACTTTTTACCCATCTTTCTCATGGGTGCCAATAATTTTGAAGCTGGTTGTCAAATGCAAACATTTGAAAATCACGTTTTGTCGATCCTCTACAGAGAACTGCTAATTTTACTGGACAATTTATATTTGTTTGCTTATACTTTTATACTTGTTTGAGTTTCACATATTGGAAAAAAACTAAACATTAAATGTAAGATGTGCCATAACTTGCACAGGCCATTTTATGTGTTTTTTTTTTTATTTTGCATACAATTGTACACTGACCAGTCACTTCATGAAAAACACCTCCTTGTTTCTACGGTCATTGTCCATTTTATCAGCTCCACTTACTATATAGGTGCACTTCGTAGTTCTACAATTACAGACTGTAGTACATCTGTTTCTCTGCATGCTTTGTTACCCTGTTCTTCAGTGGTCAGGACCCCCACAGGACCACCACAGAGCAGGTACTATTTGGGTGGTGGATCATTCTCAGCACTGCAGTAACACTGACGTGGTGGTGGTGTGTTAGTGTGTGTTGTGCTGGTCTGAGTGGATCAGGCACAGCAGTGCTGCTGGAGTTTTTAAACACCTCAGTGTCACTGCTGGACTGAGAATAGTCCACCAACCAAAAATATTGGGTCCTGTGGATGACCAACACAACCTGTGCAGCAGCAGATGAGCTATCGTCTCTGCCTTTACATCTAGAGTGGACAGTGAGTGGACACAGCATTTAAAAACTCCAGTAGCACTGCTGTGTCTGATCCATTCATACCAGCACAACACACACTAACACACCACCACCATGTCAGTGTCACTGCAGGGCTGAGAATGACCCACCACCAAAATGATAGCTGTTCTGTGGGGGTCCTGACCGTTGAAGAACAGGGTAAGAGTGGGCTAACAGAAAAACAGATGGACTACAGTCTGTAACTGTAGAACTACAAAGTCCACCTATATGGTTAGTGGATCTGATCTAATGAACAATGAGTGTAGATACAAGGAGGTGAACTTGAAGTGGCTGGTCTTTGACTTAACTGTGAACTTTTGGACTGAACCCATCAGGACATGTCTACTGGACAAGTGGATCAGTTCCTCATGTATGGAGAAATGTACAAGGGAATTACTGGTGATGCTGTTAGGGCACTTGAGGAGCCTTCATATGATTTTGCTCAGGTATGTAAATACTGTTTTCAGATATTCCTCTTAGTATTATTATTGTTATTACTTCACTTTTTGTAAGCTTTATAGTCTTCATTTAAAATGATTTTTTTGTCATCAGCTTACACACAGTTATCCATAATGACCACTGTTAATGTGAATGCTTTCTATATAAATATTACAAGAATTTATTAAATGAGATCCTTTAATAAGCCTCTGATATATATTGTAAATATCTGTTACAGCAGGTATTGTGGCCTATCAGAATGTTGCTGATGAATTGAGTATGCTTTGCATATCTAACATTGCTCTGTAGTCATGCTAATATCCAGATTCTGGCATTTGTTCATAGGCTATGACATGGATCCCTTCACCATCAATAGTATTGTGCCATAAGGGGACGAGAAATACTATTTAGTTTGCTTAATAGCAGCATTAACCAGTAAATGAAACCCATCATCCTCGGCCTGCTGTCCACCAGCCTCACCTCCCACTGTTTATAGTCACTGATTATTTAAACCCTTCAGAAACCCTTGCGACCCTTAAACCATTTGTGAAGTATTGCCAAGTTTGGTCCATTTCTGAGTCGTTTTTTATATTCTGACTTTCTTTTTTTTTCTTAACTTTGGGCTGGTTATTATTTTTCCCTGTGCTCAGCCCTTTTCTTGGATTTGTTTGCTGCCTGTGCCTGATTTGGATTTAGTGTGCAAGAACTTGAATTACTTTTTGATGTCCCTGTTTGCTTCTTGGATTATGTCATTGTGTTAGCAGCATAACACACCTCTGTCAGTTGTTTAGTACAAAGAATACTTTGCATGATGTAATGATCAACGGTGTTCACCTTATATTACAAGTGCATTGTAGTGCCCTCAGAATCACTCTAGAAATCCTTTTTGCAATTCAGACAGTAATAGGAAAATGTCCAATGTAGGTAATAGTGCCCTAAAACACAAATAGGGATCAGTTTTGGTCACAGCACATTGTTGCCATCTGACATTTATCTTGTGTTCTTATTTAATACAGACTTTGGATGAGACCTCTGTGTATTTCCGTGTTTGTATGGCATTAGCTGCAGTGAGGCAGGCCACACTAAACATATCCTTAAGAGACAATGAAGGCTCTCTGGTGAGATTTTGACATAATTGTACATATATTAATCCAGCAATGTTATGCTACAGTTTAATTACTTCAGATCATGTGATAAACTGTACCTCTTTGTAGATTGCAAAGATGAAGACAAAGTCAAGAACAGATGGTAGCTGGAGTGAGTTGGTTAAAATCTGTGAAAACATGCTTGGGGATCATCTAGCGGACATTGACCCTGGCCTGTCAAACACTGGTGATCTGTCTCAGATTGTTTTCCACACTGCACTGGTGGCTCAGCTGTCAACAGCACCAGAGATGGAGCTGATTAAGACTCTGTGCTTCAGCCCAGCAAATGCCAAGGTACACCCTTTAGAAAACTTCTTTCAAGTTTATATATATATATATATATATATATATATATATATATATATATATATATATACATACATACAGTATCTCACAAAAATGAGTACACCCCCTCACATGCAAGTATTTTATTATATCTTTTCATGGGACAACACAATAGAATATATAGTGGATATAATTTAAAGTAGTCAGTGTACAGCTTATGTAGCAGTATAGATTTATTGTCCTCTGAATATAACTCAACACACAGCCATTAATGTCTAAATAGCTGGCAACACAAGTGAGTACACCTCACAGTGAACATGTCCAAATTGTGCTCAAAGTGTCAATATTTTGTGTGACCACCATTATTATCTAGCACTGCCTTAACCCTCTTGAGCATGGAATTCATCAGAGCTGCACAGGTTGCTACTGGAATCCTCTTCCACTCCTCCACGATGACATCACGGAGCTCCTCCTCCTTCCACTTGAGGACGCCTCACAGGTGCTCAATTGGGTTTAAGTCTAGGACATACTTGGCCAGTGCATTACCTCTACCTTCAGCAAGGCAGTTGTCATCTTGGAGGTGTGTTTGGGGTCGTTATTGTGTTGGAAAACTGCCATGCGGGGCAGTTTCCGAAGGGAGGGGATCATGATCTGCTTCAGAAAGTCACAGTACATGTTGGAATTCATGTTTCCCTCAATGAACTGCAGCTCCCCAGTGCTGGCAGCACTCATGCAGCTCCAGACCATGATGCTACCACCACCATGCTTGACTGTAGGCAAGAGACAGTTGTCTTGGTACTCCTCACCAGGGCGCCGCCACCATCTGAGCCAAACAAGTTAATCTTGGTCTCGTCAGACCACAGGACATGGTTCCAGTAATCCATGTTCTTGGACTGCTTGTCTTCAGCAAACTGTTTGCGGGCTTTCTTGTGCGTCTGCTTCAGAAGAGGCTCCCTTCTGGGACGACAGCCATGCAGACTGAGTTGATGCATTGTGTGGCGTATGGTCTGAGCACTGACCAGCTGACCTCCCTCTTCTTCAACCTCTGCAGCAATGCTGGCAGCACTGATGCGTCTATTTTTTGAAGCCAACTTCTGGATATGATGCTGAACACGTGGACTCAACTTCTTTGGTTGACCCTGGCGAGGCCTGTTTCGAGTGGAACCTGTCCTGGAAAACCGCTGTATGACCTTGGCCACTGTGTTATAGCTCAGTTTCAGGGTGTTAGCAGTCTTCTTATAGCCAAGGCCATCTTTGTGCAGAGCAACAATTCTATTTCTCACATCCTCAGTCCTTCGCCATGAGAGTGCCATGTTGAATATCCAGTGGCCAGTTTGAGAGAATTGTACCCAAAACACCAAATTTAACAGCCCTGCTCCCCATTCACACCTGGAACCTTGTAACTCTAACGAGTCACATGACACCAGAGAGGGACAACGACACAATTGGGCACAATTTAGACATGTTCACTGTGAGGGGTACTCACTTGTGTTGCCAGCTATTTAGACATTAAACAACATGTTGAGTTATTTTCAGAGGACAGTAAATCTGTACTGCTATATAAGCTGTACACTGACTACTTTAAGTTACATCCAAGTTTCATTTCTATAGTGTCCCATGAAAAGATATAATAAAATATTTGCAGAAATGTGAGGGGTGTACTCACTTTTGTGAGATACTATGTGTATATATATATATATATATATATATATATATATATATATATATATTATATTTATTTATATGTAGGCAAGATATATATATATACAGATAGATGAATATAAAGTAATACACAGTTTGTGTGTTTGTTTGGTTTTTGTCCATTTTTCACAGGATTGCTTTTTCCCAACCATGCCAAGTTCCGTAAATGAAATAAAAGACTGGACTAAGGATTCAATTGATGAAAGTGAAAATATGGGGTAGGTTTTCAGCATCCCCGTCAAATAACTTAAAAAATAATTATGACAAGTCCTAAGAAATGAATCAGCACTTTACTGTTCATTGGCTAAGTTGTGGCTTATAATCATATTTACATGCATTTAAAGCTGAAATCTTTTTTGCAGAAATATTAATAAAACTTTTTCCCTCCAGTGTGTAGCTGTGGGGAGCCTGTTTTAATTGGCGATGTGAGTCCAGTTTAATGTTTGACTGAATGTTTTGTATTCACTTGTATTCATGTTGAGTTAAAATAATACATTACAGCTCTATTGTTCCCTAATCAGTATGTTTTAACACAGTGTGGGAGGCCTTATGTAAAAGGGAAGTGTCTTAACTGTCAGAGCGAAGTTGGTGGAGAGCACCATAATCCAGTGGACGGTTTTAAAGCCTTTGAGTAAGTAACTTGCATGGCAGTGTAAAGAACTATTTTGGAAATACTGCTGGAAAGTACATCTAGGGACATCTTTGGATCAGCTCACCCCTGAGATGTTACACTGTAGGGGTTACATAGACCAGCCAACTAATAAATTCACTAGTCACTGTTGTGGGCACCAGTCACTAGTCGAGGACAGTGCATGTGTTCAGCAATAAAAGAAAATGATGGAAAAAAACAGCAGTGGACAGCCAGGAGGAGACTCCAGAAGACAGTGTTCTGCTAAACACAAAGTCCAGACTTTATTAATATGGAAATACATGAGATAAAACCAATTTCTTTGCAAGCTGTGTACAATCTCACTAAAATGCAAACAAGACAAAAGGACAGTCAAAGCCAAAAAAAATACAACAAACACCCCAGAACACTCACAACGCAAGACACTTTATAAGCTGGTGAACAGGTGTGTGAATAGAGGAGGCAGGTACACCTACAAGTTGTACTAACAAGGTAGATTTGTGTAATATGTCTAAGTGTCCAGGAGGTGCAGTGTGTGAAAACCCCAGCTGCACAGACTACATTATGGGGCTATCAGCTTTAACAGCAAAATGTGATTTGTTGTTCTATGTTTAGTTGCCATAATTCTCTTTTATTAAAGAATCCTAACATCAGCACTTTCAAGCTGAGTCCTAATTGACATTTCATAATGTGTGAATTATATGTAGACTGTAGTTTGTTTTCAGAGAACGATTCTAGTAATTACCAGTCAATAATTCTTTTAATTACACATTCTTATGGTGCATCAAGAAATGGAGAGGGCAGCGGGAAAGGTCACAACCTTGGTGACCCTAACAGTCGAAGGGAGCAGAGTGGCGAGAGGAATCTTTATGGGGCAAACCTCAGTCTGGTCCCGAGCCATCATTCACTCATCCATGCTCTGGGGCACAATCGAACACGCCGAGGTACGTCAACTGTGACTGTACAGAATAGAGAATTCTTAGGAATGAAGAAAAGCTCATTGAAATGTGTGTAAGTTTTGTAGACAAGTTTAACACCATATTAACATTATTAATGAGTATTAGATGTAGTTCTAGTGGAAGCCCTTTTAAGAAGGTTTTAGTTAATGTTATTATTGCAAAAATAAATGACTTTAATCATTGGTTTGTCCCTGCCTAGGAGGTTCAAAATCTTATTGAAGCTCCAGATGATGATGTCAGGAGGCACCTCTGTGGCCATCTTCAAAAGGACATTGAACTGCTTGCCAAAGCCATTGGAAAGAGCACTGAAGATGCTGAAATGACAGTCCATCTGTTTTTGAAGTGCATGTTGGAGGGTGACTCTGGTAAATTGCCTATTTTGGGTACATGAAATTGTACATGAAAGTACATGAGATATCTTCATCAGCCAAAAAATATTTACTATACAGATTTCAGCACTGTAGACAACAACATATCTGCCCATTTTATGACTCATGAGTCAAATGTTGTAAAGCATAAATAATCTTTGTGCCATGCTGGTACTTGCAGAACCAGACAGCAATATTCAGATGACAGACACTGAGGAAAAAAGAGAAAAATGGGAGGATGCTGTTTACGAAAGACTGAAGGTTTTCTTTCAGGTACTGTGTCAAGTCCTAAAAACCCTTTAATTTGAGACTGAAATGCACTTTAGTTCAGGACTTTTGAAGAAGTTTATTTGTTGAGAATGTTGAGAGCAGATACCATATATGTTGCTTTTGACTTGATCCATGTCATTAAAGGATTTTGAGGCAGAGTTGTCAAGTGTGCGGAGCAACATTCTGCAATCAGGTGGCATGGATACTTTGGCACAGATTATCTACAGCAAAGAACCTCAGCTGAAAGAGCTCCCAACAACTGGAGTGTTCAGTCTTCCACTAATGTGGAGGTTTGAACAGAGGATGACCATTCAGCACCTGACTCACCTGATTGAGCAGGATGATGAAAGGAAAAATGTTCCTGTTCTCTCAGAACTCCTCAAAAATGTAGGAATGTTTATACTTATTTGAATTATTTATTTAGTCATACCTAAAGTAAATTAATTTAGTTGCTTTCTATTTGACATGGTAGGGAGTTATGGTAGCCTGGCAAAAATCATATACGTTTTAACATTTAAATGGTGTTTAAATTTTACTTTAATCTGTAATGTTTCAGCATTTCCACATCCAGTACATCAGATACCTGCCTAAAGTCCTGCAACTTCAGCAGAAACTAATGTGTAACTTTGAAAACGTGGATCCGCAGTGTTACAAGGATGTACCCATTAAAACATTCATGAAGGAGAATGTGGCAGGTGAGATGAAAATTATTTAGGTCCTTTAAGCTTTATAATGCCTCAGTGCCTGTATTGGGACATTAAAAACATTTTGTTTAAAACTAAAATAAAAGCTGAACATCATTCAGTCCCTAGATTGTCTAAAGTATTGATAGCTCTTTCTAAAAGGAAAACCAGCAGTTTCGATGCTGAAAGAAAACAATTTCAATCAAAGAGAATTTGGCCATGCAGACTCATTTATGTGGAATGAGATCTGGTAGTTGTACTGGGTGAAAGATGTTCTCATAGGTTAATCTGCTTTCTTATATGGTGTTTCACAACACAGCCATATAACAACAACTGACAGATCAGGGGAAAAACATGATTTGAAAATGTAGTTGTGGAAGACATTGATCTGGTGGATGCTGAATTTTGTGCTGGAGATGTTTGCTAGACATGGATACTCTGCCCACCACAGAAAATGCTATACTAAAAATGCTCTTCCAGCCTCCTGCCACCCAAGTTTTCAATTTGAAATTTCCTTTGGACTGTGTTATCTTTTTTTTACATTTATAAACATATATATGTTCAAACTATACAGCTAAAAAGTGAGCCTTAAAGTTTTACACAGATACACAGATATGCTGTGTGTTCCTTAAAAAGCCCATATTTTTCCCTGATTTTTTTTAAATAAAAAAGCTTAGTGTATGTTTTACATAATACCATTGACTCCCCAGCCAATACAGTCCATGTATGGATATGAAGTTGCAAAACAACATTCTCTACATGTATTGATTTTGTAATGTCTTTTGTGAAGTTTAGGTTCCCTGCCAACTTGTGATGGACTGACCTGGACTGCTTTTTGAATTAGGCACAATACAATTAAATAAGGAACAGTTAATCTTGTAAAAAACATGATACTAAATGTAGTTGTTGGACATGAGTTACTAAAGTTAATAAAGTTTTTTTTCTTCAGATGATGATGATCAGGTCTTTATGGAAAATGTTTCAGCTGTGAAGGAGATATGGAGGCATTTGAAGAAAATTAATTGTAAGATTTTAAATATTTTCATCTTATTATAAATATTTTCATTCAGATTTTTTTTAAGTGTTTAATGTCCTTGCCCATTGTTTATCAGTCATGTTAGGTGAAAAAATGACTTTTATATGAGATTTTATATTAAAATAATAATTAAATGAGATTTGTATCACTGTTGTAGACCCCAAATTACCCCAAGAACTGAAGCAGAAAGACGAGAATGACTTAATGATTCTGGACTTCCTTCCAATGGAAAAATCTGTTGCTCGGACTGTAACAGACTATCTTGTGAGAATGCAGAATGACTTCATAAACCTTGTCAACCCCAAAGCAGACAGGTACATTTAGTAATAATTTTAAAGCTATTTCAGTAAAACACAGTTAATTTTAGGCTGGTCAAGGTCATGAAGTTTTAGCTGATGGTTAATTGGCATACAGATAATTGTGCTTAATTCGTCTTTTTTATTATTTTGTGGCACTATTGTAGTTTAATTCTATATGAAGAGCCTTTTTTGTGAGCAGTAAATTAATTTCTTCGTCTTTAAAGCAATATTTTGTGATGGTGCTATATACATGCCTAACACATCACTCATTTGCCTCAAACAGTGTTGAGCTGTACAGTTATCTCTAATACACTTGCATATGTAGGGTCTTTATTAGTCATATTATCTCAGAGTAAGAACACTGAACTAAGAACTAAGATCAGATCTCAAGTAGTCTTATTCAGTACTGTGTAAAAGAATCAGCAGTGTTTCACTGAGGAGTTTGATAAATTTAGGCCATGTTGTACAGTCAAATCTGATCGTGACATGAGCGTATGCAAATTTCACTGACAAATTTCTTATTCATCAGTTTCATCTTTGGCATATCTGTACGATCAAACTCACATCTGGTAGGAGTGTGTGTAAATTTGAGCGTAATAGTTTAACAATGTGAAAATAATGTCTGATTTGCTATTAAATGGCCAAACCTATGATCATTATCATCTACAATACCAATAAAAAATTAATAATACTTATCGTTTGTGCACACGGCAAACAAGTACAAAAGTGGAAGTACCTATTATATATTATATATAAATTGTTCCATGCAACTGTTCCTTTATAGACATATTACACTGTGCTTTTGTTTTATACTACTGGCACAGCCCAACAAAATAAACAATACTAAACACAGCTAGTGCAGAAGCATCTCATACACTGCAATAATACAGCATTAATATTTAAAGACAATAATCACGCTATACAACCATATCATTCTACCTTACTTCACATTTTATTCTTTACAGTGGTCATAAATTGACCACTATAAAGTTTAGTCAGTAGGGGGAGCAGTGCACTGCATGAATTAGGGCAGGCTTCATTTAATATGTATGTAAATAAGGCGTTGATAGGCTAATGCCACTTTGATGAATACGGGCCATTGTGTTATGATGTTCACATATTAAGTCTCATATGTAAAAACTAAAACTAAATGTAATAATCAAAGCAGGCCTAGTTAACTGTAGTTATTAGCAAATACATGTGTTGATATTGCTTGTGTGATTGAGCATGTAGTCCTATTTAAATATACCATATGTATAATTAAGTAAAGCATAGTTATATTTGTGTTATTTTCATTCTGTCCTTAGGTTAATCAGTGCGAATGAAGTCAAACCGTCACATGTAATCACATGTGTTCCTGAACAAGATTTCCTGACCATTGCAATTTCAAA